TGGAGGAGGATTCATTAACAACTTGTGATATGTAGACAACACAACTTTGCTTGCTGAAAGGGAAGAGGACTTGAAGCACTTACTGATGAAGATCAAAGACTCCAGTCTTCAGTATATCTTATACCTCAACATAAAGAAAACAAAAATCCTCACAGCTGGGCCAGTAAGCAATATCATGATAAATGGGGAAAAGATTGAAATTGTCAAGGATTAATTTTATTTGGATCCACACTCAAAGTCCATGGAAGTAGCTGTCAGGAAATCAGATGATGTCTTGCATTGGGTAAATTTACTGCAAAAGAGCTCTTTAAAGTGTTAAAAAATCAAAGAGGTCACTTTGAGGACTAAGTTACACATCTCACCCAAGTCATAGTATTTTCAGTTATCTCATAGGCATGGAAAACTGGACAATGACTGAAGAAGACCAAAGAAGAATTGATGCATTTGAATTATGTGTTGGCAAAGTATATCAAATATACCGTGGACTGCCAGAAGAACAAACCAACCTGTCTTGGATGAAGTACTGTCAGAATACTCCTTTTAAACAAGGATAGTGAGACTTCACCTCACATATTTTGGACATGTTATCATGGGCCACAGTCCCTGGAGAACATCATGCTTGGTAAACTAGAGGGTCAGTGAAAAAGAGGAAGACCCTCAATGAAATGGCTTGACACAGTGGCTGCAACAATGGGCCCAAGCACAGCAACCTCTGTGAAGATGGCATAGGATTGGGCAGTGTTTTGTTCTGTCCTACCTGGTCGCTGTGAGTTGGAACTGAATCAACAGCACCTAACACCACCACCAAGGACTCCAATACATCTTTAGGAAGGGAGACAATTCTACCCGTAACAGTGGCCAGGACCTGACCTCCCGTCCTTGTTACCTCTGCAGGCCTGAGTAGTTAGGGAACCTTCCCTGGCTGGGAGAGAACATTCTCTCTCTTCGCCCACCCCTAGGGCAGCCCCGCCGAATTTCTCTCCCTCACCATATTCATCAAGTCCTCCGCAGCGCCTGTGACATCTCACGTAGACATCTTGGCTCTTAGCGAGCGGAAGTGAGGGGTGTCGGGGTGTGAGCCATCGGGGATTCTACTGGAGGTGGGGTACGTCAAACCAAATCCTCCTCCTTCCAATCCCCACTCCCCACCCCTCACCTGCTACAATAAACAAAGCCATGTTCTAATGAAACAAACAGCATTTGGGAAGGAGTGAAGGCGAGGGCAAGAATCGCCTTCCACCAGTTCATTCATGATTCTCTGCTTCCTAAAAAAGCAGGACCACGTGAGTAGCTTGGAGGCGCAAACACGTTGGGTGTGGGATGTTTGCCTTCCACGTGGAAAGTGAGGCGTGCTGTGCTTCGTTATGGGGCGTATGCTCGACTTCTGTCCTCGGAACACACAGAGCAGTTCTGCTGGTTCAGCTGCCGCAGGCGGCACCAGGATTCGGGGCTCACTCCGGCCCCCTCGTGGCTGTACCTCCCCCCAAAGCCCACGGCGGCTCTCTGGAGATGTGTTCTGTCACTGCTGTGAGCTGACTGTTCCCAGACAGTGTGCAGGGGAGGCTGCGGGGGTGGCCCGTGCACCCGGCGCAGGAGAGAGCGGGCCTGCCAATGCCTGCCTTTTCTGGAAGCCCACGAGGGCAGCTTCCGCCTGGCCTGCGGGGATAGATTTCCTGTTTGGAGGAAGCCGCCTCGCGTCTCTGCCATGCAGTCTGCAGAGGGAAGAAAGGGCAAGGCTGGCTTGTTTTCTGCTGGGCGGGGCAAGAAGGACACAGACAGCCCTCCACTGTGCGGGCCATCTGTCTTTAGGCTGCAACCAGTTCCACCCACACAGGGCCCTAGTTCAGTTCTGTGTGACTCTGTTAGACACCATTTGATTAGCTTATTCACTGGGCTCGTTGTATATTGTTTGGGTCAGTGTTCTCATTAATTTGGACCTTCCGAGCTCACACTGACCTTTAGTAGAAGGTAGTCATGCTGGCAAGACAGGATTGCTGAACTCACACCTATCACATGATAGACATTGTGGATTTGTGGATTTATGGCAGATATCCAACAGAGGGCAGTAAAGTGCCTTGTGGAAAGGATTCAGTTTCTCTGATTTCAATGGGAGGTACCCTCTGGGCTAATGGTGGTGGTGGTATTGTTAGGTGTCTAATTCCGATTCATTACAACCCCATATGTGCAGAGTAGAACTGCATTCCGTGGGGTTTTTAATGCTGTGGCGTTTGGGAAACACATCACCAGGAGTGTCTTATGAGGAGCCTCTGCGTAAGTTTGAACTGCCAACATTTTGGCTAGTAGTTGAGCATTTAGCCATTTGTGCCCCACTGATGAAAGGCCAGAGGAATGCCAGTACCAGAGAGAATTTCATAATACACCAATCTAGAGCTGGCTTGGGCAAAAATTCTTATAATTCACCACCAGACCCTGTTTTTCCCAAGCTTATTCAAGAAAGGGGCTGGACTCTTCGCTCTCTCTCCTCAACTTGTCCTTTCTTCTTCTTCATTTTTTTTTCTTAAATTTTTATTGTGATTTGGGTGAACGTTTACAGAGCAAATTCATCTTCTGTGCAGCAGCTCATACACATTTTGTCTCATGACATTGACTGCAATTCCCCACAATGTAACAGCTTTCTTCCCACTTCCTACCTGTAGTTACCTCTTCCGTGTGTCCTTCCCTCCCATGCAAGCCTGACCCCATTCCCCCAGCTGTCTCTCCGTGCAAACGCTGCCCTTCTGTTCTCTCATGACTGACTGCTCCAAGCAGTATATCTACCTGATGTAAATGTTCACCCCACATGCCTGTCTATTGTTTGGCTGGAAGCCATAGGAATGAGTTCAATTTCAGACCTGAAGGGTGGCTCAAGGCCATAGTCTCAGGGGTCTCACCAGGCTCCATCAGACCAGCAAACCTGGTCTTTTAAAATTTTTATTTTATGATTTTGAGTTTTGTTCCACATTGTTCTCCCACTCCATTCAGGATCTCCTGCACTGATTCCCCTCCAAGTGGTTGACAGTGGTAGCCAGGCATCATCTAGTTCCTCTAGTCTCATGTTCATACAGGCCCAGGACTACATGTCTACCAGTCCCTTGGACTAATTGTTTCCATTCATCTTTGATTTTCTTCATTCTTCTCTGCTCTGGATGAGGAGAGACCAATCATTGCTTCTAGATGGCTGCTTGCAAGCTTCCAGGATCCCAGTTGCTACTCATAAAAGTAGGGTGTAGAACAATGTTTTTGTGTAGTATGTTATACCAATTGAACTCCATGTCCCATGTAACCATGGTCTCGAGCCCACAGGTCCAGCTACTCACTCCCTCTGGGTAGCTGGCTGTGGCCAAGAAGTCACCACAACCTTGCCCCTTGTTAGCTCTACTACACACCTGGACATTCTTATAGCACATACAAATATGCTTGTAGAAACATTGTCTACTAACCCTATACATGGTCATGGTTTGCCCTTTCTTCTTCTCTCGGCTCCTTGCTCACCCTCAGCCAGGCTATGAGCTAAAGGCTCAACCCCTAAGATGCAGAACTAGTGCTGCCAACTGTCCCAAAGTTCAGGAAAGAGATGGGGATGGGGCTGGGACTCTGGGTGTCCAAATCTATCAATATGAAATTTATCAATTTTGTATATTGGGCATATATCTGGAAAAAGATCCTGCTGCATGAAAAGGGATGAGGGGGTAGGGGGAGGAAATCCACTGCAGGAAGGGAAGTGGGAAGGGAGAGCTGCCTTAGCCCTTGGAGCTGTTGGTGTCACCACAGAGATCAAGACTAGTCTCCCTTCCCTGACCATACACACCAACCCTGACCATACACACCAACCCTGACCACACACACCAACCCCTGCCCTCTGCTCCCACCCGGAGGCAGGTTCCACATGGGGAGACCTGGGAAGAGCTCATTGTATTGTCAAGTTCACATTGAGCTCCTTCCCCACTAGAAGCCATAGCCAAGGCTGAGGCATTTGGGAATTACAGAGAACGAATTTCTGTTCAATGAGTGGAACAAAGATACAGGAAGCATGTGCAGGTCTTTTTTTTTAATTTTTATTATTATTATTATTTTTTATTGTGATTTGGGTGAAGATTTACAGTGCAAATTCACTTTCCATATAGCACTTCACATATCTTTGTCTCATGACATTGACCACAGTTTACCACAGCGCAATAGCTCCCCTCCCACTTCCTCCCCATAGTTACCTCTTCCCAGTGTCCATTCCTCCCTGGACTCCTATGTGCAGGTCTTTTAAAGAGGTAACTCCTAAGCATGTATTTGCTGGCCATTATCAGTGCCTCTAGCTTTTGCAATGGTTATGGACTTGACAATTTACATATAAATTTGATTTTCATCTACAGAATCCAGTTTCCCTGGTGAATTTCTACACTATAGCTTCAGTGTGGAGAACAGATTGGAAAGGGTAGAGTAGATTCAGGGGACTCAGTTAGAGGCTATTTCAATAGTCCATGAGAGATATAGGACCTCTGGTGGCATAGTGCCTAAGGCATTTGCCTGCTAACTAGAAGGCTGGCAGTTCAAACTCATCTGCTGCTCTTTGGATGGAAGATTGGGCAATCTACTTCTGTAGAGGTACCACCTCGGAATCCAAAGGAGGAGTCACTATGAGTTGGATTTGACTTGACGGCAGTGAGGTTTTTTTTTTTTTTTTTTTTTTTTTTATGAGAAGTATGCTGGTGGGTTGGTTCAGGGTGGTGTCTTAGGTGTGGGATAATTCACACACTGCAAGGCAACAGGTTAGTAGATGGATACAGAAGGTCCCTTCTACCTATGGTTTATGCCATGCATACAGTTTAACGATGACCATTTGGAGCCACCATCAAATGACTAGTTTCTTGCTCTGTTATTGACAGTAGTGATGCTGATTCATGAATTACTGGAAGGAAGGGTAGACAGGATGGTATTACTGTGGAGCATCCATTATTCTCTTCTCAGGATCCTTAATGAGCTGAGGCTTTCTCTGTCCTTGTTCCCAGGTAACAAGTATGAAGTCAAGGTGTACACTGGTGATGTAATTGGTGCAGGTACAGATGCTGATGTCGTCATCAACATCTTTGGAGAGTATGGAGATACAGGTAATGGGTTTGAAATCTTCCTCCCCAAGCTTTGCCCAGCACTGCTTCTTAGGAGAGTTGTTTTCTATACTCCATGCAGAGATGGTAGCATTTAACAGTGGGCTCAAGCTCATGAAAAAAAAAAAAAGGAAAGAATATGTGGAGCTTGATGGAACCAGCTGAGAAGGAAGACAGTTTGGGGACCCCTCTGGGCTCCTCTGTTGAGCATCTCCTCTTCCTTGATATGACTTGCCTTGACCTTCCCTGGGCACCAGGGTGCCTATTTTGTGTTGTAGAAGTATGTGTGTGATGTGTTTTCAGAATAAGGTATGCTTGGTTTTGTTGTTGTTATGTGGCGTTGAGTTGGAGCTGACTCATAGTGACCCCTCGTTGGGTTTCCGAGGCAGTATCACTACAGAAGTAGATTGCCCAACCTTCTTTCCGAGGAGTGGCTGGTGGGTTTGAACCGCCAGCCTCCTGGTTAGCAGTCAAGCGCCTTAGGCACTATTGTCCTGCATCCTAGACTACGAGCAGACCCAGTCTCTATAACCCCAGTGAACCCATTCTCATCTACTCTGAGCTCCATGACCATCTTCAGTGATATTTTGAGAAGTGGCTAGGCATGGCCTGATTCAATGCAGTTCTGTGGAGCAAGTCCAAATGGGGCTGGGGATAGAATTATACTTGACCTCACAGGTGAGGCAGAGACTGGGGACACTGACACAGCTGCAGGTATTGGCAGGAAGTTCAGGCCAGCAGAACTGAGAAAGGTGGTTTTCTTCTGTTTCTACCAATTGAGCAGGCTAATATAGCAGTCAGAAAAGCTACAGATGCCTATGAATTTTGTATACAGTGTATTAAAGAATTCAAAATATATTGTTGATCTTATAAGAAAGAAAGAGAAATCCCCAGGTGACCTAAACGAAGAGGGAAATCAGAACCAAAGTGCTAAATCTGAAATGATGCTGTAGCTCTTGGAAGGAGGGACTTCCATGCTTAGTAATCTAGAGGATGGGTTTTCATGCCCAGTTGGGGTCAGAACATGAAGCCTTGGCCCTGCATGAGGCAAAAGTTTCATAATTAGAAACCAGCATAAAGCCAGGAACCCTGAGGGCTACATCCTCAATGAAAAGATAAACTTGGGAAAATGTGCTCTTTACTACAGTAAACTAATCTCTGCAAGGCCTGTCTCTCTATATGCTTTGGGCCTGCACCACATGTGGCCTTAAAGTCTGATTTTACACTACAAGTGTGATTTGGGAACCCCCATACAGAAATGGATTCCTTTGGTGCTTGGCAAAAACATTTGCAAGACTACATGTGATTCCTGCAGACAAAATACTGGAGATGACTTCAACCACAAACCATGCAAAGACTTAATCCACCATAACAAAGCACCAATGTATACAACAAAACAAGATTAGATCCCCACGAATTTCAGTATTCTTGAATGGAGTAATATGAGAAAGGCTATAATGTAAGTATATTTAAACTAACTATAGACATGATAGAAACTACTGAAGAAAATAACTATTGCAGGAAATAGGGCACCATGGAAAATATAATAAATTTGGAAAAACAAGCAAACAGAATTACAGGAAATGAAAATAGTTACAGATACTTAATAGATGAATGAAATACCAGAATCAGAAACAATTACATGGAGAATTAGTAACTCATAAGATAAATCTAAAGGAGCTCTGGTGGTATAGTGGGTAAGGCATTTGGCTGCTAACCAGAAGGTCGGTGGTTCAAACCCACCGGCTGTTCCAGGGGAGGAAGATGAGGCAATCTAATTTGCAAAGATTTGTGGCCTTGGAAATCCAGTGGGGGTTGCTGTGAGTTGTCAGTGACTTGATAGCAGAGGGTTTGGGTTTGGTTTTTATGATAAATCTAAACATATTACTCAAATGTAGCAGAAAGAGATAAAAGGTTGGGAATTATAAGTGAGAGTTTATGAGACATGGAGGAGAGAGTGAGAAATTCCATTAGATGTTGAACAGAAGTTCCAGAAACAGAAAATATGGAGAATAGGTGAGAGGAAATAGTCAAAGAAATAATGGCTGAATCTTTTTTCAGAATTGACCAAAGATATGAATCCTCAGACTGAAGAAGCAAAATAAGTCATTGAACAGGATAAATAAAAGTAAATCTCCCTTTAGATAAATTGGGAAGCTCTGGTGGCATAGTGCCTAAGGCATTTGACTGCTAACCAGAAGGCTGGAGGTTCAAACCCATCAGCCACTCCTTGGAAAGAAGACTGGACAGTCTACTTCCACAGAGACACTGCCTCGGAAACCCAAGGAGAAGTCACTATGACTCAGATCGAGTTGATGGCAGTGAGTTTTTTTTTTAGAGTTTTTAGATAAATTGTGGTGAAACCAAAGGCAAAGAAAAAGATGTTTAAAGTAGCCATATTTGGTAGGTTACCTTCTTTAAAAATAATTAGTAGATTGAGAGCAGATTTCTGTCATCAGCCTATAGAGGTCATGAGCCCATGAGTAATATCTTCAATGTCCTGAGCAAGGTTATATATCTACCTAGAATTCCATGTGCAGCTAGGCTATCATTCCAGAATAAGGGAAAAATCAGTGCATTTCCATGCAAAGAGAGTAGGGTTTACCACTCATAGACCCAGGCTCAAACACCCACTGAAGGAAATACTTTAAGAAAATGGAAATTGTACCCAGAAGAGAGGAGTGAGTTGCAAGAAACAAAGTGAACACAAGCAACAGAAAGATAACTCTGTGACAAATCTAAGTAAGCATCAACTGTGCAAAATTAACAATGGTGACTAATTTCAGGGCACAGGCAAAGATGGCACCCAAACACTGCTAACTAACTAACTCATTGCCATTGAGTTGGATCCGACTCATAGCGAACCCTCCTTGGGTTTCCGAGGCGGTATTGCTATGGAAGTAGATTGCCCAACTTTCCTTCTGAGGAGTGGCTACACTAGGCAACAATAATTGTTGAGAAGTAAAGTGGACAACGAGAGTTAAAACATTCTCAGGTCCATGGGGCCAGCCCATCACCCCACCCCCACTCCCTGGAGAGTCAATTATGCATGTTAAAATTGTAAAAGTGACCACTCAAATGGGAAATGTCTAACTTCTAAATCAGTAGAGAGAGAAAAGGGAATTAAAAAAAAAAAATCGATCAAATAAAAGGAAATGAGGAAATAGAAGTAAAAAAAAAAGCATGGCAAATAGCAAAAAGTTAGATAATTAAAATAAATTCTAATATGTCAGTAATCACGAGAAGTAGATATAAATAAACTCATCAGTTAAAATAGAGATGTTACCATATTAAATGAAAAGCCTGGCTTAAACATGTGGTACGAAATGGCTAATAATAAATAGGATGGAATAAAGTGTAACAGGAAGATATCAACAGCAGGAAAGAAGCTGGTATAACTATATTAGTATCTGTTAAATTGAACTTCAAGACAAAAAACTTTATTAGAAAAAAAAGTATATTACACAATGACAAAAGTAACAACAGTTAACCTGGAAGATAAAATAATTCTGAACTTGTATATATTTAATAATATATTCCCAAAATATGTGAAGCAAAAATGAACAGAATTCTTGGGAGGAAGTAGAGAAATACATACTCACAGTGGGAGACTTTAATCCAATATTCTCAATAACTGATAGGTCAGATGCATAAAAACATAGTAGGAGAGGAGACAACTTTGACTATATAGTTAACAAGTTTGATTTAATGGAAGTATGCAGATTCCTGCATCCAGCTGGCAGGAAATACACGTTCTTCTCAAGCCTATAATGGAAAGTTAATAAAATTGACTTCATACTAGACCCCAAAGCAGTCTTCACAAGCTCAAATGAATCAATAACATAAGACAACATTTAAATCATAAACCAATAATATTAGAAGAATCTTCCACTTTCCCCTCCTCATTTAGAAACTAGAAAGCACATTTAAAAGTAATTAATTACTTAATTATGATGATAATAACCTGGTAAAACATGTTCTATACTACTACTAGGAGCTCTGGTAACATAGTGCCTAAGCCACTTGACTGCTAACCAGAAGGCTGGTGGTTCAAACCCATCAGACACTCCTCGGAAGGAAGGTTGGGCAATCTACTTCCGTAGTGATACTGCCTGGGAAACCCAAGGAGGGGTCGCTATGAGTTGGGTCTGACTCGATGGCAAACAACAACAACAATACTACTACTACCATGGCATTTTCAATCACCTCATACACATGTGAAAGCTGGACAATGGAAAAGGAAGACCAAAGAAGAAATGACACACGTGAATTATGGTGCTGTCGAAGAATATCAATCATATCATGGACTGCCAGAAAAATGAACAAATTTTTCTCGGGCGAAGGACAGCCAGAATGCTCCTTAGAAGCGAGGATAACAAGACTATCTCCCTTTGGACAGGTCATCAAGAGGGACCGATCCCTAGAGAAGAACATCACGCTTGGTGAAGTCGAGGGTCCCTGAAAAAGAGGAAGACGTGCAATGAGATGGACTGACACAGTGGCTGCAACAGTGGGCTCCAGCATACCTACTGCTATGAAGGTGGCACAGGATTGGGCAACGTTTCGTTCATGCGGTGACCATGAGTCAAAACCGACTCCACAGCATCTAACAACAACAGCAACAACTACGCGCTGTTGTCAGTTGCAAGTCATGGTGAGCCCATGTGTGTGGAGCAGAACTGCTCTGTAGGGTTTTCAAGGCCGTGACTTTTCAGAAGCAGATCGCCAGGCCTGTCTTCTGAGGTGCCTCTCGGTGAGTTTGCACTGCCAACCTTTTGGCCAGTAGTTGAGTGCTGAACACTTTGCTCCTCTATAATAATCTAGAACAGCGTTTTTCAGGGGGACACTCACAGAGATGAGAGCAGCAGCAAGTGTGCAGGGCCTGGTTTGCCACTATATTCTGGTGTACCCCACAAGGATCTTGCAGGGTACGACCAGGAGAGGGACCCTGGCCCTTGGGCTTGAGGTTTTTAAGTTCATCTCCTGGCATTATCAGTGTCTGGAGTCCAATAAAACTTGGAGTTGGTACTTTCTCCCCTTTTCATTGGCTTTGTAATTTCCTTGTGTGTCTGTGCATATAGGGGAACGTAGGCTGGAAAATGAAAAGGACAACTTTGAAAAGGGAGCTGAAGATAAGTTCACATTGGATGCCCCGGATTTGGGGCAGCTGATGAAGATCAATATTGGCCACAACAACAAGGGGGGCTCTGCAGGCTGGTTCCTGTCCAAGGTGAGTTCAGCTGCCTGTCTGTGGTCCCTGTGGCTTGAGAGGGGGCGATTCTGACTCCTCAGAGGGTTATGTTCCAGTCTAGGTTATGTTTCTGTTTCTAGGGAAGTTTTCCAGGGAAGTCGAGGAACTTCCCTCCCTAGACCTATCTGCTTTGACTCTTCTACCTCAGGCCCCTGGACAATCATGGTGCTTTCCTCATAGCTGCAAGACTTCGCCCATGCTGTCATCTTCCTAGGATGTCCAGTTCCCTCATCCCAACCAGGCAGGGTCTACTTATCCCCTCAAGTCTCCACCACGAAGTTTCCCTAACTCTGGCCGACTAGAACCTCTTCCTCCCAATTGCTTACATATTATCCCGTGTAGCAAACTTCAGCCACTCCTCTGTCAGTTTGTCATATTGTGGTGGCCTATGTGTTGCTGTGAGGCTGGAAGCTATCACTGGTATTCCAAATACCAGCAGGGTCACCCGTGGCAAACAGGTTTCCATGGAGCTTCCAGTCTAAGACAGACTAGGAAGAAGGACAGGGCCGTCCACTTTGGAAAAAGTTGGCCACTGAAAAGCTTATGAATAGCAGTGAAACACTGTCTGATATATTACCAGAAAACTTTATGAACAGTGAAACATTAGTGCCAGAAGATGAGCCCCTTAGGTGGGAAGGCACTCAAAATATGACACAGTGGCTGAAATGATGGGTTCAACCATAACAGGGATTGTGAGGATGGTGCAGGACCAGGCAGTGTTTCATTCTGATGTACATGGGTGGCTGTGAGTCCGAGCCAGCACCTAACAACAATAGCAAACTTGCTCCTATAATTTTAAACCTATAGCAGAAAATTAAAAGGAAGCAGGGGCCCTGCAATAGGTAGATTCGTTGAGAAGAGGAAAGGGAGTCAGAAAAGATATAAAGAGCAGAAAGAATATTAAAGCATTGAAAGAAATGTGAGGATGTTTTGGAAATAGGCAACCAGCTCTTAGCATGTATTTGCATAAATCTTGAAGACATTGGCTTATTTCCATTCATCACAGAATGATAACAAAAGGATAATATGTGATATATTTTAAAAGATAATTTAAAAAAAAGACCTTTTAAAATGGACACCTCTCTCTGTATGTCACCATCCTTAAGACTATGGCTCTCTTAACCTCCAACTTACTACCTCATGATCACATGATGGCTGCTATACTTCAAGGCATCTCATCTGTGTTCCAGGCAGGAAGAGAGGGGAAGGCCAAAGGGAATAATGATGTTTTCTGGCAAGGCTTGCCTTACATTGAGAGGAGTAAAGCCTACTACATTTCACTGGCTGGAAATGTGTCATGTGGTCACCCTAGCTGCAAATGGAAACTGGGAAATCAAGTGGTTAGCTTTCCAGTCTTTATAGTTGAAATAGGCTGGGGAGAAAATGATTGGGAAAGAGTGTTGAGTGAGCATCCTAGAATGTCTGCCACATTTCTCTCTACAACTAGCTTGAAAGTCCCTAGTGCTTAGAATGGAGGTGGGCACAGAATCAATAAAGTGATGAATGGCCAACATTCCTTTAGAGAAGAAGGGATTTGCCTGGCCCTAAGAATAACCACGTTGACTCAGGAGGGTCTCAGGGCTGTCTTGTTTGAGAGACATAAGACAAGAGTCCAGACCCCAAAAACCCAATACATAGGTAGAGGTGTGTCTTCAGGGCAGTTTTCTGTTCAACTGGGCAGAAGAAAGAGAGGAGGCACACAGGTTTTACGACCTCAGCCAGCATGGGACACAGAGAAGGCAGCTTGAAGCCTAATCCCTTCATTTTGGAAAGCAGGCTATCTGAGTGAGAACATAGGCTTCTGGGTGTGTCCCTGGTTCTGTTGCATACCTTGGGCGAGTTACTCACCTTCTTGAATTTAGGGTCCTTCCTGAGCCTTGCCTCACATGGGACCCACTCGTTAATTGTGCTGTTGGGGAGGTTTCATGAAGGAAGTGGGTTCCTACCCCAGAATATGCCCTCTGTCACCTTCACACTTGTAGGGCAGCTTGACATGGTATGAATCTATGAGTAGAATACTTTTCCTGTAATATTTTGTAAATAGTATTCCATTGCCTTCTGAAATTTGATATTGAGGCCAATCTAACTTTGGCTTCCTTCTGGGTACACTATTATTTTCTGCCAGGATGTCTGCAGGATTTTTTGCTTTATATGTATAATTAAATCTTGTCAGACAGCATCTAGGAGTGGGGCCTAGCATTATTTCTTCCTCATTCCCCTCTCCCCGTCCTTTCTTTTGTTTCTGTTTTTAATTTCTCTGGAACACAATGAGTCTTTTCTATCTGATGTGTGTCATTGTTGTTGTGTGCCACTGAGTAGAACTGCCCCTTAGGGTTTCCTAGGCTGTAATCATCAGGGAAGCAGATGGCCACATCTTCCTCCTGTGCAGCAGCAGCTGGTGGGTTCAAGTTTACCTACATGCTTAATTTTAATGATTTGACTGATTGCTCAGAATAACTAAATTTCTCAACTCTGGTTAGGGACTTTCATCAGGTGCCAAGCTGGTATTATTTATGATATTTCTTTAAGCTTTGAGGGTGAGCATTTCTTGCTCTTGAAGCCATGACTTTAATTAATCTGTAAACAGTATCAGGCAGGGGTGCTAAGTTACTAGTAGACTTGACAGTTTATCTAATGAATTAAATGCTTTCTTTCATCGCCTCACTTTCCCAACTGCGTGAGAGTCAGGGAAGGGGGCTATGAGGCAGGTTGCAGCCTAGCTCAGACCCTTGCCAAGGACTCCCCAACCCTGGGAGATGAAAGACACAGAGAAAAGTGCAGATGAGTTGGCAGAGGCTGGACTTCCTTGGCAGAAATTCCCCCTCCTCAGTCACAGTGGTCCCCAGACACTCAGCTTTGTAAGTGCAGAAACTCAATCAAATCAGCAGGCTCTGGGGAGCTGATTCACACCAACCAAACTCACAAGGGACTGATTTATAAACTGGGATCTGAATACTGATTTATCTAGGGAGAGAAGCCTGGTGGGGCAGCTGATGTTGATCACTGGCTCTAGCCGCAGGCTCCTTGCTGGGGATGGGTGTACCAGGAGTCCAGATCTCAGCCCAGAAGTTGCTTGATGAGCATTGGATTAGAATAGACAAGTATGTCTCATTTCCATACTGCAGATACATGTGTCTTAGAAATGAATCTTTCATTGAAACCAGAGTCCCTTTATCTTGGATAGTCTTGAGAACATGTTGGCAGACCTTTTTATTTTTCAACTCACCCTTGTCTGTCACTGGATGCTTCTGCCAGCACAATGTGTTTGAGTTATTAAGGGTTCTGTTTCTCTTAGAAGGATTTTCAGTTGGGTCTTCCCAGCACATTTCCATGGACACCTTAGCTCCTGGATGAGCTCTGGGCAATACACTCATCTCAGCCTATGCAACTTAGCTCCATATAAGCCACTCGCACGTGCTTCAGAGATGGCCAATCCCCTTAGCCTCGCTGCTAATATTTTCTGACCTCATCGCCAGCTCCTAGGATTATCTCTGCCTGATTTGGGGCTTACAGCTCCCCTGTATGAGTTCTGCTTCTTAGCAATAAGGGTGGAGTCCCAGCCTTCAGCAGGTATGGAAGGTGATAACCTTGGTGCAGCTGCAAATCCAGTTTCCACTTCTCACGCTCCAGCCTCACAAGGAACATCCACCAAGTTCCTTTCTTTTTTAAAAAATTTATTTTCATTCACTTTTTTTTATTGTTGTGAAAGTATACATAACATTTGCCAGTTCAACATTTTTCATGTGTACAGTTCCATGGAACAAATCAAATCAATCATGTTGCACAACCATCACCAGTACCCGTTGCCAAATTTTCCTTCACCATGACCAGAAGTGAAAATGCCTTCTAAATGACGCTTCTCCTTTTTCTCCTCCCTTCTGCCCCAGTAACCTCTATTGGACTCTGATCTCTGTACTCTGCTTCTCCTAGGTATTTCATTGTAGTGAGACCACACAATATTTGTCCTTTTGTAATCGACTTATTTCACTTGGCATATTCTTGCTTTCAATTTTGAATGATCTGCAGAAGTGGGTGGGGTGGGGGGAGAGTGGCTCAGTCATTCAAACAGGAGGCAGTTATCAGTCATCTCATATGTGACTTCCAGTGCTTTGTGGGGTTTTTGGCTAACAAGTATGTCCTTGTGATAAACATGAACATGTGCTCTGAGGGGACACTCAAGTGATGGTTTGGGTCATCAGGTGCACCCTCAATGACACTCATCAACATTTCTTTCTTTCTTCCCTTTCTCAGATTGTCATTGAAGATATTGGAAACAAAAGAAAATATGATTTCCCTCTTAACCGCTGGCTGGCATTGGATGAAGATGATGGCAAAATCCAAAGGGACATCTTAGTGGGTGGAGTGGAGACCACAGGTAGAACTGAAGAAAGGAGAAGATGAATTGGCTAGTATTTCTGCTGAGGGTCAGTGTTTTCATTTGTGGACCTGAAGGCCCAAGATCAAGTAGGAGCGAGCAGTGTTTGCATGTAACGTTTTCCTTGCTTCTGAAAAAGTCCTATTCCTCTGGACTGGAATCTGGGGTTCTGTTGGTGTCAGAGGGGATGGAGAAATGTCCCTGAGAAGACAGTAAGTGCCCAGGGCAAAATAATATTATAAATAGGATGAAACGAGCCCTGAGCCGTATGTGAATTCCTGATGAATGTGATGTTTACGAGGACATTGATTTACTATTAACTCTTCCTAACATTGAGCATTACTACATGTCAGACAAGGAGCTCTGGTGGTGTAGTGTTTAAGACATTTGGCTGATGACCAAATGATCCATGATTTGAACCCACCAGCTATCTCATGGAAGAAAGATGGGGCAATCTGCTTCTGTAAAGATTTACAGCCTGGGAAACCCAATGGGTTTGCTGTGAGTCAGAATCAACTTGATGGCAGTGAATTTGGTTTTTTGGTTTATATGTCAGACCCTCTCCTAGGCACCTGACCCACTGCATCTCCTTTAATCTTCCCAACAACCCCATAATGTAGGAACTGCTGTTCCCGTTTCATAGATGAGAAAACTGAAGCACATAGAAGTTAAGATACCTGTCCAAGGTCACACAGCTTGTAAGTGACAGATCCAGGATTGGATCTGCCTCCTGTTATTGTTCTGGGCAGTCAAGTTGATTCTGACTCAGCAACCCTGTAGAGCCCTATGGAATTCCATGGAAAACGTGGTCATAGATGCTTCAGAAAAGCAACTTTGATGCTGTGCCCATCTGGGAATGTGCTCTGCTGCAAAACCTCCCGTAGCTCTGCACAGAGACAAAGCCTATTTGGCCCAGATTCTGTACTGCAATATTCAAATCCCTCCACCACCTGGGCCCCCAGTTCATCATATCAGCATCTTTCCAACACCCTTTCTCCTATGGCTTCCACACATCCTCCATCTCCCTCCACCAAATCTGCATATCTTCCACCATGCAGAGATGTAGGACAAACCTTAGCAGAATTCACTCTTTGGTCCTTTCTCTTCCTCTGTTCAATCTTAGAGTTTAATCTTTTCCTAATGGCTCTCCCTCAGAATTCCATGTCCTCATATAGCCCCTGACTTATCAAAACCTCAAATTGCCCAGCTTGCACTGTTTCTTCCCTTCCTCAATCTTCCCACTCCACTACATCAGCAGATGAAGGAGGACCTAAGTGGCCTCTATTAAAAATCATGTTTTTACATTATCAGCAAAAGGGCAGGCTAAATGAATAAGAATGCCCTGAATATAAATTTCCATTAATGGAATTGACTATTATAATTAGATTAGAGATAACAGAATTCATCTGACAGCTATTAATAATATACATATGGTAATTAACATGAATAATAAGTACTATTATTAGACAACCCAAGTTCCTCTTCTTTGTTAATTTCCTGTAATCAGGGCTGACAGCTTCTTGTAATATTACATGTAGTTTACTCCCAGACTCACACACACACTGGCACACAAACTCTTGAAGAGAAAGAGTAAGGTTGAGAGGGTACTGTAAATTGTCTGGGGGAGGACATGAAGGGAATGAGAAGGTGCGGAAGAGGGAGGGGCTTAAGTGCATTGTACCCAAGGAAGGAGGTAGGGGCAGAGGTAGGGGATATTTTGACGTGGCTCACCTTGAACCCTCTCCTTTTTCTGTTGTCCCCGCATCAGCTATCTCATACATTGTCACTGTGTTCACTGGAGATGTCCGGGGAGCTGGGACCAAATCCAAAATCTACTTGGTCATGTATGGGGCCAGAGGGAAAAAAAACAGTGGGAAGATCTTTCTGGAGGGTGGTGTGTTTGACCGTGGCCGCACAGACATCTTCCACATCGATTTGGCTGTACTCCTCAGCCCCCTGAGTCGGGTCTCTATCGGCCATGGTAACGTGGGTGTCAACAGAGGCTGGTACTGTGAGAAGGTAAGAGATGTTTCCAAGTGGACCCTTCCCACACAACCTCTCTCTTTTGTCACTTGCAAATATAAGCTCTAACTTGAATCCTATTTACTGCTTTGGACCAGTTACAGAGCAAATGGTTGATACCTTTCTTTGGATCCTTTGGGTGGTAACATGCCCATCTATCTTGTCTTGCTGGCAGTTAGGAGTAAGGGCTGTTCTGTACATGCCAAACACAGGTAGGTTATTAGGAAGGTGCTTATAGACCATGCTGGTTCCTGGTGTGGAGCTGGACTTCAGCTCATAAATCTCAGTCAACAAGTATTTGTAACAATACGTTTTTATTTTAGGATACATTAAGGAATGTACATAATACAAGTGAGATACAGAGGATGATAAAAACAAACCTCTATTTTATCTACCATCTGCTTAAGAAATAGAATATTTCCAGTGCTTTTGAAACTCCTCTGTCCCTCCCCATCTTGTGTTCCTCTCTCCCCAAAAGGGCATACAGTATTATGAATTCTATGTATATATTGGATGTAGCTTGCAGTTTTTACTGCTTATGCTTTAGACATTTATCAGAATTGATAACAGAAGCTGTAGTTCATTCATTTCCCTTCTGTAAAGTTTCCATTGTACGAATCAGTTACAACTTATTCTTCATTCTTCTATTAGTGATCATTGATTCCCCTCAACTATATGTAGTTTTCTATTTAACCCATCTATTGAGTTTTTATTTCAGTAATTATCTTTTCATATTCAGAAGTTAATTTGTTTCCTTTTCAAATCTGCCTAGTCATTTCTTTATGAGAGAAGGTAATTATAAGTAAGTAATTTGGTATTTTAGTTATTTGAGTTAAGATTAACTGAGATTTTATGATGTGCATAAAGAAATGTTGTGTTAATAGGTATTGTGTAGAGGAGATACAGTTTGAGATTAGGGATAGAAGATGGGAAGATGGATGGTACTTTCTTGGGAAGATTTCTTGGAGGAGATATTTTTGATCTAAGATTTAATGAGGTGGGCAATGGGAAGAAATTGCTATTCTTTGTGGGGGGAGGGTCTATCTTAGTTTCTTAGTGCTGCTATGACAGAAATAAACCAAACTCACTACCATCGAGTCAGTTCCGACTCATAGTGACCCCTCCTTGGGTTTCTGAGGTAGTGTCTCTGAATCAAAACCAAACTCACTGCCGTCAAGTCGGATCTGACTCATAGTGACCCCTCCTTGGGTTTCTGAGGCTGTATCACTATGGAAGTAGATCACCCAATTTTCCTTCTGAGGAGTGGTTGGTGGGTTTGAACCACCAGCCTCGAAGTAGATCGCCCAGTCTTCCTTCCGTAGTAGAGTGACTGGTGGGTTTGAACCGCCAGCCTTCTGGTTAGCAATCAAATGCCTTAGGCATTGTGTCACCAGTGCTCCAACAGAAATTTGTTTTCTCACAGGTTAGGGGCTGGAAGTCTGCGTTCAGAGAGTCAGCTCTAGCAGAAGGCTCTGTCAACTCTGAGGGAAAATCCTTGTCTCAGCTGTTTCTTGGCATTCCGTGGTGGTCTTCACATGGCATTAATCTTTTCCCATTTGTCTTCCTTGCTTCTGTACCTGATCTGGTCCTTTTATATCTCAAAAGTGATTGGCTTAAAACATACCCTGCCCTAATATGGCCTCGTTAACACAGCAAAGAAAGCCTTATTTCCAAATGGAGTTACAGCCACATGTATAGGGATTAGGATTCTAACTACTTCTGTGGGACACAATTCAATTCACACCAAGGTTCTTATGTGGAGGTCCATTGATGAGAGCTGAGGAGGCTGCTGGGTATTGTCAGGAGGTCTCAACTGGCAGAACTACTGTGGGAGACTCTTCTGGTCTATTTTTCCAGGTGGTGATTCTGTGCCCCTACACTGGCATCCAGCAGACCTTCCCTTGCAGGAACTGGCTGGATGAGAAGAAGGCAGATGGACTTATTGAGAGGCAACTCTATGAGATGGTGTCTTTCAGGAAGAAGAGGCTGAAAAGTAAGTGCAGAGAACTCAGACTTGGTGGCCTCTCAGACAGGGCCAGCAAAAGCCAGGTCATCAAACCACGGGACAAGAACTTCAAGAAAGAACTTCTTGAAGACTCTGCTTCTCATTTCTCCTCTTCTAGGAAGGAGGTGAAAAGTGCCCCTTAGGAAGGTCAGTTCTCCAGGTACAGGTCATGTAAATATATAACCTGGAACCAAGGCTGATATCCCAGTGTCCTCAGATGTAATAAGTTGCAGTGAGGGATTAGAATGGTTTAATACAATGTGCTTGGCATGTACAGGATATCGAGTGGGTGGTGTGAACACTTTGCCCTATAAGAATGTACTAATAAATGTCAGCCATTAAAAGCAATGTTAATGTGCCCTCTTTTAAATAGCAATGAATCCTTGTTGTTGTTGTTAGGCGCTATTGAGTCAGTTCTAATTCACAGCAACTTTATGTACAACAGAACGAAACATTGCCTGATCCGGTGCCATCCTTACAATCGTTGCTGTTTGAGCCCATTGCTGGAGCCACTTGTGTCAGTCCATCTCATTGAGGGTCTTCCTCTTTTACACTGATGCTTGCTTTTCCAAGCATAATGTCCTTCTTCAGGGACTGGTCCCTCCTGATAACGTGTCCACAGTTCGTGAGATGAAGTCTTGCCATCCTCATTTCTAAGGAGCATTCTGGCTGTACTTCTTCCAAGAATGAATCCTTAGCTTCCTAAATTTGTCACTGGTGATAAAGAATTTCTGACAGTGGGACACACTTGTATATAACCTTCATTCAGTCCTGATCACCTTTGATTTGTCCCTCTTCCCCATTGGTTACATGCAAATCTTTTCACTTCTCAAAGTTGATGGTTCAATTTGATCTGTCTGTAGAATTCCCTTGGTCCCTGTGGGTCTGGACGACTGACCTGAAGAAAGCTGGTACCAACTCTCCCATCTTCATCCAGCTTTATGGGAAGAGGGGGAGAACAGATGAGATTCTCCTGAATCCTAACAACAAGTGGTTCAAACCCGGCAAGATTGAGAAGTTTACGGTAGGAGAGAAGTATGATGAGGTGGGAGGGAGGAGAAAGAAGAGGTATAGGAGGTATTTGTCATGGAGGATTCTGGTTTTCTCTAAGTCAAGTTTGGATTTGTTATGAAGACAAAACAGTACAATGGAGACTTTAGGCTCCTGCAGAGAGTGACAATTATGGTGATTTATAAGCAATGCATTGAATGGGGTGCAATTTAGATATGTCTGTAAACCCTTCCAGGTGCCCTGGTGGTGCAGTGGTTAAAGTGCTCAGTTGCTAACTGAAAGGTTGAAAGTTTGAACCCACTAGCTGCTCTGTGGGAGAAAGATGCTTCTGTAAAGATTACAGCCTTGGAAGCCGTATAGGGCAGTTCTACTTTGTTCTGTAGGGTCACTATAGGGCCGCCATGAGTCAAAATCTACTCGAGGGCAATTGGTAATGGGTAAGCCCTTCATCTGAATCAAACAGTCTAGAATCAAGCCTTGGGGGGGTGGGGGAAACAAGTATGTAACAATTATAAGCATCCAGGAGTCAGTGACTTGGGGAATTGGGGAACAGTGACCCTGAGCACAGTTGATGTTAAACTGCCCAATTTGGACTGAATTGGAGGCAAGGACCCATTTTAAGGGAAAATGTGAATTTTAGAACATTTTCAAAGAAATTCAGATTTTCAACTTTCTGGTATATACATAACTTAGAACAAGGCTAGTTTTACCAAAGGAAATGCTGCTTTGAGTTTAGGTTGGCATTATTTGGAAAGTGATTCATGTCCCATTGTCACACTCCTCTGAGCACCTCATGGGTGCCTCCATGACACCACTCAGTTCATTGTTCTTTATTTATTTCTCTTCCTTGCTGGATTCTGAGCCCCTGGGGAAATGGCATGACAGTTGTGTTGATCGGGGTATCTGTTTTTGTGCCCAATAGAGAATTGGCACTATAAGACTATGCTAATTTTCCAGGGTGGCCCTATGGATTTTGTTACTGGAACTTTATTGCTTGGAGGCTTTATTGTTCTGGGCTGGATCCCACTGTGGATCAGAGATTTCTGTTCAGTTTCACCAGTTCTACATGGGTATCTTCCCCTCATATGCTCCTGGTTATAAGAAGCAGGAGAGAAAAGAGTATGTGTAGGTGGCTTGAAGCAAACCCATCCCTACTGCTGAAAAAACGACTCAAAGCAGTTGCTCTCCGGGCAGTGAGTCAGCTATGAATATGGACAATTGGGACACATTTCGCTTGGTTCTGTCCACTTAGGCCGTTTTATTTCTCACTACAGATTGAGATCCCAGATCTTGGCATGTTTTATAAGATTCGGGTGTGGCATGATAAAAGGAGTCCTGGTTCTGGATGGCATCTAGAAAGGGTGAGATGTGCCATCTTGGAAGTGGGAAGTGGTTGGGAGAGGAACTAGAATGGTCCCTTTCTAATGACTCTGTCATGTAAGTTTGCCTCCATATTTAATGGAACTGGAGACAAAGAAGGGTTATGGTGAGGCCTGAATTTGGAGAGAGTTCCTGATTGCACGAGGTTTCTAAAGTAGACCGAGAAAAACCTCAGATGTTCAAGAGGCTTGAGCTCTGCCTCAGCTGCTAACGAGTGTGAGTTTCTAGGAGAACAAGGGAGAATATGGGGAGAATATTAACCTGGCACTCTGCCTTCCACAAGGGCCAGCGCATGGCCTTGGCCTCACTGAGATGAGATAGCTGAATGAGGACGCCAGGGCATGTGTGAAAGTCTCTGGTACACCCACTTGCTCACTCCGGGACTTTGTTCCAGATGACCCTGATGAACACTCTGACCAAGGACAAGTATAACTTCAACTGCAATCGCTGGTTGGATGCCAATGAAGATGACAATGAGATTGTGAGGGAAATGACTGCAGAAGGCCCAACAGTGCGAAGGATAATGGGCAGTAAGTACTGACCAGCTGTTTATCCTGGACGGGAGCTCCACAGCGGAACTCTTTTTAAAAAATTGTATTTATTTTGTTGTTCTTGAGAATATAAACAGCAAAACATATACTAACCCAACAGTTTCTACATGTGCAATTTAATGACTTTGATTACATTCTTCAGGTTGTGTAACCATTCTTACACTCTTTTTCTGAGTTGCTCCTCTCCCACTTACATAAACTCACTGAGTTTCCTATCTAATCTTTTGAGTTGCTGTTGTCAATTTGATCCCATATAGATAGACCTTCAAGGAACATAATGCTCAAGCCAGACATTCTTACTAGTCAAGTTAAACTATTGTTTGCTTTTCAGAGGACTTCAAGGGATATTTTTGATTTAAGGTTTAAAGATAGGGCAATAGTTTCAGAGTTTTATCCAACTTTTATGGCTCCAGGATGTCTGGAGTCCATGAGAATATGAGATTCTGTTCTGCATTTTCACCCTTTGAATTACGATTCTTCTATGGAATCTTTGCTTGAAATGTTCAGTAATGGTAGCTGGACGCCACCCAGATCTTCTGGTCTCATGGCAAAGGAGGCAGTTGTTCTTGGAGGCAATAAGCCACACATTCCATATTCTCCTTCTATTCCTCTGTTGATTCAGGCAGATAGAGACCAGTGTGCCTTGGATGGCTGCTTGAAAGCTTTTAAGACCCCAGGCATTGTGCAATGAACTAGGGTGTAGAATAGAAACACTAAACATGTTATTAGGCCAATTAACTGGTATGTCCTATGAAACCATGACCCTAAACCTTCAAACCAAGAAACCAAATCCCATGAGGTTTTTGGTTGTACATAAGCAGCCTCAGCAACTTCTGTCTCTTTTTTCTGTTGTTGTAAATATATCTGTCACAGAACATTTGCCAGTTCAACTTTTTATAGGTGTACAAATTATTGACAGTATTTACAATAATCAGCTGTGTAACTCTACCCTTAATCAATGCAATATTTCTACCACCATTAACCCCTTTTTTTCCCTTCCTCCCACCCCCCGGTTATCAGTATCAAACTTTTTTCTCTATACATTTATATTTTCTTGTGTTTTTATATAAGTGCAGTCATACAATAGTTGTCCTTTGTGGTTGATTTATTTCACTCAGCTTAATGTCTTCCAGCTCCATCCATCCTGTAATATATCAAGACTTCATTTCTCCTACTGCCTGAGTATGCAGTGGAGTTCTTAATTGGTGTCCCAGCAGAAGCCTGGCCCATAGGCTGATAGTCTTGCTCACTGTGTATTGTTGGGCTCCTTCTGAGGCCAGGGTGGATTTAAGAGGTCCCCAGCCTCAAACTAACTCAGTAGCTCTGAGGAAGAAAGACCAGGTTATCTGCTTCCATAAAGATTACAGACTACAAAACCCTCTGGTACAGTGTTGCTCTGTCACATGGATTGTTATGAGTCAGAATCTATTGGATGGTACCTAACAAAAACAACATTTCAAACAGCGTGTAATTTGTGAGAGTACCATAGCTGTGATTTGTTTTTTGTTTTCTGTGATACAATTAAAGAACAATTTCAATGAGAAAAAATTTTTCTGATGAATAACAGGATTAAAGGGTTGTCTGTCCTGGCACACTGTTAGTTAGTTGATGCCTTCTGGAGGTCCTTGGCAGTACTTTGGAGCCCATCCTAATTCTAATGTCTTTCTCCCAATTGCTCTTTCTGGACCACATAAATTTCTCTTGCGCTCGGAACACACCCAGATTCTCACTGGCCTCTACAAGAACTCAGATCTGGATTTTGCTGTGGAAGCTTCTTTATTATACTAAATAGAGCTGGGAGCAAGCTCTCACTTCCTCATTTGGTACTACGTAACAAATCATGTGCAGGACTTCCTAGAAACCTCGTAAGTGGAATTGGACTTGGGTAAAATGAGTAAATACCAATTTAAAAGCAATTCTCTAAATTTGAAACCTTGTGTGCCTAGTTTACTTAAAATATGGTCATCCAAATAAGAATGAATGCATGTCTGAGAGTCAAGAGGCTTTTGGGAGAGATTGCACTGATTAGGGCAGGCTGGTAGACACAGATAGAAAACACATGGCTCGCGGTTAATTTCTACCTCACCTTCCCTATAGGAGTTACATGAGATAGTGAAAGAAATGAGATCAGCACTCTCCACTCTGTGCCCAGCAGAAGTGATTACTCAAAACTCCAGAGTGGGCAAGAGACCACTGGATTCCAGGGCTGGAAACCAGAGCTGCTTGTTAATCAGACTGAGATGTAATTTTTTCGTTAAAGTACAAGAGGCATTGGTACTCACCCATCTGTTTAGAGTCTTTGCTGCTGATGTCTAACAACATCATTATTGTTAATTGTCCATAGACTTCTTGCCGGGAGCTCTGGTAGCATAGTGGCTAAGACACTTGCCTGCTAACCAGATGGCTGGCGGTTCAAACCCACTAGCCACTCCTCGGAAGGAAGGTTGGGCAATCCTACTTCCGTAGTGATACTGCCTCGGAAACCCAAGGAGGGGTCGCTATGAGTCGGGTTTGACCCGACGGCACATAACAACAACAACAAGAAGACTTCTTGCCAGGAAGGAACTGGGACCTCCATGGCAGGTGCACCCTAGAAAGGGTTAGGATCTCTGAGAACTTCCAACCAAATAAATCTCAAACCTCTAGAACAAGCAAATCAAACCAAATACATTGTCATCAAGTCAATTTTGACTCATAGTGACCCTTTGGACAGAATAGAATTGCCGCATAGGGGTTCCCAGGCTGTAAATCTTTATGGAAGCAAACTACCACATTTTTCTCCTGTGGAGTGGCTGGTGAATTTGAGCTATCACCCTTTCAGTTAGTGGCTGAGCACTTTAACTACTGTACCACCAGGGCTCCTCTCTAGAACAAAGCCAAAAACTAAACTTACTGCCATTGAGTCAATTACAAGCCATAGTGAACCCCATTGGGTTTTCAAGGCTGTAAATCTTTACAGAAGTAGATTGCCTCATCTTCCTTCCATGGAGCAGCTGGTGGGTTTTAACTGCTGGCCTTCTGGTTAGGTTAGCAGCCAAATGCCTTACCCACTATGACACCAGAGCTCCTTCCTCTAGAACAAAGGGGGCTGGAATTCCTAAGCAGAGGGATTACTGAATTCCCTTATCAATTTATGTCTGGGAATTGCCCGGTAGTTACACCTAAGAAAGAAGAAGTAGCCTTCGTCATTGTTAAGAATAAGGGGAAGTTCATGTTTAGTGCTTTCCAGTCTGGGCCTATGAGGATACAGGACTGGGGGGCATGTTTCCCATGTTTTCACTCCAGTCAGTGCTGTTCCTTCCTGTCTATTTATTTATTTATATTGTGGTGAACATTTACATAATAAAACATGCCATCTCAGTCATTTCTACTTGTACAAATTAGCAACCTTGGTTGCATTCTTCAGGTTGTGCTATCATTCTCCACAACTTTTTCTAAATCATTCCATTACCAGTTAACATAACCTCAATGCCCCTTTGTGCCTTTCTCTTACTCTTAACACATTATTATTATTACGGAGAGTTTAACACAAAAGGTTAGATGTCACGCATACCAAGGCTAAAGGGTTAGTGTGGTTTCTTCCCCCAGGATCATTTGGATTTTGGATATTGATTAGAAAAGGCAGCACAGGTTGAATTTTAGATGCTATGGACCTATGAGGGAGTTTCTAGGTGGTACAAGTGGTTGACTGCTAACCAAAAGGTTGGAGTTTGCCTTGAAAAAGAAGCCTAGTGATCTACTGAAAAAAACCAGCCATTGCTGGGGGTTGTCATAACTCAGAATCACTTCAACACCAAGTGGTCTGGTTTGGGCCTATGAGGATGCAGGACTGGGGGGCAGGAGTCTTTTCCCTCAATCTTAACTGATGATTTCAATGCTTACCCTGTGCCAGCTGTACTTAAGGCAGGGCTTTATGTTTAAGCGATCATTCTTTGCCCTGTTTTCTTGCCTTTTGCTACAGTCCCTGTATCTTCAAGTACTCACATATTTAATGGTCAGATTTTATTTTCCAGTGTCTCCACATTGCTAAATGAAAATGAGTATAATACTGAAAAAATAATTTGTACATCAAACTAGATTCCAGGTGTTTTGTCTCTTTCCTGATGTGCTTATCTTCATTTAGGATAGACCAGCAATGAAGAGTGGCACAACCTGTCCATTTTTTAAAAAAAACAACAGCTTTGAGATATAATTCATATACCATAAAACTCGTCCTTTTGAAGTGATCAATTGAGTGATCTTTAGTATACCCAGAGTATATTGAGAGATGTGTCATCATTGCTATCGAACTCCAGAACATTTTCATCACTTCAAAAAGAAACCCCACTCTCATCAGCACCCATATCCTCTTCCCCTCACTCCCTCACCCACATATATACAAAACTATGTCATCTGTAAATACAGATAATTTTACTTCTTTCTTCCCAGTCTGATGCTTTTTCTTTTTCTTACCAAAGAACCTCAAGGATAATGTTGAATGGAAGTGGTAAAAGAAGACCTCCTTTGCTTTTTGCTGATCTTAGGGGAAAAGCATCCAGTCTTTCACCATTAAGTATGATGTTAGTTGTGGGGTGTTCATAGACAGCCTCTATTCCTAGCTATCCCCTAATGTTTTTATGATAAAAATGTGTTGGGTTTTGTCACATGTCTGTTCTGCATCTATGAGATGATCATACAGTTTTTTTTTTTTTTTTTTAATTATGATTTGGATGAAATTTTACAGAGCAGATTCGTTTTCCATACAACAGTTCTTACACATTTTGTTTCACGACACTGATTGCAATCCGCACAATGTAACAGCTCTCTTCCTCCCTGTGGTTACCTCTTCCCTGTGTCCTTCTTTCCCACACATTCCTGCCCTCTGAGCTGTCTCCCTGTGCAAATACTGCCCTTCTGGTATCTCATTGTTGATTGTTCTAAGGAGTGTACCTACGTGGTGTAAATGTTCACCCTCTATACACTTGCCTATTGTTTTTCTGGAAGCCACTGGAGTGAGTTCAATTCCAGGCCTGAAGGGTGAGTAGGGACCATAGCTTAAAGGTTTCACCAGTCTCTATCAGAGCAGGAAGCCTGGTCTTTTTATGATTTTGAGTTTTGTTCCACATGGTTCTCCCACTGTCTCTAGGATCTCCTACACTGATCCCTTTCCAAGTGGTTGACAGTGGCAGCTGGGTACTACTTAGTTCTGCTCTAATTGTTTCCATACATCTTTGTTTTTCTGCATTCTTCTTTGCTCCAGATGAGGAGTGACCAATTGTTGCATCTTAGATGGATGCTTGCAAGCTTTTAAGACCCTAGTAACTACTCACCAAAGTAGGATGTAGAGCAATATTTTTGTGTAGTATGTTATGCCAATTGAGCTTGATGTCCCCTGCGACCATGGTCCCATGCCCATGGGCCCAATAACGCATTCCTTCAAGATGGCTGGCTATGGCTAAGAACTTACAACTTTGCCTTCTGTTAGTTCTATTATGCATATGGACATCCTTATAGCACATACAAATACGTATGTAGAAATATCATCTGCCAAACTTATATATGTTCATGGGTATATTCTCTTTTGATCTATATGATCACCTCTAGGTATGGCTTCTAAGTATGGCTGACATCTATCTCTTGCCCAACCAGATAGTATCTTCCTACAGAATCAAAACCTTTTTTTCAAATTTACAGTCCCTAACAGGGATGGAATACCCAATAAGCAAGATAAGCATAGGCTTACTTGTGCTTACTTACTAATCTACAGGGAACAATTTCATATGGATGTGGTGAAATCTATGAGACATTGTTCGCTATAGGTTAGTAAGTAAGTACAAGTAAGACTGTGCTTACCTTGTTTAACTGGATACTCTGCCCCTGCCTCTCTGATTCTGTTCTTCTTTCCACATGGTGCCAGAGTGGTCTTTAAAAACGTAAATAAGATCAAGTTGCTTCCTTGCTTAAAACCCTCCAGTGGCTTTCTACTGTTTTTTTTTTTTTTAAAAAGCTGCAAAAAATAAAAGCAGTTGACCTTGATCTGTGGCACCCTGGTGTCTGGCCCCTGGTCACCTTTGGCCTCATTTCACACCTGCTTCTACTCTTTCCACTCCAGTCCCATTGGCACTCTCTCTGCTCCTCCCCACACTGGGGCCTTTGCACTTCCAGAACACTCTTCTCTCAGAGCCTTCTGTGGCTGCTCCTTGTACCTTTAATGTTTTGGACTAAATGTGATCTCCTTGCAGCAGCCTTTTCCGTATCTCTAAATCACCTCCACCTGCTAACCGACTCCTCCTCACTTCAAGGACACTCCATGGCGTCACTCCATTTTATTCCCTTTGCTACAGATATAACTTGGAAATTTTCCTGTTTGTAATTTATGATTTTACTGTCCATGTCTTCCCTCGAGTCGCCCACTCCTGTCTCTAGTGTGAGTTCCATGGGAGCAGGAGCCATATCTACCATGTTCACTGCTGTCTCTCAGCACCTAATAACAGTGCCCGGCACCTACTAAGTTTCAGAAAATGGCTAGCTGTGGTATAAGTGAATGAATGAATGAACTTTATTTTCCAACTTATTATGAGTGAAAATCAGGGTGTGGTGTGCAAGGGTACAGACCCACTTCCTCTACATTTTCAGTATGCAAAGAAGCCTTTGCCCTTCTCAGAGTGGCTGCATTTCATGCTGTTTGCTCTTCTTCTCTTCCTGCTCTGGTCTAGTTCACAAAAAAGTAATCTAACTTGGAATGACAGGACTAGCACGTGTTACTGAATTGGACATAATCAAATACCAAAATGTTCAGATTAGATCAGTGGGCCCCAAACACTGCATCTGAGTCACCTGGAGGAGTGTGTAAACAGTACAGTTTCAGGGGTTTCACCTTTGAGGAGTCACCCTTAGGAAGTCCAAAGTGCAGCTCAGGAATCTGAATTCTTATCAAAGCTCTCCAGAGGATTCTGATGGTTGTCCATGTTTGGGAACCTCTGGTCGAGGCCAAGAGATATGGTGTGGATGAGCTGGCCCTTGGCTGGGATTGGGAAGGATTTGGGTATTCAGTGGGAAGGAGGTAGGCCACTCTGCAGGAGACTGGGGGGAGAGGAGGACGCAGAGCTCAGAGGTGGGGAGCAGCAGGGCTTGCACTGGAGAGCAGGGGGCTGTCAGCCAGTGATGGCCCTCTCTCTTTGCCTGGCAGTGGCCCGGTACCGTGTGACCATCTGCACAGGGGATCTTGAAGGTGCGGGGACTGATGCCAATGTCTATCTCTGCCTTTATGGTGATGTGGGAGACACAGGAGAGCGGCTGATGTTCAACTGCAGGAACAACACCGACCTGTTTGAGAGGGGCAATGTAAGTTGCTGTGATGTGCCAATCACCCTCTCTACCCCATCCCCTTTCCCTCATCTTCCCCTCTTTGTTGATGGAGAGCTCATGGATGGTATTGGGGTCTCAGCCTCCAGAGAATCTCACTCTGGGGAGGGGAGTGGGGAACCAGGAAGTCCCAGCAAAAGCCACTGGAGGCACAGTAGTGCCTGATTGGCTTGGTTCCTAGGCACTGGCCCACCTCCAACCAGTGAAAAGTATGGACCCCTGCTAGACTCCTAGAACTACCCAGCTAGGGGTAGGAGAGCTGCCCTAAGGCGGTCATGGTCCCTGCCTATCCTCAGAACATTGAGAAGAGGACAGAGCAGAAGGGCATTTGGGGAGATAGAAGCAGCATCTTTCTTATCTCAAGGTGGGTGGAGAGGGAAGGATCCCTGAGATATAGACCCTGGCTGGAGGGAAGCTGGGGCGCCATTGGTCCAACTTAGGAATTTTTCAGTTTCTATCGGGCATGATCGCTAGTAGTATCTTGCTCGTGCCTTTTTTGAAAGAGAAACCAGAAAAGGACAGGAAACACGGAAGTAGGAGAACTGAGTTTTGCTCCTAGCCTCTCTAAGAATGTGCTGGGTGCTTCCTTCTGTTCCTTGGTTTTTCCAACCACGAAATGGGTTCACATTACCTTGTGGGGACAACGAGGAAGGACTTAGGCAAGTCTAAGTTTAAGCCCAGTTTCCTCCTTGTGTGTAAAATAGGGAAAAGATACCTACCTATGGCCAGCTGTTGTGAGGGCTGGGGATGCCAGAGGTGCTGCACTGGTATCAGACCTGGCCCACAGCACACAGTAGGTGCTCAGTAAAGAGCAGTTGTTGGAACAATGTGAGGTGGAGGAGACTCACTCAGGTGAAGGCATTTGCAGACATGGTCACATGAGCACTACCCTCACTCTGTCTTCTTCCTCTGTTGTCCTCTCTTGCCAGGACAGGGCAGTTCTGGGATAGGAGTGGAGGCCTCTCTCCCAGGGCCAACCCAAGCTGACCTCGTTCTAGAGATTATGGGTATGACAAGGCTATGGTGGCAAAAGGAATTTGGGCAGATGGTTATGGGTGGACTAGGTCCATTTTGGAAATGAGATGGGGTGACTTGATTTCACAGAGTGTTATTTTCATCTCACTCTCTTACCCACATCTTTCTGTCCTCCATTTTCTCTACCCATATACATCTTCTACCATATACATCTTCTGACTTCTTTTCCCTTCACATTTGCTCCTCTATGATCCTGACCCTGGAGGCTCCAGGTATGCACACATGCACCTGCCTCATCTGCAGGCAAAACTGTGAAATAAGCAAGATCACGTGGTCTTCCCCCCACCAATCAATTCTAATCATCCCTCCCCTCTAGAAGGGGCCAATGTCCTTCTGTAGCAAGGAGCCACAGGAGGTTAGCTAAGGAATGAACTCATAGTAAATGATTAGTGACTCATAACAGCTTAATGTGTTCCATCCACCCTGTGTAAGGTGACTTTTAAAAGGGGATCAGAGGGAATGGCTTGTGTAACCAAAAGTGCAGATCTCAGATGTTGGGAACTTGTGATAATGTGATATTTCAGTGGTAGAAATAGGGTAGGGAGCTCAGCCTGTTCTGTGTCCCTCCACTTATATTCACCTGTGAAATGCCAGTGCCCCAACCCATTGCTTTCCTGGTTTCTAGGCCTGGGTCTTCCTTTGGTGTCTGGGTCTCAGGGTGGACACTGTCTATCTGGCTTTGCTGTCTTTCTTCTTCTGCAGGCTGATGAGTTCACCATTGAGGCCGTCACGTTGCGGAAGTTGAGACGAATAAGGATCCGGCATGATGGCAAAGGTGGGGGCAGTGGCTGGTACCTGGAGCAGGTGCTGGTGAGAGAGGAGGGGCAGCCTGAGAGCGACAACATGGAGTTCCCGTGTTTTAGGTATGCAAGTCCCACCTGCTTTTGTTCTCCAGCTTAGATTTTAAGCCATGAATTTTGGGAATACCCAGAAGGTTGGAGGTTTGACCCCATCCAGAGGTCCCTTGGAAGACAAGCCTGATGAACTGCTTTCAAAAGGTCACAGCCTTGAAATACCTATGGAGAATGGTTCTACCCTACATACGTGGATTCGCCATGAGCCAGGATTGACTCGATGGCAGTTAACAACTGCAGCCATACTGTTGGGGCAGGGACCAGGAAGCAAAATAGTGGCTTAAAGATAGAGTGGGTGCAAGAAAGAGATGGTCCTGCTGGGTGCTTAGACCCAAGCCTGAGTCGCCACCTGAGCTGTTAGTTTGTTAGTGTAAGTCACTGGGACAGGAGGACAAACCAGGCCTGTTTATCAAAACTTTACTCCCAGGATCAGGGGGTGGTAAGTGTCTTAGCTATAGTAGGGGTGTGTGTGTGGGGTGTGTGTGTGTGTACATGCAGTCTGTGTGGTGTATGTATGTGTGAATGTGTGTGTATGGCATGTGTGGTGTGTATGGTATGTCATATGCATGACATGGTGTGTATGTATGGTATGTATGGTGTGTGGCATGTGATGTATGTGTGTGTGATGTGTGTATGTTTGGTATATGATGTGTGTGTGTGATATGTGTGTGGCATGTGGTGTGTGTGTGTGTGTTTGGTGTATGCTGTGTATGGTGTGTATGGCATGATGTGTGTGTATGCCTGTGCTCCTGAGAGCTCAGGGAGAGGTTTAAAAAATGACCAGTAGACTGGCTTATCCATTTAGCAATATCTCACTCTGAAACTGGGCTGAAGTGTTTGAAGCTGTATTTGGCCGTGTCTATTAAAACCCTAGGAGCTCTGGTAGCATAGTGCCTAAGGCACTTGACTGCTAACCAGAAGGCTGGCGGTTCAAACCCACCAACCACTCCTCAGAAGGAAGGTTGGGCATTCCTACTTCCATAATGATACTGCCTCGGAAACCCAAGGAGGGGTTGCTATGAGTCGGGGCCGACTCGATGGCAAACAACAACAACAACAACATTAATACCCTATGAGTATTTAGGTGCAGACAAATGACACATCATGGTTTGTTTCCTTTTACTTCTGGGGAGGGGCTGGGGGTAGAGGCTGAAGGGGGAGCAGAGGGCCTCCTCCAATGGACAGGAGCCTGCTGGTTTTCCACCCTTCTCCCTGTGAAAGTGCATGGCTGGGGCCTTCTTTGGCAGGACAGACAGGGTGGCTCCTTATGAGTTGATTTGAGGGACTCTGACCAGTCCCCTTCTCCCAATGATCTCTCCCTTCCCCTGCCATCAGTGCCTAGAATCCCACCATTATATCTTCATTTCTAGTTGCAAACATTCTAGATTCACAGCATCAAAGCCCATGGGACATGTCACAACTTAGCTGTCGGTTAACATTTTCATTTAGCTTGCAGTCAACTGACAACAAGGTCCCAAAGGAGTGCATGATCACGTGTCTGTGGAGGGAGAGGACAAGAGGAGGGATGGGGGAGATGGCAGAATTGCCTCAGTTTATATATTGGCAGAGGGGACTGAGCTCTGTCTGGAAGGGGAAGAGAAAGCAGTGTCCTTGGCTTCTTTTGATGACCTTTTATCTGGAGTGTAATAAGGTGTCTGATGAGACAAACATCAGAACATAGACAAATGGGGATCAAGAGGCAAATGTATTGGTTTCCCTGGTACACTGGAGAACACCGAGCGTTTCTGTTCTGTTACCACTGGCCCCGTATCACATCCTAAAGGCTAGACAGTTCGTGCTCACAGGGTTATCTCATTTCTCAGGGTGGGTTTCCATGCTCAGTGGGAAAGGTGCTTCTCAGTTGGATTAGTCCAGTACCTTTGCCCTTGGTGGATGACCAGCAGAGAACTGGGACCATGGCTCATTCTCACATGTCAACATATCACAGCTATCAATCCCTGGCATGCAGGGCATAGACCTGACTTCTCCTTGCAGGCAAACCTCACTCATCCTTGAGGATCCAATCACCACGAGCCCTTGTCATTTCTCTGAATTCCTGTAGCACTTACTTGGGCACAGCATCCACCCTTGTCTTGGTCTTCAGTGTCTCGGCCCTTCTGTCCCATCTTCTTAACTGGACTGTAGGTTCTTTAAGGGCTAGGCTGTGTCTTGTTCATCTTAGTGCATCTTCTCTGCCTTTGCCCCGCCTCAGTGCCCTCAGCACAGTGCCCTGCACATGGTAGTCTCCTAGGGAAAAAAAAGGTGGCTGTTTTTGATGATGATGATGAGCAATTTTGTATGTGATTCCCAAGCCCTTTCGTCACATGATCTTCCCACCTGTCCCCTGACCTCATCTTCCAGCACTCCACCCTTCACACTCCTCCTCGCTTGACCTCTCACTCCACCCTTCATGCTCCTCCTTACTTGACCTTTCACTCCACCCTTCATCCTACCCTTCACCCAATCTCTCGCTCCACCCTTCTCTACCCCTCACTTCACCCTTCTCTACCCCTCACTTCACCCTTCTCCACCCCTCATTCTACCCCTCACCTTGTCTCTCACTCTTTCCTTTACTCTCTCTACCCTCCACTCTACCCCTCCCTCCACACCTCACTTACCTCTCACTCTACCCTTCCCTCTCTGCATTCCATCCACATTGGCCTTCAGGCAATTCCTGGAGGCTCAGCTTCATCCCATCACATGATGTTTTTCCCTCCCTTCTTCTGGTTAACTCTTTGTCATTTTTGTGATCTCAGTTCACATATCATCTCTTCAGAGAAGCCCTCCCCCCACAGTTTGGGCTGATTTCCTTTGTTGTAAGCTCTTGTAGAACTGTTTTCCTTTTCTGGATTCAAAAGCACTTGCTCTGTATGAAATATGTGATGGTCTGGTTGTCTGCCTGCCCCACTCAGAGAGCTAACATTTCCTTGTTTGCTCACCAGGTGGCTGGACAAGGACAAGGATGACGGGCAGTTGGTCCGAGAGTTGCTGCCCAGCAACAGCAATGCAACACTGAAGAGTAAGTTGTCCAGGTGGTGCGTGTGTCCTTGGGAGATAGGCACCCTCCCTCAGCTAAGAATAGAATAGAAGCCAGTCCCTCAAGAAAGCAGGAACTCTTCACTTTATTTCATGAGACAGACCTGGGGAAGATGAAAGGCAGAGGCTCTAAGGGAGGATCAGGGACTCTCTGGTCTTTCTGTGCTTGACCACACAGTCTCTGTGTGACCTTGGGTTAGAGGCCTTGCACTCAAGTGGTCCTCTATTGAGAACAGTATTGTTCTAGTAACCTCTGTGCCATTCTGACAAGAATATACCACCAATGGGATGACCTTAACAAACAGGAGTTTATTCTCTTACAGTTTGGGAGGCTAGAAGTCTGAGTTCCAAGTGCCAGGCTCTATGGGCTGCGTGAAAGCCCCTTGACCTTGGGCTTCAGTTCTGTCTCTTGTTCCCAGCCCACTGATGCTAGAGGCTTCTCTTCACTCAGGCAGCTACTGGCTGCTGAGGCTAATAAGCCCAAGGTCGACAAATAAAATGGCATAGTCCTGATGTTATCAAACATACAGCAGGCCATTAATTCAAGTCTATTGTAAGTCCCGAGGTCGGCAAAGCATGGCAGGCTGCTGAACAACGACACGGCTACATACAGTGTCCAAGCATGCCATAAGCTAGAGACCGTTCCTCAAGGCTTCTACTTATACACAGGAAGCAGACCACATCTCTAAGGCAGCTACTCAGCTGCTCACAGTACATTCCACCATAGAGGTGATTACCAGTCTCATCATGGGGAATACTACATCCAGCTACCCAGCCACTCAATGAAGCCCAGCCAAGTTGACAAATAAGCTTAACCACCACAAGTAACAAGAACTATAACACTAGCTAATGGTGCCAAGGGTTGGGGAGGCCTATCATTCAGGACTATAAAATGAATACTGTTTTAATGTCAAATATTAGCTAAAGGCCTTAACATTTTTCCTTGCTGGTGATATTACTCCAAAAGGCTTAGTTTGATTATGAACTTTAGACAAAATTTTTAAGAAATTTATTTATAGAATCATTAACAATGCCAACACCTTATGTGTCTCATTCGAGTCCTACAATAACCCCAGGAGGTAGGCAGAGCTGCAGTTGCATGTCCATTTGTTAGATGGGGAAGCTGGGATCTTGAAGAGCTGAATCTCTTTCCTAATAAGGCCACATAGCAAATTACAGAGTGTCTGGTCTCTGGACTCAGAATTACAGAGTTAAGAGCTGGGAAGAACCTTCAGAGATGAACCAGCCTCATTCCTTCACTGGATAGATGACCTGTGGCTGCGGCATGGGGACCTACCTAGTATGTCCCAATCTACAGTCAGTGATAGAGCTGGGACCTGCATCCAAGAAGTCTTGGTCTTGTTTCACTGCTCTTCCCACTCCACCAAACTCCTTCACCATGTGGACAGGCCCCTTAAGCCACCAGCTTCCCAAGCCAGGGCCTGAGAAAGGGTTTAGATGGAAAATGGTGTAAAGAAGAACTCCTCCTCTCGAGTCCTGTGACATATTTAAAAGCCATTTCTTCCAGTACCCTTGGATGCCCTTGGCAGAGCTGCTCTAGACCAAGCTGACAGGGATGGCGTCTACCAGGACCTGACCAGTCTGGGGGTGCTGACCTGGGCAACTGTATAGAGTTACCTTCTCCAAATCTTTCTTCCCAGCTGGAAGCCCCTATGTTGTTGTTGTTATGTACTGTTGAGTTGGACCCAACTCATAGCAACCCCTCCTTGGGTTTCCGAGGCAGTATTACTACAGAAGTAGATTGCTCCATCTTCCTTCCGAGGAGTGACTGGTGGGTTTGAACTGCCAGCTTTTTGGTTAGCAGTCAAGTGCTTTAGGCACTACGCTACCAGAGCTCCCAGAAACCCCTAAGCCAGCAATGAATGGTGGGCCTTGGATTTAGCATCATTTGCACCCTATCTTTCTTTTCCCTAAGACACATGCCTTAGAGAAAACCTGTAGGATTTGGGACTTGCCTCAAAATTGGGGTCAGGATTCACTTTTTCTAAGGACATTTTTACCCTCCCTTGCACATCGACAATGCAGAGTTTTGTGTGTGATGAAATGGAGTATAGCCACCATGATGTTCCCATTAAGAGCAGAGGGCTTTAGGGCCACATCAGGATTACTTCCTGACTGTGCCATCTTGCACCAATATGTAAACTTATGAACCTCCAATTCTTTGTCTATAAAACTGGGCTAAGACTGTGTAGTAATAAGACTGAATATGTCATGTGCTAAATATTGTTGGCAAAGGTTGAGACTCCCAGGACAACCCTCAGTTGTCCATCAGAAGAGAAGTTGGTCCATATGATCGCTTTAGATCCTTTCATACTCTTCAATTTGCGTGTTTTCCTGTGCTCAGCACATTCACACCTTGTAGGGTAAGCCGGGTAGGTATTAGAATTCCTGCTTTGTAGATGAGGGGCCACAGAGATGGAGGAAGCCCTCACCCCAAGTCTTGGGGCTATGTAGAGAGAGCAGGAGCTGGGGTTCCTGACTTCTAGTTTACTGTCTGGCTCCTCCCGCTCCAGCTGCCCTCCTGCTACATGACCCATGTTCCTTCCTGCTTATCCTGCACTAACCCTCTTCCTTCATCCCTCCTGCCATGGACTCTTTAGACTATCGCTATCACATCAGTGTGAAGACTGGGGATGTCTCTGGGGCCAGCACGGATTCTAGAGTCCACATCAAGCTCTATGGGGAAAAATCAGACACCATCAAGCAAATTCTGCTCGTCTCTGACAACAACCTGAAAGACTATTTTGAGCGTGGCCGGGTAGACGAGTTCACCCTCGAGACCCTGAACATTGGAACTGTGAGTCTCCCTCCTGGGTCTTATGACCTCACTTCACCCATTTCTTTACGTGCAGCCAGACGCACACACTCATGTACACATGTGGGGACCATTTTGAAGGAAAGCATGCCCATTTTGAAGGGTTATTAACAAGGTAAGTTGTTCTCCAAATATGACCTAGAGCAACTGAAAATGTGACTAGTGGTTAAGCTTCCAGAGCCTCTTTGGGGATGGGATTTGCACTTTCAGTAGCTGTAGTCCCCACATTTCCTTTACTTGTGAGAGTAGCCAGGGTCACGGTGTACCTGGGACATAAACATTGGAGAAAGAAACATGTGTAGGGAAGGAAAAAGAGGATAGGGAAGAATGGAAAGAAAGGGCTGAAAATAGCTCCCCCTTCCAAATTTGAGTGTGCATCAGAATTATGCCTGGATACTGGTTTCAGTTCAGACTCTTGGATCCCACCTGAGAGATTCTGCTTTGGAAGATGGAACCTAGGAATTTGCATTCATCAAGGCCCCATGTGGCCCTGCTATAAGTGGTCTGAGCAATTTCCCTGGGGAAATATGAGTCTGAGTCCCTGGGACTAAGTGTTGGGACCTTCCCTGAAAATGTCTGAGCTGGGCTATGTGTCACCACCTGCCCTTCTCAGGGTATGACTTGTTAGAAACTGAGGTAGTGGCAAAGTCTCTGTCTGCAACTCACCTTTCCTGCATCTTCCTAGCTCTGTGAGCCCCACCTTATCTCTGGTGCACTGGGCTTTCTAAATCTCTTTTCCCATCAAAATGCACCTTAGAGAAAGATCCCATGTGAGTCATTTATGCCTTGAAGTTAAGGAGCTTAAATCAAGCCTTTCCTGTATCAACATATATTTACGTTTTAAGTGGAATTATCGATTGTAGGGTGAAATGCTTTTCCCTTTACTGAAGGATCTCTGAGGGCAACCAGCAGATAAATGAGGCAGCTGATGGAGTGAGGATGGCAGGAGAATGATGATTTTTTCCCTTGTGTTTCTGAGACCCCCTCGATAAACAGTGTGGCCAAAGTAATTGAGAGCCCAATTTTTCCACTTTACCTTTTGTGTGACCTTGTATAAACTAAGTAATCTCTGTTTTCTTATTCATAAAAACAGAGAATCCTAATGGGATTGTTCTGAGCATTAAATACCATTGACATGCCTTTCCTGGCACATAGTAAGTGCTCACTAAACCTTATGTTTATTAGTTGGCATGGAGTTGGATCCTACTTACGGTGACCTTAGATAACAGAAAACAATGTTCCTCAGTCCTGTGCCATCTTCATGATCGTTGGTGTGTTTGACTCCACTGTGGCTATTGTGTCAATCCATCTCTTTGAGGGTCCCCTCATTTATGCCGACCCTCTACTTTACTACCCATGATGTCCTTTTCTAGTGATTGGTCTTTCCTGAGAGTGTCCAAAGCTAGTGAGCTGAAATCTTGCCATCCTTGTGTCTAAGAAGCGTTCTGGTTGTATTTCTTCTAAGACTCATTTGTTCATTGTTTTGACAGCTCATGGTATATTCAGTATTCTCTGACAACACAATTCAAATTATCAATTCTTTGATCTTCCCTTTTCATTGATGTTATTTACTGAACAATTAAGTCAGATGCTGTGCTAGGTGTTGTAGAATCAAAAGATAGTCCCTATCTTCAAGGAGCTTATCAGATAGATGACACTTTCCCTTTCCTTACTCTTAGCTAATCCCTCCCTTTACCATTCCAGCACCACAGAAACACCAAGGAAGCACTCTGTATCCTTGGCATACACCCGCAGGTCCTCCCAGATTCTGTAAACATAGCTGGTTTCCTCCAACAATTCTAGGGGACCCAGCTACATACACCCAACTGTGCCAGTGTTTCCAATACCAGCTGCAAAGAGCCATTTGTCCTCACAAGACAAGGACAACTTCCTACATGTGGCTGCTTAGCACTAGCCTCACTGGCTAGAAGACCACCCCTCCAGATCATTACAGAGAAAATCTCAGTGTTGGAAGGGATTGCAAAGGCCATCTGATCATTCTGTCTTAGGTTAGAATTGCTCTTTATGCAGCATTTCAAAAAAGCACAAAAGTAATTTGAGCATGGAAGAGTCATACAAATAAGGGTGGCATTAGGCAAAGATGGTAACATGGTAAAGCAAATGGGCTACTGAGAGCTTCCAGAGACTCATCCTTCTCGGGACAAAGAAGGAGGAATTGCATGTGTCACTGCAGAACCCTAAGAAGTTGTCTGCATACTCTATCACCTACCAGATGGGCAAGAAACTGTGGTTGTACGATGTTGCATGCTCAGCTGCTAACTTAAAGGCTGGCAGTCCAAACCCACCCAATGGCTCTGCAGGGGAAAGTCCTGGTGGGCAACCTGCTCCCATAAAGATTAGAGTCTGAAAAACTCTCGGGGGCAGTTCTACTCTGTCACGTGGGGTCGCCGTGAGTCAGCATTGACTCAGTGACACCCAGCAACAACAGGACAAGGATGTAAAAGAAAAAATGCAAAAATGCACACAAATGGGTCTAGTGCATTGTTTTAACAAAACACAACTAATAGCACAATTATCAGAAACTGATGGTAAACATTTTGAATATTTGTTTTCTTGTGATATCACAACCTGACATTATTAAGTACACAAGGGTGCTTTTAAAGTTCATGCTTGACATCACATCTGTTGTCTCACTTGCTTTGCGTAACTTGCCCACGGTGAGCTGGACTAGAGAGGAAGGGTGGGAGCTCCAGGCAGAAGACATTGTGCCTTGTCTCCCAGTGGCTGATGGTGGTGACAGCACTGGGACCCAGCCTTCTCCTGCTGAGCCTCCTGCCTCCCTCTTCCGGGGAACTGGAGACTCAGGTCGAGGAGAGCTGTTTGGGCTGGTATCTGGGGAGGTAGGGATAGAGGCCTGGGGGTTTCTGGGTACACCAGCTCCTTGCACACCGCCACTCAGGTTTCCTTCTAGATCAACCGGCTGGTGATTGGGCACGACAGCACGGGCATGCATGCTGGCTGGTTCCTGGGCAGCGTCCAGATCCGCGTGCCCCGCCAAGGCAAGCAGTACACATTCCCTGCCAACCGCTGGCTGGACAAGGACCAGGCCGATAGGCGCTTGGAAGTGGAACTCTATCCCAGTGAGGTCGTGGACATCCAGAAATGTACGGAGGAGGCAATGGTGGGGCCACCAACATTGGTTCCCCTGTGGGACAGAGTGATGGGGAAAGAGGAGGAACTATGGGGTGACCTTTGGCCTGTCTCCAAGAAGGGTCCTGTGGGGAGATAATGGGAGCTTCCGTTGCCTCTGGCTACCATAGTTCTGGGAGGGAAGAGGACTCACTTTATAGATGGGGAAACTGAGGACTCAGTGGATGAATTTTTTTCTGGAATAAAGGCAGCAAATGACTTCGATAGGACATGTTCATACTCTGTAAGCAAGAGGAGCTTGAGATCATCTATGTCTTTCTTGGGGAAGACTAAGTAAGGAAAGAAAATGGTTGATTCATTCACTTAGTCAGTAAGTGCATACTGAGTGTTTCTCTGTGTAAGTGCTGTTCTTGGCACAGTGGAGAACAGCCATGAGCAAAACAGACCAAACTCCTATCCTTGTGGACATCGCATTTCAATAGAGAGACAAACCCTAAATACACCATATAAGGCCAAGTAAGAGCTATGAAGAAAGTGAAGCAGGATCAGGTGTTAGCAGTGCTGTGGGGGAGGAGGACCCATTTGGGCTCAGAGGAGTTATTGTGGAAGAGTTGAAACTCGAGGTAACTTGGCCACAGTCACATATGATGTGAGAACCACATCACAGTAGAGATCAGAGAAACGAGGCTCTCTCTGTGGCCAGGTAGACAGTGGGACAAAACTTGGCCTGGGGAAGACCTCTTCTGTCACCTGTCATTTCTGAACCCACCCAGCAAGCAATGCTTCAGGCTCATTCCACAGGAAGCTGCCCTGAGAACCCCAATACAAAGTCGCTGTTGCTTCTTCTTCCAAAACTTTGGTTCTTTTCGTGTGTGAGTTCTGTTGTTGTTGTTGTTCTTATGTGCCGTCGAGTCAGACCTGCCTCATAGTGACCCCTTCTTGGGTTTCCGAGGCGGTTTCACTTCAGAAGTAGATTGCCCAACCTTCCTTCTGAGGAGTGGCTGGTGGGTTTGAACCGCCAGCCTTCTGGTTAGCAGGTGTGAGTTCTATTCCCCAACAAACCTGTAAATTCCTTGTAGGCTATGTCACATACACATGCTTTGCAATGGATTTGCCAGTGTGGAGAATCCACTCTTCCCCTCTTATAAATTAAAACTTGCTTTTCATCAGAGTAATGCAGGCACTAGTTAAGGAGAAAAACAAAACAAAACACCAAATCTGTTGCTGTCTGGTTGACTTGAACCCACGGCAACCCCACGTGTGTCAGAGTACAACTGTGCTCCACAGGATTTTCAATGGCTGATTTTTCAGAAGTACAACACCAGGTCTTTCCTCCAAGGCATCTCTGGGTGGACTCGAACTCCCAGCCTTTTGGTTAGCAGGCAAGCACTTCACTATTTGTACCACCCAGGGACCTGCTAGTTAAGATACAGATAAAAACCAGTGGTTCCCTTCCCTACCTTGTTCTCCCCTCCCATTCCCCTTCAGAAGTAACAACTTAAATAACTTTAGCTTTTTCCTTTGAAATTTATGTTCATATCTTTTAATGATATGCCTATTAATTTCTTGATTTTTTAGTCTTAGATAGTATCTATTGATTTCCTACTGTGAAAGAGGAGTATTTAGCTGTTTTAACACACACACACACACACTTTAAATTTTTATGGCTTTGCAAATATTCACTGCTGAGTCACCTGCTGTATGGGTATAGGTTTTATTGTTGGCACTTTTTTTTTTTAAATCTGGACTTAATAATATCCTCCTTTTTTTCTGTTGTAAAGCTTCCTATGTAGTTACAGAATTAAAATTATTTTAATATGTTCAAACCAACAGGAATTCTCACTCTTACTCTCAGCTGAGCCTAGTGTCTCCAGTTCACCTTCTTCCTGCTCTTGTTTTCAGCCCCCAATTTGAGGACATCTTTCACATTGCCATGAGAGCTCTGGTGGCGTAGTGCCTCAGGTATTTGACTGCTAACCAGAAGGCTGGCAGTTCAAACCCACCAGCCACACCTTGGAAGGAAGGTTGGGCAATCTATGTCCATAGTGATACCGCCTTGGAAACCCAAAGAGGGGTAGCTATGAATTGAATCCAACTTGACAGCAGTGAGGTTTTTTTTTCTTTTCTTTTTCACATTGCCATGGTAATGGGAGATCCTCCATCTTTGAAAGTAACAGTCTTCTCTTGAGAGAAAAAAATCACAATATTGTCTTACAGCATTGCTGACAAAACAAGTTTTGAACCATGTGGTTAAGGCATTTGGCTGCTAATCAAAGGTCAGTGGTTCAAACCCACTAGTTACTCTACAGAAGGAAAGATAAGGCAGTCTACTTCCGTAAAGACTTACAGCCTTGGAAACCTAATGGAGGTCACTATGAGTCAGAATCAACTTTATGGTAGTGAGTTTAGTTTGGTTTGAGTTCGGCGCTCTGGTGGCGTAGTGCCTAAGGCACTTGACTGCTAACCAGAAGGCTGGCAGTTCAAACCCACCAGCCACTCCTCAGAAGGAAGATGGGGCCATCTACTTCCATAGTGATACTGCCTCGGAAACCCAAGGAGGGGTCGCTATGGGTCGGATCTGACTCGAGGGCACATAACAACAACAGAAAGCATTTTGCTCTCCATTGGAAAGAGCCCTCTAACCACATGTGGTTAAGGCACATAACAACAACAACAACAACAACATCCCTATGGAAGGAGATTGCCCAACCTTCCTTCCGAGTTCCACCCTGTAATGTATTGATTAAAAAACCTTTGCTGGGATTCCATTCCAACTCATGGAGATCCATGTATTACAGAGTAGAATTGACTGATCTCCACAGGGTTTTCTTGGCTGTAATCTTTATGGAAACAAATCCCTGGCATTTTTTTTCCATGGGGCCGCTGGGTGAGTTCAAACCACAACTCTTTCTGTGTTGGTCTGTCTATTGGTATCATCTGAAAGGTGCATCTATTTAAATGGCCACTGTGGTTCCAATGCCTTGTCCTTTAGAGAAAATAGGAAAAGAAACAAACAGCCTTTATTTCTTTCTGCCCCGAGGTGTTTGCCAGGGGTAGGCACAAGCCGGGAGTACCAGCCGGTGTACGGACTACTCCTCATTTCTGGTACCAGCTGGTGTACAGACTACTCCTCGTTTCTGGTACCAAGGAGACAGTGAAGGAATGGCCACTGGAGTCTGAGTGCTTAAGTCTGCCATTTCCACCCCTATTCAGTTTCTCTAAGCCTCAGTTTGTCCACCTGCAAGATGAGAAAGATAGTACTTATTCATGGTGTTGATGAGATTAATGAGATAATGCCTGTGAGGTACCAGGCACATGGGAGCAGCTCAGAAAAGGTTTTATTATCATTGTTATTGTTATTATTTAATGTGGTATTTCTCTCCCACCTGCCCACCCAGTGGTCCACTACGAGGTTGAAATTTGGACGGGTGATGTGGGTGGCGCAGGCACCACCTCCCGAGTCTTCATACAGATCTATGGAGAGGAAGGCAAGACCGAGGTGCTGTTTCTCTCCAGCCGCTCCAAAAGTTTTGGTCGGGCATCCAAAGATATATTCCAGGTGTGTGGGGATGGGGCCGAGGGGATGCCAGCAGAGTCAGCCTTGGCTAGATAGGACCAGTGGACACCAAGGTGGTCCCTGCGTGTTCTTATTTCCTCGGCCAACCCTCACTCAAAAGTGAGGCTGCCCTCTTACAGCTGGTGGGAAACTTGAGGACAGGTTGGATAAGCGTTCCCTCAGCACCCTGCAGGGTTTCCTGGGAGCAGAATAAGGCAGGGTACAGAGCTTTGAAGTGGGATTGAGAAGACCTGGATTCTCAGCCAAGGACTTCCTTGTGAGCTTGAGTGGTAACTGCTCTCTCCAGATCTGAGTGTCTGGCCTAAAAATGAAGAGATTGGACTAGATGAGTGGTTATCATCTCTGAACTCATGTTAGAATCACCTGCGGAGCTTTAAAAAAAAAAAAAGTGCTGTTTGGTCCATTGTTGTTGTTGTTGTTGTTTGCCGTTGAGTCAGCCCCGACTCATAGCGACCCCTCCTTGGGTTTCCGAGGCAATATCACTACGGAAGTAGGATTGCCCAACCTTCCTTCCGAGGAGTGTCCCCAGACCAATTTAATAAGAATCTCTGTTGTTGTTGTTATGTGCCATTGAGTCAGCCCCGACTCATAGCAACCCCTTCTTGGGTTTCCAAGGCAGTATCACTTCGGAAGTAGATTGCCCAACCTTCCTTCCCAGGAGTGGCTGGTGGGTTTGAATTGCCAACCTTCTGGTTAGCAGTCAAGTGCCTTAGATATTACGCTGCCAGAGCTCCTGGTGGAATATGTTTTCTGGGTTTACTTTTAAAGCTCCATCAGTGATACTAATATACTGTGGATTTTGAGAAGCACTGGAGTGGATGATTCTGGTTTAGTAATATATGACACTAAGTCACTCCATCCACTCCCAGCCTCTGATAGGCTCATGATTCTCAGGCAGGATACTGGGAGCCTTTGGTGTGTTGTGGCTATGTTCTGAGTATCCCAGGCCTCCTCATTTCCCTTTACAAGTCTGAGTAGAGGGAAAAAAGAGAAGAGCATGTCATTAGCAGGGGGGAGAATGCAAGGCTAGTGATTTTATTGGCCACTAATGGGAGTGTGTTTGTGTGTGTGTGTGTCCAGATAAGTGTGTTTGGGAAGCATGTTCATGCTGGCTGCTCTTTGTGTGTTTGTGTGCAACACCCTTTGAAGAACCCTCAGTGAAGAGTCCTAACCCAGTGCCCAGAAAAGAAAGGCCTGGCTGTTCTAAGATCTGTGCCAAGGTTCTGTGCCAGGGTTATAAGTATGTGAAATGTGAGAGCTGGAGGGGCCTCATGAGTCAAAGTCCCTCATTATACTGCTGGGGAGGCTGAGGCCCTAGTATTTTACCTATCTGAGCCTCAACTTCTTCAACAGTTAAAATCTAGCTCTATAACACCTGCGTGGCCTGCCTCAAAGAGTTCTTGTAATGATCAAGACAGTCAATGGCAGGGAAAGCACTTGAGAGCTTGTAATGAGTTATTGAGATGTAGCAGAGAAGTATCTCCAGGTGCCCACTGACCACGTGGCTGGATGTGGGGGTGGTAGATGCCTTCATGGTGGGGCAGACAGACTTGAGGAGGGCAGGAGTGGCAAGGAGACTTCCCTGGAGAGGTGTGACTGCAAAGATGCTATAGCCTGGGAAATACTGAAAAGGAGATCTAATGTGCTGAAGAAGGGACTTACTAGGTCCAGCATGCAGTCCCTAAGTAGCTGAAAGAATAAATCCAGCTTCCCCAGGGGTCTTGGCTCCATCCTGGTTGACAATTTTCTTATAAGGTGGTTTTGGCCACATCATGGATTTGTGAACAAGGAGTCAGAAAACCTGGGTTCTCCTGTATATATGGACTCTTAATTATGGGACACTGAGTACCTCATAGAACAGCCTTGGGCTTCAGTTTTCAAATGGGAGCACTCAAATGGGAGCATGGTGAGACTGGGGTTTGAGAAGATCAAACAATTAGACAAGGGCCCTCAGCACTGGGGAGCACTGAGAGGTCCCCAGACCGACAGGACTCCTTGTGAGCACACCCCCACTTCAAGATCTATGGGGTCAGAGCTCCCTCAATGCAGGTGCTTCCCCAGAATGTGGGGTTCAGAAAAGAGCAACAGGGGGATTAAAAGCAAGGAGCTCATGCTTTGAAGAAAAGCTAAACCCATCAACACTGCCTTTTATACCAACTGAGTGTCAGCCCCAGTGGGGGAGAAAAGCAAAAATGGATAGTCCTACTTTTAGGAAATCCACGGTTGATGGGACAGAGAAGACCAACTGTATGGGCAGAGAGGGAGTCCAACGTAGGCCGGGCTAGGGCTCAGTGGAACTCTGGAAGGGAGAGGCAAGCAGACTGTGGAAGGTGTCTGGGACCTCATGGAGCGTGAGTGAGAGTTTTGTTTTTGAAAAATAATACTTTTAAAATTTTTGTTGCTACAAAAGTTATATGTGCTTAATGTTGAAAATTTTGGAAAGAGAACATGAAATGTACAAAGTTAGAAAAATAGAAAGGTAATAATAAAAGAGCTGGAATCTGAATGAATAAGTTTTAGTTGATGGTGGAGGAGGGAATAAAGCCAAAGACATGGAAGTAGTTCCATGAGTGTGATGTGTGACACTTGTGTGTGTGACAGAGAGAGGAATAGTGAGGTGAGGGAGGCTAGTCTCACTGTCATAGAAGTTTAGAAGGTGTTCCCATTTGAACATGAGGGGAAATTGAAGCCCATGGCTGTCCCATGAGTTTCTCAGTGTCCCAAATGAGGTAGAAGTTGGGGCCAAACTAAGAAGTGCCTGGAAGGCCAACCAGAGACACTAGGCTGGATGTGATAGGAGAGAGGGAGCTCCACATCAGAGTGTGGAGGCCTGGTGCCTTGTGGGGCTATAACTCTGGACCCAGAGCCTGGCTCTGCAGGGGAGGGGGTAAGACACCAGGGCCACCCCAGCCATTCACCTGCACTTTGCACAGCTGGAGGCGGCAGACGTGGGTGAGATCTACAAGATCCGGCTTGGGCATACAGGCGAGGGCTTCGGGCCCAGCTGGTACGTGGACATGGTGTGGCTGCGGCACCTGGTGGTGCGGGAGGAGGACCTCACACCCGAGGAGGAGGCCCGGAAGAAGAAGGAGAAGGACAAGCTGCAACAGCTGCTGAAGAAGGAGCGGCTAAAGGCCAAGCTGCAGAGGAAGAAGAAGAAGAAGAAGAAGAAGGGCAGTGACGAGGAGGATGAGGGGGATGAGGACGAGGAGTCCTCTTCTGAGGAGTCTTCAGAGGAGGAGGAGGAGGAGGAGAGTGAGGAGGAGGAAGAAGAGGAGGAGCTTGGGCCAGGGATGCAGGAGGTGATTGAGGAGTACAAGTTCGACGCCCACCGCTGGCTGGCCCGGGGCAAGGAGGACAACGAACTCGTGGTGGAGCTGGTGCCGGCTGGGCAATCGGGTCCTGAGCGTAAGCCTGTGTAGGGGTCAGACAGCTCCCCTAGAGGGGTCCTGAGGGTGGCTTCACACTGACTCTCCTCTCATGTGGAGGCCCAATAGGTAGGCTACCCATGATGGTCAGCATATAACTCTCCTGACCTGTGCCTGAAATATCACCATTGACAATTCTCTGTTTAAGGGTAAGCATTGCCCTTGGCCTGAGGCTCTCAGGATGGATCAGACTCACAAGGAGCTCTGATATAACCTGATATAACTAAATGTGGGCAACATAAATTGGGAGGGTTGCTGAGGAAAAAATTTGCCATGATGCTCAGACCCTCAGGCTTCTTGGTCAAGGAAAGTTTTGGGTAGGGAGAAGGACTGTTTGGTACCAGGTTGGCATATGTGTATCCATAGGTCCTTGCTGTTCTCAGAATCTGGGTGGAACTAAGAGACTGTGCCTCAACTCCACTCCATGGCCATGGTGTCCTCAATGCTGCCTCTTTCTGTGTCCCCAGCCAACACCTACGAAGTCCAGGTGATCACAGGGAACGTGCCTAAGGCCGGCACTGATGCCAATGTCTACCTGACCATCTATGGTGAGGAGTATGGGGACACAGGTGAACGGCCCCTGAAGAAGTCAGACAAGTCCAACAAGTTCGAGCAGGGCCAGGTGAAGCATGGGCCCCCAGGGTGGGTGATTTGGACTTAGACACAGGGATGGTGCCCTCCAGTCATTTCCACATAAGCCAACTCCGCATAGTGTCTGTGGTGATCCGCAGCATGTTTTGCTCAGTTCAACCAGGTTTTGTGTAAGTATCCACTTTGTAAACATGAGGTCTTTGTGGTGAGGGTATAAGCAACATGCAAGTGGGTTCTGATCCCCTGGATAACTAATGTACAGGAACTAATCAGGGAATAAGATCAGGCAGCAGATGCTCAGGGACTGAGTGGTGGAGCAAGGAGTAAAGGCTACAGGGTTCAAAGTTGTTGTTGTTGTTATGTGCCATTGAGTTGGACCTGACTCATAGCGACACCTCCTTGGGTTTCCGAGGCAGTATCACTACAGAAGTAGATTGCCCTGTCTTCCTTCTGAAGAGTGGCTGGTGGGTTTGAACCACCAGCCTTCTGGTTAGCAGTCAAATCCCTTAGGCACTACACCACCAGAGCTCATCATGGCACCTGTGGGACCATAGAAACTTAGAGATATATTTTAATACATACACATATACATAAAAATATACAAATCATAAAAATTCACTTTGATGATGAAGAAGAGTTGGACAATTGGCATTTTGTCAGTTATGGTAATAACTCCACTTGTGGAAGCTTCTGGATCATCTGCTTTATCCCTAGGAACCATAGGGTTTTCAGTGACTGAAGTAGATCACCAGACCTTTCTTCTGAAAGGCTGTGGGTAGACTTGAACCACCAGCCTTTTGGTTATCATCCCAGTGCATTAACTATTCACACTATAGCAGGTGGTACCTCTGGAGAAAGCTTGAATGAGACCAGGTTAGTGTAGGGTGTGTGCTGGGGGGTGTGGTGCAGTGGTTCTGGGTCCTCTCACAGCAGTGTGTTTGGTTTTGGTTTATCCTCTGGTGGCATAGTGCCTAAGGCACTTGACTGCTAACCAGAAGGCTTAGAACCACCACTCCTCCAAAGGAAGTTTGGGCAATCTACTTCCGTACAGATACCAGCTCGGAAACCCAAGGAAGGGTCACTATGAGTTGGATCCGACTCGATGGCAGTGAGTTTAGTTTTTATTATTATTATCCCTTGATACTTTGGCTTTGACAGTGGCCTCAGGCCATGCCAGGCCTGGCTAGGATGGAGAATATGGCAGGTGGGAAAGGGCAAGTCTCACCCTTCTAAGCATCATTCTGATCCCTCACAGACAGACACGTTCACCATCCCTGCCATGGACCTGGGGCCCCTGACCAAGATTCGGATTCGCCATGACAACTCTGGCAACAGGCCAGGCTGGTTCCTGGACAGAATTGATATCACTGACATGAACAATGAGATCACGTGAGTGGTGGGGGCCGGAGGGCAGGGAGGCAAGGGAGACCATGCCCTTCTCTGTGCCCCCACTGCACCCTCTACTAGGAGAGTACCACAGAGAGGGCTGGGCTGATGGGGGTGGGGTGTGGTATTGGCTGTGATGTCTGCCAGGGCCACCAGAGGGCGATGGCCCATGCTTCTTCCCAGATGGGCGTTGCCTTCCTGCTCCTTTCTCACTGGGCAGACCCTGGAGCTGCCTTCCCTCCCAGATGACAGTCTCGGGGAGCATCCAAACCAGCTTTTGAGGTCAATGCAAAGAGGTCAGATGTGCTCTTTCTGCCAAACCTTCACCAGCCCAATCTCCATGCCCAGCCTTTGCTTAGCTGCTATGACTCTGTTTTAATGCTCTAGGCTGGAGGTCAGTGAATTTTTCTATAAAAGACCAGATAGTATTTTAGGTTTTGTGAGGCATTTGGTGTCTGTCACAATTACTCGATGCCACCATTGTAGCATCAAAGCAGCCACAGACCATGCATAAACAAATGAATGTGGCTGTGTTCCAATAAAACTTTATTTCTGGAATTTGAAATTTGAGTTTCATGTAATTTTCAAGTCAGGAGACATTGTTATTTATATTTTTTCAACCATTTAAAAATGTGAAGCTCATTCTTAGTTGTGCGATGTACAAAAACAGGTGGCAGGCCCACTCTAGATATGCAGCTAAGTTGTGAAGGGGGCATCATGCCTTTCTGATGGGTGAAGGAACCAGGCCCCAGAGGGGTGAAGCCATGGTCCCAGAGCCAATTCATGCTGGAGCTGGGACCAGAGCTCCAGGCCTACTGGCATTTTTCTATCAATAGGCCATGTCACCTCTCAGGCTGAAGGAACTAATGACCATAGAGATGAAAGAAGGCCCATGATTTGGAGAGACACAGGGAAGAGGGAGGCAGAGAGGAAAGTAAGCAAGATCTGGAGAGGATTGTGGGGCTGCTGAGAGGATCTTCCAGGGCCCAGTAATTAGTGAGGGACAAATAAATAGATATTTGCTAAATTAAATCAACTCCTTGGTCTGCATCCTGGTGTCTCTTGGAGCATGCCCTCTTGCTGGGCACCTCTCTGTGAAGGACGGAGAGTAACAGGGCTCACCCCTATCTCTCACCCACCCCTTGCCTCACCATCCTAAGAGAGTACTCTGGAAGGGTACACTGAGGCACAGCTCACATACAGTGCAACGTCATGGTTTTCCATTAGGTTATTGTGGTGGCATAGGGAGCTCTGGTAGTGTAGTGGCTAAGACACATGACTGCTAACCAGAAGGCTGGCGGTTCAAATCCACCAGCCACTCCCCAGAAGGAAGATGGGGCAATCTACTTCCGTAGTGATACTGCCCTGGAAACCCAAGGAGGGGTCGCTATGGGTCGGGTCTGACTCAACGGCACATAACAACAACAGCAACAACATTGTGGTGGCATATAAGGACATGGGAGCACCCCATGGGTGGGAACCAGGGGCCTAGCTTGAGGTCTTCCCTTTGCCAGAAAACCACTAGGTCAACCTGATGAGTTGCCCTAATTTTTATGGGCTTTCCTTTCCTCTGCTGTTAAACGGGCTTAATGATGCCAGCCCAGCTCACTTCTCAAGATGTTCTGGAAATCCAAGAAGTTTAAGTTTGAAAACTGCGGAAATGGAAGAATAGGGGCAAACTGTGAACACACCTTGCTGCCCTTCACAGATCAGTCAGGGTCAATTATTCTAATCCATTGATTTGGCATTTCTGACCCAATTCAACAACTTTTAAATTATTGTAGTATTATCACCTATTTTAATATCTGGCTGTCCTTGTCCTCTTGTCCTCTTTCATTATTCTTTAAAAATGTTAGCAATTCTTACCTTTTTCAAATCAAGATGTTAAGGGATTTGAAAAAGAAATTCTATTGGAATTTTGATTGTTAGGCCATTAAATATACGTGTGGAGAATTGCACATTTAGAGTGTTAAGTGGGACCCCCAGGCACACCTTCCCATTTATCCAAGTGCTCCTTGGCGTTTCTTGGTAAGCTTTACAGTTTTCTACACATGGCTGCTGCACATTCTTGTTAAGGTTATCCTCAGCTGTTTTATATTTTTATTACTCCTGAGAATGGAAGCTTCTCGTTACTCTTCTCTGTTCTTCCTCTCCCTTTCTTTCTCTACTCCTGGAAAAGTCAAGACATTTCCAATGGCCTGTGTGGCCCTTCATGGTCTGTCTCATACCTCCTCCTTCTCTCTCTACCTTGTCTTCCCCTGCTCACTCTTAATTGTTCCTTGAACTCCACAGACTCCACAACAAAGCCTTTGCATTTGCTGTCCCTTCTCCCAGGCACTCTCTTCCCCCAAATGGCTCACTTTCGTCATTTCTTTAGGCAGGTGCTACCACCTCAGGGAGACTGAGCATAGCCCCTACACCTCTTATTCCTCTTCCTCATTTATTTTTCTGTGTAGCACTAATAATCATCTGACCTACAATAAACTTGTGTATTTAGTCATTGTTCATCTCCCTGCAATAGAATATAAAGTCCATGTAGACTTTATCAGTTTTGTTTACGGCTTTGTCTTCCTTAGTACCTGAAAGGGTCCCTGACACATGAGAGGTATACCATAAATACTAATTAAATGAATTAAATTATGATTGATGCATTGATTCATTTGTTAATTCAACAAAGAGTTGTTAAACATACCATGCTAAGTGCTAGGGATCAAATATAGCTGACTCAGAATGATATCAGCTTTGTAGGAGCTCTGGTGGCATAGTGCCTAAGGCATTTGACTTCTAACAAGAAGGCTGGTGGTTCAAACCCACCAGCCACTCCATCAGAAGGAAGATTGGGCAATCTGCTTTTGTAGAGATAACGCCTTAGAAACCCAAGGAGGGGTCACTTTGAGTCAGATCAACTCCAGGGCAGTGAGTTTTTGTTTTTTGTTTTGAGTTTTGAAGGGTTTATAGTCTCACAATCCTTTGGTGAGTTCAGGCTTTTTACGAAATTGTGAAGTTGGGAAAATTTATCTCTGGATTTTTCCTGCCTTCTCAGTCCTGGGAAGCCCCACCTCTTGGCCACCCTGAGAAAAAGTGAGAGTCCAAAAAGAGCGTCAAGTTGATTTTTGTATTGATAGTCATGTCACGTTAGGGATGAGGACCTGCTAGTCTTTCTTTCACTCCTCTGTTCTGCCCAGACAATTCCTGCAGTCTGTGTTTGGCTTAGACAATACATGTTAAGAGGGACAATAGAAAAAGAAAGAGCATCTTCAAGGAAACAGTGATGGCTGATTAAGAAACCTAGGGATTATTCAGAGGACTGTTGAAGGAGGAAAGGATGTTTCACCGGAAAATATCTTCCAATTCTATCAATGTTTATGACTGCCTGTGTATCAGGGCCTGTGGACATGGCAATGAGCAAGACAGATACAGTTCCTGTGCTCATGGTACTTACAGTCTGCCTAGCAGGTGAAATATGTAATTAAATGTACAAATACATGCTCCCTGGGCAGCCTCTTCCATTGTCATCACTTAATTTATTTGAAAATAATAAGTGTCTGTATTTATTATCTGCATAGTCTCAAGTTGTATCAGTTGGAATTGGCTAGCTTCTGCTAAGTAACAACCAGCCCTAAAACCTCAATATCTTATTCTTTCTTATTCATACTACATGTCGAATGCAGGACGTCAGGTAGACTTCACTTGGGGCCCAGTCTCATGGAAGTTTTTCTTCAACATATGCTCCTGTGACCACCCTTATAGGGGATGTAATCACACTAGCTCTTAAAGGTCCCTTCCAACCAGAAATTATATGTATTTTAACAAGGGATTTTTAAAATTCAAGGTCCTTCAGTACCCAAAGTTATGAGTCTCTAATGTTTGGGTTTCAGATCACATGGTAGGCTATTTTGGGGTACAGTGCCATGAATTAGAACACCTTTATTAAGCTATTCACTCATTGGCTCTGCTACTTTCTCATCCCCTTCCATTGACTTGTTGATTAAATTAAGGTACGCGGTATCTTCTTTTTTCTTTTAATATTATAACTAGCTGCATTTTTATTTGAATACATTCAATTTCAAAGAGGAAGAGATAAATGCCAAAAAAGTTAGAAATATATTTAGTGAACACATTCAATCTTATATTCTGATATTCTCTGTTTTCAGTCTTGAGACATAAAAATTTCTATTCCTACAGATGGATTAAGGAATCCTGATGGCTGAGTAGTTAAAGTGCATGGCTGCTAACCAAAAGGTCAATGGTTGGAACCCACTAGCTGCTCCATGGGAGAAAGACGTGGCAGTCTGCTTCCCTAAAGATTTATAGCCTTGGAAATCCTATGGGGGCAGTTCTACTCTGTCCTGTAAAGTCCCTATGAGTCGGAATTGACTCAACAGCAGTGAGTTTTTGGGTTTTTATGGATGGCTTAAGAGTCCCATAAGATCCCTAATCATTACAGACAGATGCTATCTTTGAGTTTTGGCAAAAATGTTGGGTAGGTTGTCTAGCAAGGGCTGAACAAAACACTTGTTGGATTTTTTTTCTCTCTAATCTAATGAAAAAAATGTTACCTGTAACTCCCACTCCTGTATAGACCTTGGGGGTTGTAGAATGCTGAGACAGGAAAGACTTGACAAATTATCTCACTCAGCCCATTTGGTGATGAATCAAGCCCTAGAGATCACACACCTTGTTAGGAGCAAAGGAGGGACAACAATGGAAAGTTCCTCAAGTTCAGACCCTCTTTTCTCTGTGCTGGTCTCCTGGCACCACCACTGTACCTGCGTTGTCCAGCCTTTACCTTATGCACTAAAATGGGGAATTCCCCATGAAATTATGCAAATGTTATGTCATTCAATTTTATAATCTACTTACTTGATGTTTACTTTCAAGTGAAATTTGTGTTTTCAACAATTCCTAGCTTCATTTTAATGCTCAGTTTAAACCTCCTGCTTACCCTAACCCTCTTTCTTTCTTTCTATTGCCCTTATTTAAGTGGTGTGGTGGGCATATCTGTCTCAGAACACCTGCCTGCCTCTTTCTCCTTAAAAATCTCCTGCCTATTCTTCTTCCCCAGTTCCCAGAGACCTGCTTGAGCAGGACTTATGCCTGTGGGAGGACAGGGAAGGGGTCACAAGCTCCAATCTCCTGCTAAACCCTTGGTGTGCTTGTTGACTCTGTGGGGTCAGAGGCTGAATGTGTAGCACTCAGGCCAGTCCTGGCTGCTGCTCTGATTCCATCGGCCCAAGGAGCAGGTGCTGAGAGATCTGTCCATTGGTGCTGCAGTTATGTGCATGGTGAGGGGCTTTAAAGTCTCAGTGCAGGTATGTTAGGGACAATGGCGCCCTCACTCCGTGAAAGTTAGGCTCTGACTCTGCACAGTCATCTCTTTGTGGATGTGGGTAGGCTTACAATTGTTCCTTTCTGTCTTTCTGACTCCCTCCACCCCTGCCCTGCCTGGATGTCTTCTTGGCTCTTTCTTTGTGTATCTTGTTCCCTCTGACTTTATCCTACACCTTCCCATGCTCATTGTCTCTGCCTCTGCCCTGACGCCACCTCCCTCTTTATTTCTCTTTCTCCCTTAAGTGGCCATCTTTTAGAACGGAAGTCTATTATTCATATGTTGTTTTATTGACTAAAATGTTAACTTTCCCATTCATACATTTAAAGAAGTGGAATATTATACATTTATCATGTAAACACTAAATTGCAATTTAATTCATATTCCCTGGATCAAACTCCTCCTGCCCTTTAAATCCATGCCCATCAATATAAAACTGCCTCCATCCCACCTCACTGGAGCCCAAGGACTGAGGCAATGCTTTCTGGTTCTGCTCTTCTAACACTTTGAGATTTACACAGTAAGGACTATAGGAGGCAATGTGCGGCTCAGATGGAAGTGAGACCATCAGCCTACACTGCTCCTGCATCTCCAGACTATGGGCAACTCCTGAATGGCCTTTACACACCTGGGTGGGGATGGGGAAGAGGACCACATGGGGGTAGAGTAGCCCCAACATAGAAACGGACTGCATTCTTGGGCCCTTTGAATTATTCTGGAAGCTTAGGGGCCTGAGGACAGCTGCCAACCCCACAGTCTCTCAGCCATGGACTGAGGAGAAAGCCAGGTAAGCAAAATAGTAGTAGTAGTAGTAGTAGTAGTAGTACTAGTAGTAGTAATAATAATAATAGGAAATTCTTACCCATAGCCTACCTTGAGCTAGGCATCTTTATTAAACAAAACAAAACAAAAAAACCTCACTGCCGTTGAATCACTTGTGACTCACAGCGACTCCCTTTGGGTTTCCAAGGTGGTAAATCTTTACTGAAGTAGATTGCCCAGTGTTCCTTCCACAGAGTGGCTGGTGGGTTTGAACCACCAACCATCTGTTTAGCACTCAAATGCCTTAGGCACTACACCACCAGAGCACTTTAAATTTTTAACACATTTAATCCTCACAACAACCTATGAAATAAGCAATACTAGCCTCATTTTACAGAATGGTAAACTGAAGCACAGAGTCAAGCTACCAAATAAAATACAGGAGTCCCTGTTAAATTTGAATTTGAGATAAGCAACAAATAATTTATTAATGTACGTATGTCCCATCCTATATGGGACATAGTTATATTAAAGAAGTATTCATTGTTTATTTGAAATTTGAATTTAACTAGATGTCTTGTAATTTTATTTGCTAAACCTGGCAATCCTAGCACAGAGAGGTAAAGAAACTTTTTTAAGGTCACACAGCTATACATGGCAGAGCCAGGATTCAAATCCAGACAGTCTGGGTCCAGAGGCTGAATTTTAATTACCATATCTGCTGTCTTGTTCATCCATGGTTCTAGTTTCCATTCCTGTCTAGACGGCTCCACTGTGCAGGACTCTGGTTCTACATTGAGGAATCTGATTTGAACCTCTCCTCCTCTGATGGTCCCAGCTACTTGCTGTGCCAGTTCCTTTAGCCCCAATCGTTGTCTCTTCCAAAATCAAAATCGTAATTGTGTAATTTTATTAAAATCCATGAATTCAACAATTATGTATTGAGCACCTACTGCATACAACACTCTCTGCTAAAGTAGTTCTGGATAATAGAGTAATAATAGAAGGGGTTAGAGAAGCCCATAAGACCTTCTCCTTCTAGATCCTTCCATTCAATATGACCCTGGTTGAGATCTACTGTGTACCAGGCACTGTTACAAGGGCAATTCAACCACTTTCTGGAGACAATGTCCACACCTTTGTTTTTTACCCTGGGCAAGTGACTGTAATGGGAGGATTCCCGGGTGAACTAGGACAGGAGGGCAATGCCATCAGGGGCAGACAGGGGAGCATCTGGGGCTTCTCCTTTATCAGCCCATGACCACTCCTGTATGAGGCCACCCCAGGAGCACATTCCAATTTTCCTCCACCCCACCCCACAGGTACTACTTCCCGTGCCAACGCTGGCTGGCGGTTGAGGAGGATGACGGCCAACTGTCCAGGGAATTATTGCCAGTGGATGAGTCCTACGTGCTGCCACCAGAGGACGAGGAGGGTGGGGGAGGTGACAACAACCCCCTTGACAACCTGGGCCTGGAGCAGAAAGGTGTCCTAAACTCAGCTAATTTCTTCCCTCCAGCATCCTTCTTCATCCCTTGAGGGCATCTAGGTCTCCGTTTTCCCTCTCTCTACTGTGGGTTATGGGCATTTCCTCCTCTACCAGTGTACCTACTACCCTCTCATTCCTCCATGGATAAGAATGAGGAGGTGAGATGGATCCCATTCCCACCTTCTAGCATTGTTGTTGTTATATGCCGTTGAGTCAGACCCAACTCATAGCAACCTCTCCTTGGGTTTCTGAGGCAGTATCACTATGGAAGTAGATTGCCCAAACTTCCTTCTGAGGAGTGGCTGGTGGGTTTGAACGACCATCCTTCTGGTTAGCAGTCAAGTTCCTTAGGCACTATGCTACCAGAGTTCCTGCCTTCTAGCATGGGGCTGGGAATAAATTACATGACTGGGCACTGAGTTATTGTCATGAGTAGGATAGAAGCATAGACTAGAACAGAGTAGAGTGGAGTGTAGTAGAATGGACTGATTTTAGCCTGTTCTGATTCCATTTGTGTCTTCCCCTCCAGGCACATTATAGACTCTCCATACATTTTTGTCAAGGGAAATAATGAAGAGTAACCTTCATTCTATGATGCTTGAGCTTTCTTCCCAGGAATCACATCTCTGAAACTCCTTCCAGCCTGAACTCCTGTCTAATTAGCCTGTGACCCCCCACAATCATCCAAGTATCCCCTAACCATTCTATCAGCTCAAAGGATTCAAGAATTCCTGTGTTAGTCAAAGTTAGGGGAGAGTTCATCTCTTTGCTCAGGAAGTTTCCAGACTAAAGGCTACTACAGAACAACATGTACCATGAGCGAAGCAATTCATGGAAATGGTCAACATGAACATTAGGTCTCACAGTGTTCACATATATTGCATTGAAGGGGCAGAGGAAGTGTTGTAATGAGGGATCAGATGGTGAAAATCAAAGAATCCCTCCTAGACAAAGTGATGTTTCTCCTTCCTCCCTTCATGAAAGGGGCAATGTAAGGCTCACATCTCCACACTCTTTTCCTGGCAGATAAATCTACCACGTTCTCAGTGACCATAAAGACTGGGGACAAGAAGAATGCAGGTACAGATGCCAACGTCTTCATCACACTCTTTGGCATGCAGGACAACACTGGTAAGAAAGCAAGGCAGGGCCAAGGTTCACCATGTTCCTCCCCAGGGAGACTGGAAGACTCAAAATTTGTTTCTAAAAAAATCCTGGTCATGCCTCTATCTCTTGAAAAATTGCATGCAACTAGCCCCATCAGAGAAATCTAGTATCCCCCTCCCCCAAATATCTCCTTGTGAGGTGTCTTGACTACCTAGTTTGTGAAAGTTGGTTCCTGAGGAAATTCTTCCTACATGTTAGTAAGTCAGTCCTCTTGTGCTCCAACTCCTTGTTCTCTCTCTAGTCCTCATAGCTGCCTCTACATGTGTGTGGAAGCCGTGTGAATCATCTTCCTTTCAGTAGTTTCCTCCCTAAGTAATAGTGCCCAGTTCAATGATCAGTGTCTTTTCAGGCATTTCTGAAAGGATTTTTTTGACACTTCCTGTGTCCATTCTGGAGGTGCAGATCTGTTTGTCTTTCAAAACCACGATGAGCTCCCCCGTCCAAACAGTCTCTTCTCTGGGTCTTCTGCCAGTGCTCTCCTTCTGTTCTAATGGGAGAGGTAGTCCTAACCCTAACTCCATCCCTAATAACAACCTAGGAAATGGTGCCTCCTCCCAACCTCCAGTGAGATGCAGTCAAGAAGCTTCATGGTGCTCTCAGTATGCACTTTGCTTGTTTCTGCTGTTGTTGTTCTTATGTGCCCTCAAGTCAGACCTGACTCATAGCTACCCCTCCTTGGGTTTCTGTGGCAGTATCACTACAGAAGTAGATTGCCCCATCTTCCTTCCGAGGAGTGGCTGGTGGGTTTGAACCTCCAGCCTCCTGGTTAGCAGTCAAGTGCCTTAGGCACTATGCTACCAAAGCTTGTTCCTGCAGTCCATGGTATTTTCAATATTCTTTGTCAACACCATATTTCATAGACATTGTACCTCATAGAGTTGTAAATTTAACAAACTTGAACTTAAAACATATTTGGGACAAAGTAACACTTAATGACTATTTATTATTATTTAATAGCTTTGATGAGACAGATAATACGTAATGAAAGAAATGCAAAAATGCATGATTACAATAATCACTGAACCATGGTCAATGGAATTGATGGGCCCTAATAAGTGCTTTTCTTTGCTGAGTGCTTTCTATGTGTTAGGCACATTTCTAGCACTCAACAATCATCATCTTTTTAAATCTTCACATCAATCCTATGGGACAGATACCGATTCCACCCTTTTGTACATTTGAGGAAAACAAGTCTTATAGACAGTAAGTAATTTTTCCAAGGCCACCCAGATGGTAAGAGCTAGGTCTAGGACCAAGATATGTCAGTCTCTCTGTGTACTTAAATCACTGTGCCAGGAACTTCTGGATATAAGAAGACTTCCTGTGTGAGGTGGGTCCAGAGGTGGGACTTTAAGGGGTGAGGGGACTTAAAGGAAATGAGGTGTGTGCTGAGGCAGTCAGGGAAGGTGATGACTCTGAGCACTTGAAGTTTCAGACCAACACTCCAGCCAGAGTCCAAGGACAGATGCTGTATGTGAGATGGTTAGTGGAGAGTATCTGAAGCCATCCCACCTTCTGCTATCCACGGAAGAGTTGTCAGAGAACTCCCACAGGCCCCATCCCCACAGGGCACCTACTGGTTCCCCAGGAAGCCTGGAGGAGGGGTGCTTTGTCACTGGCTCCTTCTCCGTCTGGAGAAACGTGGGGACGATAGAGCAGACACTGGAATTCAGACCCCAACGCTTTCTTCTTGATATTGGATAAATCATTTAACCTCTTAGTGTCTCCCTTTCTTCAGATACAAACTGGAGATGAAAACACATACCTCAATAGATTATTGTACAGCTCAATAAAAGAATACACACCCAAAATTGCCAAATAGGTGCCCAGTGGATGGTAATTGCCTAGTCTAAGTTTCATATAATTTGGTCATTATAAGGAGGGACCCAAGGGGTGGGCCATACCAGGTTAGAAAGGTGTCAGGCCCAGCCAGTCATGTTGGGGTCATTTGGTCGGCAGGAATGACCCTCTTGAAGTCCTCCAAGACCAATAGTGACAAGTTTGAGAGAGACAGCATTGAAATCTTCACGGTGGAGACGCTGGACCTGGGAGACCTGTGGAAAGTCAGGATTGGCCATGACAACACAGGTCTGACTGCCCTCCCTTCTGTTCCCTGCTAAGAATGAAAGGTCCTTGGACAGGTCCCTGTGGACACCTGGGAAAGAATCATGGGGTTTGGGGGGTGGGTAGCAAGGATGAATACATTTTTCTTCTGGGAATGAGACCTGGGTGTCACCTGCCTTAACAAACAACACAGTTTCCTCACTTCCTTTAGGCCAGTGGGGTCTTGGCTGCAAGCAGATTCCAGTCTTATTAGTCTGGGGTGGGGCCTGGACACCAATGGTTGTTAAGGCTTCTCTTCCACCTTTGGTAATTTTAATGTGCAGCCAGATCTGAGAATCCCTGATCTAGCTCCAGGATCCATACCTTTGAATGTGCATAAGAATCACTGGAGGACTTGTTGAAACCCAGATTGCTGGGCCCCACACCCAGAGCCTCTGATTCAGTAGGTCTGGGCCAAGGCCCAAGAATCTGCATCTCTCACAAGTCCCCAGGGGATGCTGATCCTGCTAGTCCAGGGACCACACTTTGAGAACCCACTCACACTTCAGGGTGTACACAAGCTTTTTCTGTCTGAGTAAATAAAATAGGGCTGTTTTTTTCCTCTTAAAACCACCTCTCCTAAACCTGAGGAAGAGGACCCTAATCCTAGCACCTGGGACTGTAGGGACAGAGTTCTCTGGCACTTCCTTCTTTTATGCTACAGCACTGATTTTCCCAGGAAGGACCATCACACCCCCTCTCGTCCCTTCACTTCACCCATCACAAACTGAGGTCAGGAGCTGTGAATGCCATCCCTGACCTTCAGTGAAATGATAAGGTCTCTTTTACACAGGTTTCCTTTGGCATCTCTGGGCAACCTGTTTGGAGCCCTTCCCGCCCTAGACATTGTCTCTGCTTCCCAGCCCCTCAGACTCCCTCTGTCCTTCTGTCATCTGCTCCCCAGGTTCCTTCACTTTTGCTAATTTCCCTGCCAGCAGCCTGGAGTTGATCCAGCTTCAGCTGAATGTGCATTTTAACAAGAAACGTTTTGACAATGCTGTAAGCTAAAAGGATGACATGCTAATGGTGGAACTATAGATCTCTGCCACCAAGTAGGGATGGGTGTTTGGAGTCCCTGAAGTCAGGCCCAGGAAGCCACCCCTGCAGATGTCCTCCAGGGCTGCATCTCGTCTCCCTCCAGGCAAGGCTCCAGGCTGGTTTGTGGACTGGGTGGAGGTGGATGCTCCGTCTCTGGGAAAGTGCATGACGTTCCCCTGTGGTCGTTGGCTGGCCAAGAATGAAGACGATGGAGCCATCGTCAGGGACCTCTACCATGCAGAGCTTCAGACGAGGCGGTACACACCATGTAGGAACCAGATAGCCAGGAGCCCATCACTGCCACCCCAATTGGGCCCCATTCCTTCTTTAGCACAAACTCTGGGCGAGGCCAGCCTTGGAGATTTCAGCCTCTTGTTCCTTCCCTAAATTCCCTATGGGGTGTGGGCAGAGCCCTGGGCCCAGGGAAAGGGAATCTAAAACTTATTCCCAACACCATCCCAAACTAGCTAGTGACACCAAACCGAAACCAAACTCACTGCAATTGAGTTGATTCCAACTCATAGTGACCCCTGCTAGGTTTCCAAGGCAGTAAAGCTTCATAGAAGTAAATTGCCCATCTTTCTTCCATGGAGGGAGCTCTAGTGGCATGGTTCCTAAGGCATTTGACTGCTAACCAGAAGGCTGGAGGTTCAAACTCACCAGCCACTCCTCAGAATGAAGTCTGGGCAATCTACTTCCATAGAGATACCGCCTTGGAAACCCAAGGAGAGGTCTCTATGAGTCGGAATGGACTCGATGGCAGTGAGTGTGGTTTGGTTTTTGGTTTCTTCCGTGGAACAGCTGGTTGGTTTGAAATGCCAAACTTCTGGTTAGCGGTCCAGGAGAGAACTTAACCTCTACTGGGGCTCAGTTTCTTCATCTGTAAAATAGGGAAAAGAAGGCAGTAAGTCCTCCAAAAGAAGAAAAGTAAAGGTCTAATTGTGAGGGGTCATTATTGACCCCACTCACCAATCCTAGTCATTAACATCCGGAAAAAGCAGCACCATGAGATTTTTGCCTGATTTAAGGAAGGTAAATGTAATTCCTTTTATAGGCTAAAAGAAAGGAGGAAGGGGAACAATTTGGTGACAGTTTTGATACTTTCCTTCCATCACCACCATCAGAAAGCATGTATTAAATGTTTATATATGTGCAGCTATGTACTAGGTCCTGGGAATAAACCCTGGGAAATAAACCCAACTATAAAACTCTGTCTGAACTTGCTAAAATCTGAATCAAACCCAGAGAATATAATTTTTCTGTAATTAAGTAATTGTTGTGTGCCACGAAGTCAATTCCAACTCATAGTGACAAAGTAGAACCATGTGACAGAGGAGAACTGCCCCATAGGGTTTCCTCGGCTGTAATTTCTACAGGAACAGATGGCTAGCTCTTTTGTCCCACAAGAGGCTGGAGTGACCTTTCGGTTAGCAGCTCAGCACTTAACCGTTCCACCACCAGGGCTCCTTAACTAAGTAACTGAACCAAAAAAAAAAAAAAAAATTACACCAAACAACTTAAACAGTATGAAGTAGTGATTTTGTTTATTTCTTTTCTTTTTGCTGGGGGGTGGTGGTGGTGGTTAGGTGCTAAAGTAATTTAATTAGAAATAATCAGATCACCAAAATATTTTCTGGGCCAAAGTTTGTAAAAAAAGAAAGAAAGAAAGAAAGAAAAGTGTCATTTGGCTCTAGTAAGGTCTTTGGCCAGGCATATACAAAGCAGGCCCTCTGATCAAGCCCCTACCCCAAGCGTCATCTGTGATCTAGGACAAACACACTGATTTTGCAGAGGTACACAAGACCGGAACACTGTCAGCTGGGACCCTCGAGGACAGACGTACACATTTACACAGAGCACGTGGAAGAGAGGAAGTGACAGTGGAGCTGATTAGAGTGGAAATGAGCTACATTGCCTGCTCCCTGCATCTGTGTCTCCCTACTTCCCCCAGGACTAGCCTTCCTCTGTTCAAAAAAAGAATTTTCATGGTCTGACCTTGGATCTATTCTGTTCCAGCCTGATACTAAAGGAAAGCTATTTGCCCTTTGTCATAAATTCACATCTGCCAAAAAACAAAAAAGTAAGCAAAGACTTGACTTTTCAGACTGAGGCATTGTGGCATCAGCTTACAGGTGGAGGGGTACTGGTTGGGAGCACAGGGGAAGGGGTTGCTTCTCAGAACCCCTTCCTTGTCTGGTGATCATCTTGGGGACCCAGGGCCAGAGGACTTCAGGGGACTGGGAGCTGCAGGCCCAGGGATGGTGGGAAACAGTTTGTTCTCAGCTATGACCTGAAAGGTTGGCCATTTGAACCCACCTAGTCTGGTAACATAGTGCCTAAGGCACTTGACTGCTAATCAGAAGGCTGGCAGTTCAAACCCACCAGCCACTCCTCAGAAGGAAGGTTGGGCAATCTACTTCCACTGTGATAACGCCTCGGAAACCCAAGGAGGGGTCGCTATGAGTCGGGTCCGACTCAACAGCAAATAACAACAGTGGTGCCACAGAAGAAAGACCGGGCAATCTGCTTCTGCCAAGATTATAGCCAAGAAACCCTATAGAGCAATTCTAGTCTGTAAGCCACAAGGTCGCTGTGAGTTGGGGCTCACTCCCTGCAAGGGGTTTGTCTTTGGGTTGGTTGTTTGTTTGGAAAGGAGCTTGGAAGTAGATTTGGCAGCTCAGAATGTCCGGAATGCCTGAAACCATTAAGAACCGACCAGGTGGAACTTCTCCTGGACTGATGGACATGTTCTGCCTATGTAGGAGGATCTGAACGGGGAAGGGGCTGCAGTGCAGCCTCCACAGGGAGACTCATGCCAGGTTAGCACCGGAGGGACCTTTGCTTCAAATGAGGATCTCTGCAGTAGAAGGTGTAGCCTCAGCACTACTGGTGGGGGGAGGGGAAGGCCGAGAAGGGAAAGCCCGTCCTCACCTTCACACCAGCCAGCAGCTCCACAGCTTGGAAAAGCCATGTCTTTGCTGAATGTTGTTGATAGATACACTTATAAGAATTGCACAGTTTAACAACAACAACAACAACCAAAAAAAAAAAAAACAAACAAACAAACCAGAAAACCATAGATCTAGTTAAACCCTCTCATTTTATAGGTGAGGGGAAACTAAGGCTTGGAGAAGTGAAGTCTTTGCCCAAGGGCACACAGCTATCTATCCAAGGCAGAGGCAGAGCCAGAAACCAGGAACAAGCTCTGGGGCCAGGCCTGAAGCAATGAGGGCTGAAGGGTGGGCTGCTCCTGCCCAGAATTTCCAGGGCTTCTGCCAATGCCAGTTGACTCAGGAAAGCTCAAATCCTATTGCCAGCTTCTCTGCTCAAGGTCTCCAAGGCATTGGGCCAGGGAGAAATCCAAGAGGACTCAGAGAAAAAGGCTGTCTGGTAGACACAGCACCTCCATTATTGCTTGAGGGCCTGGCATGGTTGGCTGTGTTTCTCCCAGGTGGAGACCCACCTGCAGGTTGAAGGCCCCATTCAGGCCATTGTGGGGCTACTGGTTACCCCAGGGGCTGCCTCTCCTGGTGGTTTGTGGGTACTTATCTCCGATTCATGACAGCAACACCTCTAGAGGTTGGTCACACAGGCTTTTGGGATCAGAGAAGCCTAGGTTCAAGTTCCACCATTATTTAGCCATGTAACCTTGGGCAAGCTAGTTTACCTCTCTGAACCTCAGTTTCCTCATCTGTAAGGTGGGGATATAACAATACCTACTCTATAGGGTCAGTGTGAGGATTAAATGAGTAAGGAATATAGAGTGCTTCCAATGGAGTCTGGTATTTAGCAAGCACTCAATGGGTCGCTATGAGTAGGGTTTGACTCGACGGCACATAACAACAACAACAACAACAATGAATGACAACCGTCACCACTGCAAGTATTACTACTACAATAAAGTAACCATGATTATAAATGGAAGGTACATCTCTCTCTGGAGCAGGTTGGAGTCACCTGTGAGAAGGTGACTTCTAATGATGACTCCTTTTAAGAGTCAAGCTCATAGGACAGGATAGATTCCAAATCGACTGTTTCTCTGGGTTTTTCAGTTTTTTACACCTACTCCTCACTTAGGAGCTCTGGTAACATAGTGCCTAAGGCAGTTGACTGTTAACCAGAAGGCTGGAGGTTCAAACCCACCAGCCACTCTTCGAAAGGAAGGTTGGGCAATCTACTTCCACAGTGATACTGCCTCGGAAACCCAAGGATGGGTGGCTATGAGTCGGGTCTGACTCCACGGCACATAACAATACTCCTCACTTATCCATGTCTCGTCTGATGTTTGCATTTACAATAAGAGTGAAAACTCTATTGTGTGCATTAACGATGTACATCGGGCAGTGCAAACACCAAGGTGTGAGGTAAGAGTAACGTAGGCTGTGGTGGTTAAGGTTATGTGTCCACTGGGCTGGGCCATGATTCTTTGTGGCCTGGTAGTTATGCAATGAAGTAATTTGGCAATTATATCATGATGTAGTCATCTTCCATTTTGTGATCTGAGGTGGTCATCCTCCATTTCCTCATAATGCCAATTTTTGCATAAGGACCTGGTCTTTGAGCCTAACCATGTTGGTAAATGAGAAGTGGGTGCATTTACTATCGCCAGAGTAAATATTTAATTCATATGCATATACAACAAATAAAAGTGTCACAAGAAAAATATTTACCCTCACTATGTGTCACGCACATAGCATAGTGCCTAAGGCATTTGACTGCTAACCAGAAGGCTGGCGGTTCAAACCCACCAACCACTCCCCAGAAGGAAGATGCGGCAATCTACTTCCGTAATGATACTGTCTCGGAGACCCAAGGAGGGGTCGCTATGAGTCGGGTCTGATTCAACGGCACATAACAACATGTGCCATGCATGGTATTTTCTATTTGATTCTAATCAATTCCACAGATTTCTGAAATTACTGCTAACAACCCATGACATTAGTTTCAAACCCTAATAGACCTCAATCCCACAGTGGGCACACATCACTTTATACTCCTGGCCTCAGACTTTAATGTAAAGGAAGACTTAAAGATTTAGATCCCTGGGCCCACCTTGCAGAGAATCTGAGGAGGGGTTTGGGAATCTCTATTTTTAACAAGCATCCCCAGAATTTCTGGAGCAAAGAGTTCTTAACCTACATGCTGAGGAATGCTGGTCTCTCCTCTAGCTGGTGGCTGCCTAGTAGGAAGTGACTTGCTGACAGCACTGATGGGTCCACCTCTTTGTTATGGACAGACCGTTCCTGGTGGGAAGAGTTTTCTGCTAAGGCTGAGTGGACCCTGGCTCATCCCTGATTTCCATGTCTCCCTTCTCCTATAAAAAGCAAAACAGTTGTCAAGTTGGTTCTGCCTCATGGTGATTTCATACATGTCAGAGAGCCGTGCTCCCCAAGATTCTCATTGGCTGATTTTTTGGTGGTAGATCACCAGGCCTTACTTCTGAGGTGCATCTGGGTGAACTTGAACCTGCAACTTTTTGGTTAGCAGTTGAGTGTGTTAACCATTTGTACCACACAGGGACTCCCCTCCCCTCTAGGGAGCTCTATAACGTGAGGGAGCTGAATCAGTGGATCTACAAGGACCCTCTCTGCAGCCAACCCAACAGAGGACCAGAAGCCATGGGGATGCATGGAGGAGGGCAGGCCAGCTTGGAGCAAGTGAGGGTGGAGGGTGGAAGGGAAGGATCCTCACCACTGTGCACTGTCTAATCTGATTGGCAAGTTGTCCCCAGAAATATAATGCTCTTGTTGACAGAGTGTCTACCGCTAAGCTCCATATTGTGTACATTTCATAGATAAGGAAACTGAGACTCCTAAGTAACTTGCCCCTGTCACACAGCTAGCCAGATCAGAGCCAGGACTCGAACCCAGGCTCATCTGGTTTGAAAGCCTCTGCTTTCACCCTACCTGCCATACCAGCTCTGTGATGTGAGAGGTGCAGAGATCCTGGTCCGAGGGGACAGGTGTTGGACAGGGAAGTCCACCTGTGGTTGCTAGGCAACCACGGGAAGGTCCAGGGCCCCTGGCAGTTGTTCCCATGTAGAGGGGGATGGGTGGTAGGGAAGAACTTGAGCTCACCCTTGCTTGTTTTCTGTTCTCATGTCCCCTCTGACTGCTCTCTGGCCGCCACCCTCAGTTGTTCCTTACGAGATCACCCTCTACACCAGCGATGTCTTTGCTGCTGGCACAGATGCCAACATCTTCATCGTCATCTATGGCTGTGATGCTGTGTGCACCCAGCAGAAGTACCTGTGCACCAACAAGCGGGAACAGAAACTCTTCTTTGAGAGGAAGTCTGCATCCCGCTTCATCCTGGAGGTACCGGGGCTCAGCAGGTTGCCAGCAGTTGTGGGGAGCCAGGCCTGGGGGGTGGGGGGTGGGGGTCAGAGAGAGGAGTGGGGAAGGAACCCTGCCTTTAGTGGCAAGAGACACGTGCTTAGAACACTCATGTGAGCATGAGGACGGTGAACCTTGCCTGGTTCCTACCAGGATGGTGGTCAGGATCAATGGAGAGAAGGGGTACAGAGGGCTTTGGAAAACTTGAGGCACAATCCCATTGGGGCATCCCCAGTGCTACCAACCAGAACTGACAAACAAACATGGCAGAGCACAGCATCCAGACCACTGGTTCTAGGGTTCTGGGGTTCTGGGGGAAGAGGGAGTCCCACCACCAGTTGTCACATGGGGATAGGGTTTCCTGGCTCCTGGCTCAGCTTGCAGTGTCACCAACTGTGATATGGAAGAACCTCTGGTATGCTCCACAGTCCCCACCAGGCCTGGGCCTCGGGGGCTGTGGTTCAGTGTTTGCTCTGGGTGTCACAGCCCCTTGGCATCCCCTATGCTTCAATCCACTGCATACTGTGTGCCTCCCCTGTGTGCCCAGCTGTCTGCTTGGTAAGTGGGAAAGACGAGAAATAAGGACCCAGACCTACCTTCAAGGGGCTTGCAGTCTAGTTGGGGGACCCCAGACCTCCACACAAAGCTAACGAGGGAGTCTGATCATCATCATAATAACTGGCCCTGTGGGCACTGCCGTAGGGCTTTGCCTACATTGATTCATGTCAGCCCACAACAACTCTGCTGTAATTATCCTTATTTAAAGATGGGAAAACTGAGGCATGGAGTGTTTAGTGCCTTACTTAAAATTGCAAAGCTGGGATGTGGTGAAGGCGGGATTCAACACAAGAAGATTGGCTCTAGACTAAGTGCTCTGGGTCACTGCAGTGGACAGGACAAGTGGTAGGCAGTGGTGCTGAGTGAAAGAACAGCCAATGGCAGCCAGAAATGATGGGAGGCAGCTCCCTGGAAGAGGTGGCTCTGAGCTCGGTCTGAGGGATAATCAGGTTCAAGGTGCAGAGGCATTCCCAAGGCCAAGGGAACAGCATGGCCAAAAGCCAGCAGTGGAAATGAGCACAGCCTGTGATTTGAAGTTTGGCCTCCACAGAAGAAGAGGGATGTGACCTGGGTGGAGGGCTCCAACCATGACGACCCTGCGCGGCGGCAGAATGGAGCACTGTCTGGCCCTGCACCCTCGTCACCATTGTCGGTGTTCTCAAGCCCTTCGTTGTGTCTGCTGAGTGCTGTCAGTGCCTTCCTACCTCGGGAAGGCACCTCCACATGATATCAGACAGTATTCTTTTGTGATCCCTAGGGTCTTCATTGACTAATTTCCCAAAGTAGATAGCCCAGCCTTTCTCCTTAATCTAGCCTGGAAGCTCTGCTAAACCTGTCACCATGGGTGACTCTTCTGATATTTGAAATAGCAATGGCATAGTTTCCAACATCATAGCCATATGCAAGCCACCACAGTATGACACACTGACAGATGGGTTGTAGGGGCAGAGATGAAATGAGATAGTGACGAAAAGGGGAAGATAGGGATTCCCAGAGAGAGAAGAGCCTGGAGCCTCAGGAGCCTGGGTTCTTTAGGTAGTGAGGACTTTTGGACAGATGTTCCTTGTTTTCTGGTGGGAAACAAAGTCCGGAACCCCTTCCTTCTTCCTCAGGCCAGCCTGTGTCCCAGGGGACCCCCTGCTCCCTCCACACCTCCTCTGGGAGCCATCAGCACTTGTGGGAAGGTCTGCCACCTTCGCTGAGAGTTTTAACAAGCAAAATTCAAGGCTGATTCATTTGTCCACACCACGCTAACATCTCATCCACCCAAGATGTGTTGATGCGTGACTCATCCGAGCCTGATGCCGTCAGCGGCTGAGAGCTGTGATTACACCTCAGCATGATTTCCGGGGACTTTTATCAATGAAGTCCCCACTAATAGACAGCCAAAATTTGCCAGTCATTTGTTGCTGTTTGTTTAGTTTTTCTTTTCTAATTTATCTGGGTCTTAGGAGCATAGGCGAGCTCGGGAAACAAATGAGAAAGCTTTGTGCCTGTCCCTCTGCCTGTCTCTGTTTCTGTCTCTTCTCTTTTCTGATTGATCTTCAGGTAAGGTGGAGAGCTCTGGATTTCGAGTCATAACTTCAGGTTCAGGTTCTGGTTCAGCCACTAGCCTGAGAGCAAACCACCCCCTCTCTCTTCATCCTCATCCTGGGACAAAGGGGTTTGCTATTGCTATTACTATAGCCAACGTTTGTTGAGCACTTCCCAAATGCCAGGTCCCCAGGTGATGCAAATTATTACACTCTACTACTAACTGAACGGGAGCTCTGGTAGCATAGTGCGTAAGGCACTTGACTGCTAACCAGAAGGCTGGCGGTTCAAACCCACCAGGCACTCCTCGGAAGGAAGGTTGGGCAATCCTACTTCCATAGTGATACTGCCTCGGAAACCCAAGGAGGGGTCGCTATGAGTCGGGACCAACTCAACGGCAAATAACAACAACAACAACACTAACTGAAAGGTTAATGGTTTGAACCCACCCAGAGATGTCATGGAAGAAAGGCCTGGAAATCTGCCACCAGAACAATTGGTTGCTGTTGTTAAGTGCCATCAAATCAAATGTAACCAGAGCAACCCTGTGTGACAGGGTAGAATGCCCCCACACAGTTTCCTTGGCTGTAATCTTTATGGAAGGAGATCACCAGGTCTTTCTCCCATGGCACCACTGGGTAAGTTCAGACCGCTAACCCTTTGGTCAGCAGCCAAGTGCTCAACCACTGCACCACCAGCCCTCCTTCCATAAAGATCACAACCAGTAACACTCTGGGGAGCTCAGTTCTACCTGTAACACGTGGGGTTGTCACGAGTCAGAATCCGAACAACCATGCTTTTTTGGGGGGCGGGGAGAGGTTTTCCCATATGCCAACCCTGTTCTAAGCAATTGGTGTATATCAACTCATTTCATCCTCATCACAATTCCAAGAGTTAGGTGCTATGATCATCCCACTTTACACATAAGGAAACAGAGCACAGGAAGGTTAAGTAACTTGCTGCTCAATGTGACATAATGAAAGAAGGCAGGGCCGGGATTTGAACTCAAACATTTTGATTCTAGAGCCTTCTCTGCTTAACTCTTTCACATCTTGGGAGAGTTCTAGGGTCTCTCCTGGTGCTGACATCCTCTGAGTCCATCTCTATTGCCCCTGTGGCCCATTGACCGTGGCCAGCAGTCCCTTGATAAGCCTTTGTGCTCTCTGAAGGTCATGGATGAGATGACCACACCAGCACACACAACAGGGTGATTAAAGTCACAAAAATCCCCTTGAGATCTTAGCACCACACATCTCAAATCTCAAAGAGATAAGCTGGGGAAAGGATGCATAGGGGACCCTGGACACAGGAGAGGCCGAAACCAAACCAAACTCACTGCTGTCAAGTCAGATCTGACTCATAGTGATCCCTCCTTGGGTTTCCAAGGCACTATCACTATGGAAGTAGATTGCCCAACCTTCTTTCTGAGGAGTAGCTGGTGGGTTTGAACTACCAGCCTTCTGGTTAGCAATCAAATGCCTTAGGCACCATACCACCAGAGCTCCCGAGAAGCAGGGAATCCTTATTCCTTGGTTCTGTCAGCAACTCTGTGTCCTCAAGGAAGATTCTGTGAACCAAAGATTTCATCCATAGCTTCCATGCCCCTTGCATCGTGGAAGAATAAGCCTTCCTTAAAGATGTCCTTGGAAAGAACATCAGCCTGAAATCATTGAGTTTTGTTTAGTCATTCAGAAAGCCCTTAGGGGCTTCACATCTCTCCCCCCCCAGGGGCATTTTGGACTTGAATTCTCACTTATCTGATGAAGTGTGGGTGAAAGGCCAGCAAGGATTGTTGGAGAATGTGTAGCAGCTCTGGCATCCTTGTTCATTCTCAGAGTTTCCGGTGACCTGGCGCTTTGCCTGTCACTTGGAACTACACTGTGGTTGACAAAAAGAACCATGTCTGAGATTTTACACCTAGAAGTGACCTCAGAGGATGACCCTGTTTACACCCATACCTTTAGCTAGATGAGACACTAATCTCCCATTTTATAGATGGGGAAGTTGAGGCCTGGAAGGTTAAGTGGCTTGTTGAAATGGTCCACATACAGTGCTGATGGACCCCTCTTGGCTGCCAACAGTGGGTGGGTGTGTGGGGATGGAGGGAGCCACTGGTTGGAGGCTGCTCAGTTCATATAGCAGTTGCTTCTGTCTGCACTTATGAGAGCTTTTCATTGGACAGATGACTCAATCAACCATTCCAACACCATTCACTCATCAAGAGCTCTCCGTCATCAGGGAACACCCTGGAGCTGACCATACTGCCCTCTTGGTAGCTCCTGGGCGCTTGATGGAGTAGGTTGGGTAGCTTGATTCACAGAAGGGCTGCCAGGAAACCTAAGTGTGCAACACCCACCCACCCCACCCAATTGTTATATAAAACCTCATGGTATGAATTCCACAGACCAATCATGAGCCAGGGCATCTGTGTATTATTTGGAGTTCTGGGTGATGCAGATGGTTAGCACACTTAGCTACTGAACTAAAGGTTGGAGGTTCAAGTCCATCCAGAGAAGCCTTGGCAGAAAAGCCTGGTGATCTACTTCCAGAACATCAGCCATTGAAAATCCTATGGAGCTCAGTTCTAGTCTGACACAGGTGGGGTTGCCATGAGTAGGGATCAACTCCATGGCAACTGGTTTGACTGGTTTCCTTTTCCCTTCGCGCTGACTTCCTCAACTCTTTCTTACCCTCTTATTGCCCCAGGTCCTCTTAGGAATGAGGCAGGGTGTGGTTTTATCAATACAACATCATTCCAGGGGAGAATGCGGTGCGTGAACTGTGAGGGAACCAGAAGGCTTCAGTAGGGCCCGGAGTAGGGGGAGCAGGTGGGATAAGGGAGGGCAACAGGCAGGGAGAGAGCTGCGAGGGGAGTGCCAGGCTGAGAAGACCACTTCATTGTTTTCTCAGAGCAGCCCTGAGGGGTTTGGGGATTAATCAGTCTTGACGGATCCCCTCCCCTGACCCCTATGCCTGTAGGCTCCAGGCAAAAGAGAGAAGAGAGGGTAGCCCCTGTGGTTCAGGAGCTCATGAGACCACATTCTCAGTTTCTCTGTTCAATGGAGCTTTCATATACACTATTGTGTCTGAGGTTCACCATCATGTGGTGAGATAATCTGGCTAACTGCATTATATCCATTTGCAGATGAGAAAACACACATTCTTCTTTTTACCAATACTTGTTGAGTAGCTAGGTCACAGGCACTATTTTAGCCTTTGGGGATACCATGGTGAGCTAAAACAGCTGTGGTACCTTCCCTTGTGGCTTTCAGTGGTGATGGAAAGAGTATCACAGAAGTGAATGCAAATTTACACTAGTAAGGGACATGCTCTGGGGGGAAGTTGCAAGATGCTATGAGAGCCTGTCATAAAGGGAGGTGATCTCCTTGTGGTGGTAAAATAATGATCCTTGATCTGAAGCCTGAATGTTGAGGTGGAGCAGGCATGGGATTAGGTAAAGAAGAGGAAGGAGGAGGGGCAAGGCAAGCATGTGCAAAGGTCCTGTGGTGACAGAATGTCAAGTTTGAGGGACTATGATTTGAGAGAGTACAGAAGAGGAGTAACAGAAGAAATAGGAGACTCTGGAGAGCCAAAGGTCTTGGACAAGGTCAACCCAGCAAGATAAAAGCATAGGCAGAACCATAACTCAATTTCTGATACGCAATTCGGTTCTAAAATAGGTAAAGAGGTGTTACATTAGTAAGTTCATAATGAAAGATAGAGGGTTGGACTTGGAGGGGGATTGTTGTAGGAGATCCTGGATAGGGTAGGCGAACAATGTGGAACAAAACTCAAAATCATTTAAAAAAAAAAAAAAAAAGGGACCAGATTAGCTGGTCTGATTCCACCCCTGGTGGAACCCCTGACGCTATGGCCCCTACCTGCCCTTCAGGTCTGGAATTGAACCCACTTCTGTGGCTTCCAGCTAAACAAAAGACAGGCATATAAGCTGAACATTTACATTGTTGTTGTTGTTGTTATGTGCTGTCGAGTCAGACCCGACTCATAGCGACCCCTCCTTGGGTTTCCGAGGCAGTATCACTATGGAAGTAGATTGCCCCATCTTCCTTCCGAGGAGTGGCTGGTGAGTTTGAACCACCAGCCTTCTGGTTAGCAGTCAAGTGCCTTAGGCACTATGCTACCAGAACTCCCAAACATTTACATTAGGTAGATACATTCCTTGGAGAGATCAATCATGGAAGAATAGAAGGGCTGTGTGTACACAGGGAATCAGCTTGGAAGTCAGGACTGCATGAGAGGGAAGGACACAGGGAAGAGGTAACTATGGGGAGGAAGTGGGAGGAGAGCTGTTGCATCGTGGGAAATTACAGTCAATGTCATGAGACAAAGTATATGTGAACTGTTGTATGGAAGATGAATTTGCTTTGTAAACTTTCACCCAAATCACAATAAAAATTAAAAAAAAAAAAGACAGAGGGTTGGGTTCCATCATGAAGAGTGGAATTGAACTGAGTTCTGGAGTCTAGGTGGTTTACAAGTGGGAAGAAGGGAAGTGAAGCATGAATATGGTATGTACAGAGAGAAGTATGGGCTTGCTTGGCAGGACAGAGGAGACACATTGGGAGAAGGTAACACTGCACGTTCCAAGAGACTTGAAGGCAGATGCCCTGGGGAGGCAGGCTGTTTCTGAGATAGTACTTTCCCAGGCCTTTGGCTAATGTGCTTTCTCCCTTCCAAAGCTAGAAGATGTGGGAGAAGTCATTGAAAAAATTCGGATTGGCCATGATAACACAGGCATAAACCCTGGGTGGCATTGCTCCCATGTGGACATCCGCAGGCTCCTCCCAGATAAAGATGTGAGTTTTTTTACCTGGTTCACTCAGAGTGCAGGGACTAGCTCAGGCGTATGGCAGAATATTTTAGAATCTGGTTGAAAGGTCAAGGAGGAGGGTCTGGGCAACTATGTCTCTGTTCCCCACTCTCAAGACTCTGTGACCAGTGACTGATCAGGTAGGCCCTTCATACCATAAGGAATTCACAGACAGAAAGCCACCTCACTCAACCTGGAAAAATCGTGAAACTACAGAATTCTAAACCTAGGAAGTAGCTCTCTATCACGGCTCTGGACATAAATGACTTAGGGAGCAATTGAAAAATACAGAACCTCATGCTGAGCAAAATATCAGACTCGAAAGGACAAATAGTATAGAATATCACATATGAAATTGGCGTTCTGGTGGCATAGTGCCTAAGGCATTTGACTGCTAATCAGAAGGCTGGCAGTTCAAACCCACCAGCCACTCTGCAGAAGGAAGACCAGGCAATCTACTTCTGTAAAGATTTACCGCCTTGGAAACCCAAAGTCGGTCACTATGAGTCAGAATTGACTTGATGGCAGTGAGTTTGGCTTTTTGGTTTACATGAAATTAGTAAATATATAGAAACCAAAAGTAGTCTGTGATTACCAGAGATGGGAGGGAGGGGGAAAGGGAGAGCTTTTGCTTAGAGTACATTGAAGGGAGGAGTTCTGGTGACTTTGTGGTTAAAGCATTGGGATGCTAACCAAAAGGTCAGTGGTTTGAATCCACCAGTTGCTCCACAAAAGAACAATAGGGCAGTTTGCTTGTGTAAAGATTTACAGCCTTGGAAAACTTATGGGGCAGTTCTACTCTGTCCTATAGGGTCACAATCAGTTGAAATTGACTCAATGGTTGTGGGTATGTTTTTTTTTATTTTTTGGGCACTGAAGATATGTTAATGATGGTGGGATAATTTGGAAAAAGAATGAAAATAGTTGCAAAATTTGAAGAATGTAATCAATGTCACTGAAGTGTGTACAAAGAAATTGATGAGGTATTGTATGTGTTGTGTGTATATCACAATAATAAAAAATGTATGTGTACAGAACTTTTCCCCAAGCCCCCTGAATAGGAATCTTCCAGATGGGGTTCCGATACCTATTTTCTGAGAACCCCAGCCCTTCAAACCCTACCACTCGATGTGCTTCTGAAAAGTCCTTAAATCAGACTGATCTGCTGGAATTGGGTTAGGGGAGTTCTCCAGTGGCGTTTGCCTTGCCTGACCCTAGTCCCTGGCCCCATACATATTGACATGCCGATGAATGTATGAAGTCAGCAGCTTCCACATGAAGGTCTAACTCTCCTCTCTTCCCCTTGCTTCAGGGTTCAGAGACCTTGACTTTCCCATGCGATCGATGGCTTGCCACCTCTGAGGATGATAAGAAGACCATTCGAGAATTGGTCCCTTATGACATCTTCACCGAGAAATACATGAAGGATGGGTCCCTAAGGCAAATCTACAAGGAAGTAGAGGAACCTCTGGACAGTAAGTTAGCGATTATCATCATCTCATTAGTAGCCCCAGCAGCGTGGCCCCTCCCTGTGAACACCTGCCCTGGGCAGGCTGAGCTTCTCACGCAGTGAGAAGGTTCTGTTATTATCCCTGTTCTGTAGAGAGGCAGCTGAGGCTTCAAGAGGTTAAATGACCTGCCAAAGTTCACACAGCTAGTAAATGGCAGAGCTGTTCTTCACAGTCCGGGCTGTCTCACTCCAAGGTTTATGTTCAGATCTTTCCTGCTCTGCAGGCCAGCCCCAGACATTGTGCTTCTGCCCAAAACTGTGTTATCCTGTGCCTGGATTACCTTGGCCCTTGTGTCCTCCCTATTCTTAGTTTATTGGACTACTAATCTGTGTGGTTGGAGCTCTGGTGGTTCACAGGGTAAGTACACAGCTGCTAACCAAGAGTTTGGTGGTTCAAACCTACCCAGCAGCTCTGCGGGAGCAAAGACCTGGCAACATGCTCCTGTCAAGATTACAGCTTCAAAACGCCTATGAGGCAGTTCTGCTCTCTCACACGGAGTCACTATGAGTTGAAGTCGATTTGATGGCACACAGCACAGCAACAGTAATCTGCATGGTTGTGTCCTCTCTGTTCTTGCTGAAAACAACTGTCCCCACTAAGTCAGAGACAGGAAACATACTAGATTCATACTAGATTCATATGTGATTGGACCTAGTGTGTGTCTGTTCTCAGCTGTCGGGCACGGCTTCAGAGTGTCCAAGGTCATGGGCTTATTGTCTGTGCATGCTGGTTGCCTTTCTTCATCCCTCATCGATGTGGTTTTCACCACAGTTTTTGAATCAACCTGATTACCTATTCTTGTACTTCCTCTTCCTTTGCTTTTGACGACAATTCCGTTTTCTGGTTCTCCTCCTGCCTCTCTGACTAGTCTACTGCGTGCTGTTTTCCTTTCTCGTGCCAGGTAGTATTCCTCATGGTTCTGTGCCTAGCCCTCTCTACTTTCTTTCTGCTTTCTGTGTGTGTGTACACAGGTATGTGTGCATGCACACACATCGTACACACATGCACACGCATCCCTCCTAGACCACACGGACAGAGTCACACCTCTGTTTTGACCAGTGATAGCATTGTCTCTGGTGATCCCTGTGCTACAGCTATTGAGCTTGGAATAAAATATACCTGTTTCAAAAATCAAATTTACTTGCAAAACAGATCTCCTACTCCAGATGAAGGAGCCCTGGTGGCAGAGTGGTGAAAGCATTCAGCTGCTAACTGAAAGGTCAGCAGTTTGAACCCACCAGCCGCTCCACAGGAGAAAGATGAGGCATGATTCCATAAAGACTTATAGACTTGAAAACCCTATGGAGCAATTCTTTTCTGTCCTATAGGGTTGCTATGAGTTGGAATCAATTTGATGGCAATAGGTTTGGTCTTGGTAAGTTCTCCTGATGGTACTCAAGACAATACTACTGTTCTCTCCAAGTGCGGGGACACAACCAGAGTAGCCTCGAGAGTTGGGAAATCCAGCCTAAATTTGTTGTGTTGCCCTCCTGGCAAAACTGGAACAAACCCAAGATTCTAAGACCTGTGTGGAGGCAGGAAGAGTACAGGTTTTTTCTGCCTGCTATTGAGCTAATACACACACACGCACACATTATATTTATGTTGTTGTTGTTATGTGCCGTCGAGTTAGACCTGACTCATAGTGACCCCTCCTTGGGTTTCTGAGGCAGTATCACTATGGAAGTAAATTGCCCAACCTTCCTTCCGAGGAGTAGCTGGTGGGTTTGAAACACCAGCCTTCTGGTTAGCAGTCAAGTGCCTTAGGCACTATGCTACCAGAGCTCCTATTATATATATATATATATATATATATATATATATATATATATATATATAAACACATATATATAAATATTATACTCACACACACACACACACATACACACATATGAAGCTCTGGTGGTGCAGTGCCCAAGGCATTTCACTGCTAACTAGAAGGTTGGTGGTTCAAACCCACCAGCCACTCTGCAGAAGGAAAATGGGGCAATCTACTTCTGTAAAGATTTACAGCCTTAGAAACCCAGTGGGGGTTGCTATGAGTTGGAATCAACTCGATGGCAATGAGTTTTATATATATATCTCACACTCACTGCCATCAAATCAATTCTGACTCACAGTGACCCTGTTGTACAGAGTAAAACTGCCCCATAAGGTTTCCAAGGCTATAATCTTTACCAAAGCAGATGGCCACGTCTTTCTCCCACAGAGCAGCTGGTGAGTTTGAATCATTGATCTTTCAGTTAGCAGCCTAGTCCTTTAATGACTATACCCTCAGGACTTCTCTAGTGAGGTATTAAGAGAGTCAAAAAACAAAAGACAAACATAGTTTTCCTTTTTAAGTCTCTATTAAAAAAAAAATCAATTATTGTTGAGTTGATTCTGACTCACGGTGACCACAGGTGTGACAAGGTAGGACCACATTCTACAGGGTTTACAGTGACTGGTTTTTTTGGAAATAGATTGCAGGCCTTTCTTTCAAGGTGCCTCTGATGGGGTTTGAACCGCCAACCTTTTAACTAGTAGTTGAGCACTTAACGCATTTGCCCCACTAGGGACCCATTTAAACCTCTATACCTATCGCCAATGTTCTTTTAATCTCAGTTGCTACTCACTTAGATATAAAAACAAGTATTGTCTCAATAATATGCCTTCCCCTAGCCATAGCCTCTTCTTTGCTGCTAAATCTGGGGAATAACTTCCTTTTCAACTTGGATCCCAGAGGACACCCTGGAAAGCTGTTCCAGTGGCCCACTTGGGCTGTTCTGTATTAATAACATGGCCACAAAGCCCACTCTGTGCTTGGTGATGTTTCTAGGGAAACGTCTTTGCACTGATGAGCCATGGCCTGGGTGGGATGGGAGGGAGGAGGATCCAGAAATAGCTATATCTGACTGCACAACTGCATTGCTCAGCACCCAGAAGCTGAATCAGTTTTCCTCATTCGCAAAGGACTGCAGAAAGCAGTGAGGATAGAGGGGGGTGGGAAGGCAATTTAAACATAGCCACTGGTGATGCAGCACCCACTCTGGGACAAGGGTTCCAAAGACCTGTTGCGATGGGGGCAGAAAAGGTAATCTGGCAGTCCCACCACACCTGGGGTTACTTCACAGCCAGCCCAGGTCTGCAGTAGGCCTGAATACACAGCTGAGATGCATGGGGAGGATGAACGTGAGGTCAGGAAAAGAGAGTCAGCTGTTGGGTCTGAACTGTGACCAGATTCCCAATATTAGCTCATGTCAGTATTAGCCAGAGGGGGTAGGGCAATGTTAAACCTTTTAAACAATGGAAAAAGATTTTGTTTATTGATTCAGCTTGTGAAATACACTGACTGGGTTTTGTAGTGAGCTGAGTGGGAGGTGTGACCACTTCCTGGTTTCTGCTCTTGAAGGGGACAGGCCCATGACAATCTGTGACAATTAGTTCTCACAGTGCTCCAGGGAAGTTTGGAGAGCAGGGTGGGGCTACAGATACAGGAGAGATGGGTAGGGAGAAGATGTGGAAAAAGGGGAGGTGGAAGTAGGGTTCAGGTGGGGCTGTGTGAGTTTGCTATCTCAAGGTCTAGTTGAGGTGGAGATGGCCTAGGTCGTAGGAGTAGGGACTTGAAGCATGGGAGAGAAATGGGCTGGAGACATAGACTTGGGAAACTGGCTTCTAGTTGGTCAAAGAATCAACAGTGAGGGGGGTATAGGACAAGAGTAGGAGGGTGTGGAAAGAACCTACGAGGCACTCACATCCAAGAGTAGGCAGAACATTGCTGTTAGTGGCTGTCGAGATGACTCTGACTCATGGTGAACCCACACACGACAGAATGAAAAGTTGCCTGGTCCTGTGCTATCTTCATGATTGTTTGAGTCCAGGCAGACAATATCCTGTTTCCATTGACTAATTTTCCAAAGTAGATTGCCAAGTTTTTCTTCCTAGTCTATCTTGTTTGGAAGCTCTACTGAAAGCTATCCACCATGGGTATTTGAAATCTTGGTGGCCTAGCTTCCATGTTAATACAGCAGGTAAGCCACCACAGTATGACACATTGACAGATGGATAGAAGATTAGGAACCCTTAAAGCTATTCAAGTAGGAGCATCAAGAGAGGCAGAGAAGAACATGAGAGAAAAAGCTGTGAATCCAAGGGAAAATATAAGAAAGCATAGTGGCCACTTTGTGAGCATGAAGATGTTCCATAACCATGGGTTTGAGGATCACACATTACCTTATTTATCTAGATTTGATAAAGTCTTGGTCTGAGCCCACCTGCAAAAACTGGGAGGAAAGTTGCTGCAGGGAGAGGATATCCTTTTTAGTGCAGTGGTTTGAAATGAGAAGTCAGCAGTTCAAACCCACCAGCTGCTCTGTAGGAGAAAGATGTGGCAGTCTGCTCTCTTAACAATTACAGCCTTACACCCTATGGGGCAGTTCTGCTCTGTCCCGTGGGGTCACTAGGAGTCAGAATTGACTCAACAGCTATAGGTTTTGGGTTTTGGGGTATAAGAATTCTGGGGATCACAGCCTTAGTCCAGGAGGGTGTCACCTATGCCTGTGCCCTTTCTGTCCATGGTCTGCTGTAGCTGCTGATTCTTACCAACACTCAGATGTCATTTCCATGGGTGGCCAGAAGCTGTTCTCCACAATCCCTGTCTTAGTCAAGAGTCCCCTTTACTGCCTCTCAAGGCTCCTTGCAGCAAGCCCCCAAATCAGCCTGGCCACCACCTCCCTATTAGGTCTAAGTGTGCAGGTGAGAGGTCCCTGCCACCCATGCGAACTGGAAATTCCAAAACCCTCACCTTCTCCCTGCCTGGGGGAAACTGACTCTCCTCCTGGGTTGGCTACTTCCACCCTTCACCTCGAAGCTTCAGTTTCCATTCCTTCTCCTTAGGGATAAACCAGCTGAGTCCCTCTTTCTTGGCCTGAGACTTGAAAACTCTTTAGATTGAGGAATATGGAGAGGGGGCAGATAGTACTGGGACGTTGCTGCTGTTGTTAGCTGCCAAGGAGCCAACCCCTGATTCTTGGCGACCTCACGCACAATGGGTCGAAATGCTTCCCGGTCCTGTGTCACGGATCAGTTTGCAGGCCAGACTGTAGTGCTCCATAGGGTTTTCCTCTGCTGATCTTCAGAAGTAGATCCTGACCTGCTCCTCCATTGGGGGTGGAGGTGGGGGAAGGAAAACTTTATTCTTCTCAGATGAGTGCATAGCAGCAAAAACAAAAGCTGCAGGAACAAGGCATTTGTTTATTTTCAATCTTTGTTTTAAAACATGATTTTTAATTATTAATGTTTTCTGAGCCCTTTGCATGTGCTGACATGGAGAGGAAGGAGCAGTGGGGGCATTGTAGCTTTGATGACAGGAGTTTCCCTGGGGCAATGAGGCAGATGCTGGAGGACAGTGTGTTGAAGAATAAATGAAAAAGGAATGGACCTGGAGGGAAAAGCACTCTTTCAAATGCATTTGACTTTTTTCATAGACTGTTTAGAAGGATGTGCCATTGATCCTCATCACCGTCGATGGGAAGGCATATTGTTGTTGGTGTGTCATGGTAGATATTTTAGTGGCCATAGTGTGGACACCTTGCTGGGAGTTTTCTGAACCTTCTCCCTGTGTTCACTGACTTGAGAGACACTCAAAAAAGGCTCCCTCATTTGGGTCTGTTAGAGTCAACCTGGGTTCAGACCAGATGGTAGAACATTCCACTGGTGAATCCACATGGGCTTGCAAATAACTGAGAAAATTAAAGGAAGGCATTGATTCCTTGAGGTCGGTCTGAACCAGGAATTTAATCTCTCCTACAAATCCAGTTCCCTTAATCTCCTAAAGTGACTTTAGTCTTTTCTTTCTTTTGTCTGTCCTTCTGTCCAACTACCTGCCCAGTTGTACTCTACTCGGTGCAGATCTTCACAGGAAATGTTCCTGGGGCAGGAACAGATGCCAAAGTCTACATCACCATCTACGGAGACCTGGGAGACACAGGAGAGCGATACCTTGGCAAGTCAGAGAACCGTACCAACAAGTTTGAAAAAGGAACGGTATGAACAGACTCAATGAGCTTTCCCCTCTTTCCACCTCCTCTCTAGATCCAGATACCTGAAACCAGCTCTTCTTGGCCCCTGGAGCTGTCTGGGAACTTTGCTATGTGTCCTAAATACTCACTTGGGCTTTTTCCCTTGCCCTCCCTTATGTGAGAGTGACTTATCCAGCCTCCTGTCTTAGTTTACTCATACCTACCAGCCCTGAATCCTCCACATTGGGGTGAGAGTGGAGCAGAAGGTAGGGCTTGGGCAAGCAGGAGGCCTGGGTGTGTGAAGCTGTTGGCTGTATAGGAACAGGTCATCTCCAGACAACCCAGAGTGTTGGGGGTGTTTCCTGTGCACAGAGGTGAGCAATGAGGAATGGCAAGGGTTGGACCAACAGAAGCTTGAACTGCGGGACTGGAAGGCTGGTTCTGCTGTCAACATCTCATCTGATTGAACTTCTCTGACCTCAGTTTCTTCATCTGTAAAATGAGGGATCAACATGTTATGCAAAGCCCTGGGTGGCACAGAGGTCCTGGGGAGCCACTGGAGATGGAGAGCACCCGCTCCTCCCACGTGGGTCCACTTTGACCTGGTCTGTCTGTTAAGGTCTAAGCAAAGCGTTCTGGGGCTGGAAAATAGCTTGACAATCACCAGCTGGCTGGTGCCTAAGACTGCACCCAGCTTTGATGAACTGTGACTTTACAGAAGGGGAGAAATCTGACACAGAGGGGTCTCTGGGGTGGGTGTCACCATACTTCTCTCCCTCTGATTCCCTCTCAGCCTCAGCTCCTCTCTTTCATGCCCTTCCTACCTTATCACCTTCACTTGCTCCTCAGCCTCTTTTTCCTTCTCTCCATTCCCCAAATCTGCTTGCAATCCCTATAGGCCAGGCTGTATCCATAGAATGATTAGATTAAGGTGACAGGCTCCTACTCCAATCTGTGCCCTTGCCTATAGGGATGCAGGTGTGAATTTCATGCACAGACCAATAGACATTTATTAAATGTCTCCTGAAGCCTGTCACTCAGCTCAGCACATTCCTTAGTGCTCAGCCACTGCTATTTGGTGAGCTAGAAGTAAGCCTTGGGACAGGAAAAGTGGGTATCACCTAAGTGGGTGTATAGCTGGCTAGTAGCCTCAGGAATGAGGCATGGGGGAAGGAGCCCCCGTCTGGCAGCAAGGTGCCCAGGAGTCAGCCAGCCTCTCATCCTCATTGGCTCCATCCAGATACAAAACAGTTGCCTCTCAGCTTCAGAATACTTGCCTCTGAAGTAGGAATAATAATGTGATTGCTAACTAGTCCCCTGGACTTAAAAATGGGGCAAGAGATGTGACAGCACTTTGTAACAGGGAGAAATCATTTTGTACACACACACACACACACACACATGAGATATCATTGTTCATCATCTTTGTAAGATAGCTGGTACAAGGCTAAATCCTCCTCTTTCTAGTTGGAAAAATGGAATGCCAGGGAGGTCAAGTGACTCACCCCAAGTCCCTGACTCTATATGAGGCAGATGCTCACCAGGCCCACTCACATGTACCCTGTGCCCTGGGGCAGGACCATGTTGGGTCAGGCCCCCAGACCAGAGCCAGACCACCTGGCTTTAGATCCTGGTTCTGACACTTAATAGCTGTGTGATCTTGTGACTTAACATCTCTGTGCCTCACGTTCTTCCACCATAAAATAGAGTTAATTGTGGTTAGTGTGAAAGTTAAATGAATTAGAACATATGAAGTTCCTAGAAGCAGGCCTGGCGCACAGTTAGGTCTTCATCCGTGCTGGGAGGGCTCACCTTTCCCCTGCCTTCTAGCAGCAACACAGAGCATATAGTCAAGAGATCTGCCTGGCACAGAGTGGGTACTCAATAAACATTTATTGAATGGATGCATTAATTAAAATATTAATGAAGGCAGACTGTAATAAAATGGAGCCACTCTGGAAGTGAGAACCTTGGAATCCAAATGTTCTGTTAGAGATTGGAGCTCCTCAGCTAGGAAGATCTGTTCAGCCCAACACCTGAAGGGTTGGAAGGTACTGGATGGATGGGGTTGGAGTGGGCTGGGTGGGGAGCTGGTGCTCACCCAGTACCCACATCTGGACTCCGCAGGCTGACACCTTCATTATTGAGGCCGCTGACCTGGGCGTCATCTACAAGATCAAACTCCGCCATGACAACACTAAGTGGTGTGCAGACTGGTACGTGGAGAAGGTGGAGATATGGAATGACACCAATGAGGACGAGTTCCTGTTCCTGTGCGGACGCTGGCTGTCCATGAAGAAGGAAGATGGACGTCTTGAGAGGCTCTTTTATGAGAAGGTGCTACAAGGGACAGTCCAGGGGGTCTTGGCCCAGCATGGCCTGTTGCATCCTTATACTTGGTGTGTGTGGGGGGGTTCTCTGGGGCAGAAGTTACCAGAGCTATACTGAGTCTGAATCATGCTTTTCTGGACAGGAGTACACTGGGGACCGAAGCAGCAACTGCAGCAGCCCTGCAGACTTCTGGGAGATCACCCTGAGCTCCAAGATGGCTGACATTGACATCGACACAGTGACTGGGCCCATGGCTGACTACGTTCAGGAGGGCCCAGGTAGGCTAACCAAGAGCTCTTTGGAAGAGGAGCAGGCACAAGAAAATGTTTTTCAATTACTCTTGAATGGGCCATTCTTCAGCTCCATCATCATCTGACTTGCATCTAACCCTTTATAATTAACACACAGTTTTCAGGTACTGCCTGTTTTCATCCCCACAACATCCCTATAAGACGAGAGGATAGGGGTTATCTCTCTTTCACAGATAGAGAATGGAGGCAGTGGTGGGTCAGTGGTAGAAATCCCACCTTCTGTATAGGAGACCTAGGTTTGACTGCACACCAATGCATCTCATGTGCAGTCACCACCAATCTGTCAGCAAAGGTTTGGGTGTTGCTAAGATGCTGAACAAGGAGCTCTGGTGGTGTAGTGGATAAGGCATCTGGCTGCTAACCAGAAGGTCAGTGGTTCAAACCCACCAGCTGCTCTGCAGAAGGAAGAGGGGTGATCTAGGAAGACTCAGGCTCAGTACAGCTCTACTTCCATACAGATTTACAGCCTTGGGACCCCAACAGGGATTGCTATGAGTCAGAATCAACTCGATGGTAGTGAGAAATGATGCTCAACAGGCTTCAGTGGAGTATCCAGACTAAGACAGACTAGAAAGAAAGGGCTGGCAACCTACTTCTGGAAATCAGCCAATGAAAACCCTATGGATCACAACAGTTCACTCCACCACTGATCATGGGGATGGCACAGGCCCAGCAGCATTTCGTTTCATTGCACACGGAGTCACCATGAGTCTGGGGCCCACTTGACAGCAGCTGACAACAACAGATAGAAAAACAAAGGCTAAAAGAAGTTAGGGTGCTGATGTCCTTAAAAGGAGCTCTGTGGTGCAATGGTTAAGTGTTCATCTGCTAACTGAAAGGTCAGTGGTTTGAACCTACCAGTGGCACTGCAGGAGAAAAGACCTGGCAATCTGCTCCTGTAAAGCTTATAGCCTAGGAAATCCTATGGGAGCAGTTCTACTCTGCCCTTTAGAATTGCTCTGAGTTTCAATTGACTCAATGGCACACAACAACATGTCCTCAATCCACTGATCCACCCTCAAGAGGGTGTTGCCTTTATCCTTATCCAGACTCCTGGGATTATGGATCCTGCCCAGAGGGTCTACGATAGCTCTCACAAGTCATAAATCAACAGCAACAATGAGAATCCCTTACCTGTCAGTAATGGGTCACACAAAGCATTCTCATCCACACTAATTAAGGCCTGACTTGGTGTGTGTCAGGGGGAGACATCCTGGGCTGGTTGTTTTAGGACTTGAGCTCTATTTTGGGGGTCTGAAAATAAAACATGTGGCCTTGGACAAGTCACTTAACCTCTTGTGGCTTCAGTTTTTCCACCTCCATAAAACAATATTGTAATCCCCTACAAGTTCATTTTGCCAACTAGGTTTTGAGATAAAACCCCAAAACCAAACCCAACCCACTGGCATCAGGTTGATTCCAACTCATAGTGACCCTGTAAGACAGAGTAGAACTGCCTCATAGGGTTTCCAAGGCTGTGAATCTTTACAGAAGCAGACTACCTCATCTTTCTCCCACAGAGCCGCTGGTGGGCTTGAACCACCAACTTTTTGGTTAGCAGCCCAATGCTGTAACCACAATGATAAGGCAGGTTTATATTTGTCTATTGCATATGTGAGTGAAGAGCCTCTCTGTTCAGTTCTATTAAACATAAAAGCATGACAAACAGTGTATCTTCCTCCAGGAGACCATGTGGTGGGTCTATGAGCCAGGGCAGAGAGAGCCAATCTGTTTACACTTTGCCTTCTCATTATGTGTGTAAATGACAGGTCTCACAAGAAAGTGTCTCACCTTAATTAAGCACTATGATCACTGTGGAATTTCTAGTGGGGTTGTGCTTGTAAAGATGAGATAGGCCATGGTCAGGTGCAGAAGATGCCACAGGTATTTGCAGCCAGGAAGGACAGGCATGAAAACTTTTCAAAGAGATACAAGTTGTGTGACATAAGGCCAAAGTCTCCCAAACTATTGAAGAAGATTGACCAGAAACATTTTCAAGTCGTATCAATAAGTAACTGCTAGTAACAAAGACCTAGAGATAATGACTTAAACAAATGAAGGCTTTTCTTTTTTTCTCTTATATAAAAGTAGTTCAAAAGTAGGTAATCTGGGGGTAGGCAAACAGGTATATACCCAAGACCAAGATAGATTTGGCTGGAGATAACCTTACATATGCACTTGTGCTACAAAATTATCCAGATACATTACAGAAGCAACAGAGGACAGGGTCGGAGTAGCTTCTCAATGACAACCAAACACCTTGAGAAAGCGAATCACCGGGCCTGAGGGCTTGGGACCATAGTCTTGGGGGACACCATACTCAATTGGCACAACATAGTACATAAAAATCTTGTTCTACATCCTACTAAAGAAAATTTTAGGAGCTCTGGTAGCTTAGTTCCTAAGGCACTTGACTGCTAACCAGAGGGCTGGCGGTTTAAACCCACCAGCCACTCCTCGGAAGGAAGGTTGGGCAATCCTACTTCCGTAGTGATACTGCCTTGGAAACCCAAGGAGGGGTCGCTATGAGTCGGGGCCGACTCGAAGGCAAATAACAACAACAACAACAAAGAAAATTTTAAAAGAAAAATAAATAAGCAGGTAGTCTGGAACTGGTACAGCAGTTTCAGTGGGAAGTCAGGGATCTACATTCCTTCAACCTGTTCATTCAGCAAACTTACAAGCAGCTTCCATCCTAAAGGTTGCCTGTGGCTCCAGAATGGCTGCAGGAGCTCCAACCATCACATCCACATTCCAAAAAGAATGAAAGGGAGGGTAAAGTTCAAAAAGATGCTCTTTCCCGTTGAGTCAGTGCCTTCAAAACAGATTTTCCCAGAAGCCCACCCAACTACATCTGCTTACATATCATTGTCTCTCCTACCTGAAGGAAGAATGGCTATTGGGCAACTAGAAGTCCATGTGACACTCCCTGAATAGATTTTTATGTTGATAAATCTGGTTAGTTTTGGAAATGGATGCCTTAAAGAACTTTCAGTTACCATGTTACATATAAGTGGTTGTCGGGTGCTATTGAGTCCATTTGGACTCATAGCAACCCATAAGACAGAGCAGAACTGCCCCAGGGGGTTTTCTAGGCATTCCACAGGAGCAGATCACCAGATGTTTCTCCTGCAGAGCCGCTGGGTTAGTTCAACCGCCAGCCTTCCAGTTGGCAGCTGAGCCACCATTGCATCACCAAGGCTCCTAGGTCACATGTTTGCTTTTTCGCCCAACTCCTACTTTTAACGAGAACTTTTAAAGCTGAGCATGGTAAGCTTTCCAGGTGTGTAACCCCTATACTTGGCAAGGGGCTATTGTTCTTACCTACTTCACATGGGAGTACTTGGCTCGCCTGAAATAATTGGTCAAGAGGGCTTTAGTAGCTTGACAATCCAAACAAGTAGTATGGATGCTCTCTTTGCATCTTCTTGTGAGTTTGCAGCTCTCTCATCCCGAGGAGAGGAGGCTCTCACACGGATAACTCACCGGTCTGAACAGCTCCATGTATTTTATCTGGGAGACAAGGAGTTGAAATAAGTACTTCCTAGAGGTCATGTCCAAGTGCCCCTTGTCCGCCTGGCCCATTGTGAGACTGAGCCCCTCTGATCTCTTGCAGTTGTTCCCTACTATGTGTCAGTCACCACTGGGAAGCACAAGGATGCAGCCACTGACAGCCGGGCCTTCGTCGTCCTCATTGGGGAGGACGATGAACGTAGTAACCGCATCTGGTTGGACTACCCTCGAGGGAAGAAGGGCTTCAGCTGCGACTCTGTGGAGGAGTTCTATGTGGCAGGCTTGGATGTGGGCGTCATCAAGAAAATAGAGGTGCTTTCCATTGGGGGCCCATGATGGGAAGGAAGAATGACCACAGCAGGCTGGAGCTGACCATTACATGAGTGGGTGGAGGCCCCACAGCCAGTGTGAGGCCCAATCTCAGAGAAAGTGGAGAGAAGTCCCCTGGCCTCTGTCATCAACTTGGTTGCTATATGACCTTGGATGAGTCAGTGGCCTTCTGGGTCCCCATTTTCCAGCTCCCCAATGTAGATGTTCTGTCTATGCATTTTCTCTTGCTGTGTAACAAATTACTACAAACTTAGTAGCTGAAAACAACACACATTTATTATCTCACAGTTTCTGTGAGTGAGGAATCCAGACACAGGGTAGCTTGGGTCCTCTTCTCGGGATCCTACTGCACTAAAATCCAGATGTTGGCTGGAGCTGTAATTGCATCTGAAGCTCAGGTCCTTTTCCAGGTTCACTGATGGTTGGTAGAATCCAGTTCCTTGGAGTTATAAGACTGACTCCAGCCCATGCAGCCCACTTCCCAACAAGGCCAATAAGTGAGGATTTTTTCTGCTTCAAATGTGTCTGGCTTCTGTGCCTCTGACTTCTAGTCTCTCTTTTAGAGGATTCACATGATTCAGTCAGGCCCACCTAGAATAATATCTCTTTTGATTTACTTAAAGCCAACTGATTAGGACCCTTAATTACATCTGCAGAGTCTCTTCACCTTTGCCATGTTACATAACCTAATTACAGAAGTGAAGTCCTGTTCATACTCAAGTGGAGAGGATTATACAGGCTGTGCACACCTGGAGCTGAAATCCTGGGGTCTTCTTAGAATGTTGCCTACCTGCATGTGTGGGACTGTGGGAGTAGGTTTCTCATAGTCTCTTCCTGGTCTCTTCCACACCTTGCCATTCTCACTACAGCGATTTTGTTCTTACTGATGCTCCTGTCTGGAATGCCTTGCTGTATCCACCATCTCCATCTGGAAAACTTCTCAGCCTTTATGTCTCGGTGCAGCAGTCCATTTGCCCCTGAAGCTTCCTCTGTCCTAGGGCTGGCTAGGTGCCCCTCTGAGTTACTCCCAAACCTGATATGATAGTGTAACCATTGAAATGTGTCTCTTCTCATGAGGTTGTGAGCTCCCTGCAGGAAGGACTGGCCTTGCTATTGGTTAGTGCCCCTGCCCTTAGCCTGGTACCCAGGGCTTGCTGAATGAGTGACAGGCATTGAGTGCCACTGTGTGCACTCCCTATACTTGGAGAAAACGAAGAAGCAAGAACATACTCTCTGCCCTGAAGGAGCCCAGTGGCGATGGGGGAGACAGACGTGTCTGTAACCACATGTTACATCACCCAGGTGGTCCCAGGTCTGACAACCCTCAAGCCTTGGCTTGAGCCACAGGGGGCTGTTCTTTGCCTGATGATTCTGGTCTTCCATTTACCCTTACCCCGAGATTACTCTGCAGCAGAAAGAAGTGATTGGAAGGTGGGGGTGAAGAGGATAGGCAGTCAGTAGGAGGGACTGTCAGCTCTCTGCCCAGCACATTTTAGGGGAGCCTAGGAGGGTGTCCTGACCCCATGGAGCCTCATCCTCAGGGACTGTGAGGGCTGAGATTTCACAGTACAGAATTCATTCCTTTGTGCTAAATAGTATGCTCTCTGCAACCTCTTTGAAAGGTAACTGTAAATGTGGGATGGAATGAGGAGAAGGGCAAGAGTAACACTGAATTAATGAATGCTTCCCAGCACTGACACTGCCTATGGCCCATCAATCTATGCTTATCCCAGATGAACAGAACCTAAGCCTACAAGTGGAGGGCACAATGGAAGGGCCATTGAGTGGGGCCAGAAAGGGGAGGGGGACACTGAACAGGGAAGCTTCTTGGCACTTGTGCTCAGATTCTCATGGACCTAATGTGTTGTCTCCCAGCTGGGCCATGACGGGGCCTCCCCTGAGAGCTGTTGGCTAGTGGAGGAGCTGTGCCTATCTGTGCCCACCCAGGGCATCAAGTACACACTGTGCTGCAACTACTGGCTCGCCAAGGACCGAGGTGATGGCGTCACTTCCCGTGTCTTCGACCTCCTGGATGCCACAGTAGTCAACATTGGGGTGAAGGTATGAGGGTACTAGATGTAGGCACAGTATGGCAGGGGTGGTACAGATTGAGATGGGGACAGCAATGCAGATGTGTGAGAGGAGCAGCAGACTGGGTACGGGGGCATTGGCAGAGGGTTGCAGCTTGGTGTAGTAGCTAGACTCACTTGCTAGGAATCAGGAGACTGAAACTTCTAGTCAGCTGCTGTGTGACCTTGGACAAGTCATCTGACCTCTCTGGGCCTTCCTCTTCTCATACACAGCATGGCAATCATGCTTCCCACCCTGGTCCTTGTAAGATTTTTGTGAGAACTAATAAAATCATGGGTGGTTCATGAAGAGCTCTGCAAGGTCACAGTGCTACCCAGACATCCAGGATTGTTCTTCTCCAAAGGATATTGCATTAACACCACAGCATGGTGATGGGAATGATGGCATTTGGGACGCTGTTAGCCTCTGGATCTCACAGTGCATCAAGAAGCTCTCCTTACAATATTCTCCTTAACTTTCATGACCTCAAGACCAAAAGAACTAGTTGGTGCCCAGCTACGAATGCCAATCACTCAGAAAGGGATCAAAACTGGAGATCCTAGAAAGAGTGGGAGGGAAAATGTGGCACAAAATTAAAAAACACAAACATGACAAGAATTACTGATTGGATAGAGACTTTGGCTTCGGGTTACCCTTTGGGAGTAGAAATGGACTCACTTCCATAGACTGGCTCTCAGCCCAACAGTAGAAAGACCTACATGCAATACACCTACCCCAGGGCGATGCACCCACCTACTCTAGGAAGATGCACCCTTAGATCAATCAGCCATGAGACACCAGAGGGGCAGCATTCATATAGAGGGAAAGCTGGACAGACAGGAATGAATAGTTAAGAAGGGCACAGGGAGCGGGTAGTCATAGGGAGGGGATGGGAGGAGAGTATATTTATGGCCATGAAATCAAATGTGTGTGAACTGTTGAATGTAAAAGAAATTTGCTTTGTAAATTTGCACCCAAAGTGCAATTTTAAAAAAAGAAAAAAGACTGGAAAAGTTTGGGAGGCAAGAGTCCTGAGCTCTTGTCCTGGCTCCACCTGTAACTGGCCAAATGGCCTGGAACAAGTTGTGTCAACTCAAAAGTTGGGCCTGGGTGGGAGGCAGGCTCCTGGGCTCAGAAACCCAAGGACACATGACCAGTTGGTAGTACAGAGGCCTCTAGCTGACCTGGACCCTGGCCTTTTTTCACTATGACAGCTGGGGGTCAACAGACCCTGGCCTTCATCTGTCTTCCTGAATCTAAACCACCGGCTGGTGGGTTCATGTCAGAAACGCCCCGTAAAGGCAGGAGGACATCACCCTGGGCCTGGGCCTGGGCCTGGGTGCACCCTGCTTCTATTTTAGGTGGACACACAGGAGGGGCTGAGTTGTGAAGTTCTAAGAGCCTTGGTTCTGGGAAGCAGGAGCGAGGGTCCCCGCCTCTCCCTCTGGAGAGCAGAGCTGTCTACTGCACAGACAACCCCCTTCCCAGACATCTCCATGTGGGCCAGACGGTGCTGTGGGTGAGCTCCCAATTTATCCAGGCACCTCCCACCCTGACCCAGTTCCCAGTGCTCATGTGGACATGTGTGCGTGTCTGTCTGTGTATGCATCTGCCTGTGTGATGTCTGGGTGCTTTTGTATGTACCTGTGTGCACCTGTGTATGCTTGTATGTACCTGTGTGTGTGCCAGTGCATGTCGATGTCTGCCTGTGTACACCTGCATGTGTCTGTGTGTGCCTCTCTGTATGCCTGTGTGTTTTCTATGTGTGTCTGTTTGTGTGTGCTGTTGTGTCAATGTGTGTGTCTGTGTGTGCCTGTGTTTGTGTGTCTGACTGTGGATGTCTGCCTTTGTGTGTCAATATGCATGTTTGTGTGTGCCTATGAATATGTCTGTGTGTGCCTGTGGGCCCTCCATACACATACCCACACACATACCCCTCGCACTGTAGCTTCATCCCCCTCTGACCTCTGTGGGTTATGACAATCCAGATCTACACCCCTGTTATTCACTTGACAGAGGAGCTCACCACGGGGTGCTGTGGCCTGGCCCTCTCCCCAGTGCATCTGATGTCAGATTGGAATCACAAAAGCCCTGCTTCTGTGCCTCTTTTTAGAAACACACCTATTATATAAAGAGAGATGTACCTGTGTAAAGAAAAGAAAGATGGATGTGGAGAACACAGGAGTCTGAGAGGACCAGCCCGGAGGCCTGGGGCCCATCTGCATGGAGCCTTGAAACACTCATTTTGATCATTCTATTTTTTCATGCTTGTCCGGATAAGAGCAGAAAAGGGTCTACTTTTGTTCCCAGTCCTCCTCCTGCTGACCTCGCATACCTTTGTTACACCAAAGGGGATTTTCCTGATAAAGCAGAAACTCTTCATCCATGCCCTCTGCAAACTAAACTTCTCCCATGGGCCAGGCCTGCAAACAATACTTCTCACCACGGCAAAGTTCAAGATGCTGTAGAAAAGCACCCAAGACCACAGGCACAAGTTAGGGGTGTCGTTGCTGAGTTCAAAGGCTTCTGGGTAGTGGGGACCCGGACACCTGCACAGGTAATAAAGCAACCTCATGACTGCAGGGGAAGAGATGGGCCAGGTGTGTTAAAGGAGACAGTCGGCCTGGAATTTCCTCTGCACGTGTCCTAGCCTCTCTGATCTATTGAGTTCCAACTGCTGGTCCTCAGGCACCTGGTGAGTAAGAATCAGACCAGAGAATGCTGCTGAGGCCCAGTGAGGGTCATGCCTCTTAGAGGAAGGCCCCAGGTGGGGACTCCATGAGGGCTCCCTCTGTGGAGGAGCAGCCCACTCCCTCACCCTCTGGTGGAGACAGAGGGAATGAATCTTCTTTGGAGGCAAAGGGCAAAACCCAACCTAAAGTAAAAATGACGTAAAATAGGCGACTGTTCCACTTTGCAAATGAATTGAGACGGTCCTCCCTTAAACTTCACCAATGACGGCATTCCGCTTACAGATGCTCAGGAGCTACTGACTGTGGAGTGGAGGAGGGCTGGACATCAAGAACCTAGGAGACCTGGTTGGCACAAATGGTCAAGTGCTTGACTACCAGCTGCAATGGTTGGTTGTTCAAACCCACTGAGAGGAGCCTCAGAAGACAGACCTGGTGATCTGCAACTGAAAAGTCAGAGCCCTGAAAACGCTGTGGATCACAGTTTACTCTCCACACGGGGGGTTCCCATGAGTCAGAATCCACTTGATAAAAGCTCACAACGCCAACACCAACCAGAGCTTAACCAGAATTGCTGCTATTTCTGGAAGCTGTGCCCTGTGGCAGGCCAGCACTGAGCACTGGCATGACACGTCTGTAGCTCTCATAAACCCTGGGAAATAGATTTGTCCCTGTTTTACGTGGAGGAAACAGGCTGGAGAGGAGAAGCAGTTGCCCCAGGGTAGACAGACAGCAGGTGTCAGATCAGGGAGTCAAACCGGATCCTGGATGGCTCCCGAGGTCACTGCCCACCCTGCTAGAGTGGATGGGCTTACATTGGTGCCATGGATTGAACTGTGTCCTCCAAAAAGCCATACTGAAGTCCTAACCCCAGTACCTCTGAATGTGAGCCTACTGGAAAATAAGGTTTTCTTTTCAGGTGTTGTCAGTTAAGTTACAAGGTCATACTGGACTGGGGGGCAGGGGTCCTGACCCCATTTGAGTGGTGTCTTATGAAAGGGGAGAACAGACACAGAAAATGGTGACACAGGATGAAGACAGATGCCACATGAAGATGCATCTGAAAAATGAAGAACCCTGAGAAACGTCTGGAGCTACGAGAAGCTGGGGAAGACAGGGAAGACTCTTCCCCTCTACAGCAAACAGAAGGAGCATGGTCCCACCTATACACTGAATTCAGACGTGGACCCTTTACAATTATGAGACAATAACTTCTCTTCCTTAAAGCCACCCATTTTGTGGGCTCTAGGTAACTAGGACAGGATTCAACTGACAAAGAAATTGGTTGATATTTTGTCTTTCAGAAGCTGAGCTCCAATCCATCCCTGAACCAGGCACAGCAGGGGACATGACTCTTGCTGTTTAGATATTTACAGTTGGTTGGAGTGGGGGCTAGGGCTTTTTTCAGAGCCCCAAAGCTTGGAGAGTGTGTTGCCTTCCTTCCCTGGTGAGAATGAGGCCAGTCACACAGGGTCGGCAGACGAGGCCAGAGCTCAGACTCATGTCCCCTGCTTCATGACAGGTGCTCTACGAGATGACGGTGTGGACTGGTGATGTGGTTGGTGGTGGCACTGACTCCAACATCTTTATGACCCTCTATGGCATCAATGGTAGCACAGAGGAGGTGCAGCTGGACAAAAAGAAGGCCAGGTATCACAAGTGGCTCTGCCACATCCAACTCCCCACCCTCTGGCTTGTCCTGCCTTCAACTAGACTGGTTCTCTCATACTCCCCTCATACTGTGGTGCCCTCTAGCCTCCACACCATATGATTCCTTCCTCCAGGAATGCCCTTCATTCACTTTCTTCTGTCTCAAGACCTCTTTCTCTTTCAAGGGCCAACTCAAATCTACCTCCTCAAGGAAGCCTTCCTTGATCTCTCAGCCCATGGCAATCTTTTCCTTGTTTCCTCCCTCCCTCCCCTTGTCCTTTCATTTCTCCTTCCCTTCGTCCATTTCTTCCTTCCTTGTTTCCTTCCTTCCTTCCTTCTTCCTTCCTCCCTTCAATCACTCAAAAGTATCTAGTGCAATATCTATAGATTCAAAACCAAACTCACTGCAGTCGAGTCGATTTCGACTCATAGCAACCCCTCCTTGGCTTTCCGAGGTGTTATCTCTGTGGAAGTAGATTGCCCAATCTTCCTTCCGAGAAGTGGCTGGTGGGTTTGAACCACCAGCCTTCTGGTTAGCAGTCAAGTGCCTTGGGCACTACACCACCAGAGCTCCCACTAATCTACTAATCTTTAGATTAGTTGATAGTATTGTATCATTGTTAATTTTCTGGTTTCAATAATTATACAATGGTAATGTAAGAAGTTACAATTTGGAAAACTAGGTGAAGCTTACACAGAAACACTTTTATTTTTGCAAATTCTCTATAAATCTAAAATTACTTCAAAATTAAAAGCTAAAAAAATTTTAAATAATAAAAATTATTAACTAGTACATGTCAAATACTGTCTCAGGCACCTGAGAGATGGTACGACAAGGAAGAGACGGTCCCTGTTGTCATGGAGCTTAACAACTAAGGAGAACAGCAGTGGCAACACTAACATTTCTGTGGGGTTATTTTGTGCCAGGCATTGTTTGAAGCCTTTGACATGTATTTACACATCTAGTCCTCCGACAACACTATGAGCACTATTATTATCATCCCCATTTTACAAGTGAGAAAACTGAGGCACAGCAAGGTGAAGTCATGCTGCCGAAGGTCACAAAGGCAATAGCAGGGCACTGGGAACTGCACCCAGGTTGTCCTTAGTCTTAAGCCATAAGTTCTACTACCTATTAGCTTTCTCTCTCACTGCTGTCGAGTTGGATCTGACTCACAGGGACCCCTCCTTGGGTTTCCGAGGCAGTATCTCTCTGGAAGTAGATTGCCCAATCTTCCTCTGAGGAATAGCTGGTGGGTTTGAACCTCCAGCCTTCTGGTTAGTAGTCAAATGCCTTAGGCACTACGCCAGCAGAGCTCCCACTACTTATTAACATAGTCATTAATAATGATAATGAGGGAAACGCTCCTATAGTACTTACTGTCTGTGCCTCTCATTAAATCCCCAGCTTAGACTGTCCTGGACTTTGGCTGGTTTTCTGTGTTCCATCATTGTCCTTCAAATCTTCCCTAGGCCCTAATCTCTTTTTTTAATTATTAATAATTTATCTTACTTGTATTGTTGAAAACATATGCAGCTAAATATACACCAATTCAACAATTTCTACATGTACGATTCAGTGATATTAATTACATTCTTTTAGCTATGCAACTATTCCCCACCCCTTTTTCCTAATTGTTCCACCACCATTAACATAAACTCAGTGCCACCCAAGCTTCCTGTCTAATCTTTCACGTTACTATTGTCAATTTGATCTTATATGGATAGTTCAAGGTAGGCTTTCTTTACTAATTAAGCTAAACTACTGTTTGGTTTAAAAAAGACTTCAGGGGATATTTTTGGCTTAAGGTTTAAGGTAAAAGATTATCACAGGGCAATGGTTTCAGAGGTTCATCCAGCCTCAGTGGCTCCAGAAAGTCTGGATTCCATGAGAATTTGAAATTCCATTCCCCATTTTCTCCCTTTTGGTCATGACTCTTCTGTAGAAACTTTGATCAAGATGCTCAGTAATCCAAGCCCAGGATATTTAAAACCCACCCCAGCCACTTGCTTCTGAGCCGCATTGCTCCCTTCCCGAAGCTGATGTTCTTTCTGAGTCCCTCACAGCTCCAAGCTCTGGCCTTGAGTGGTGTGAACACACAGGGATACTTCTGGATAGTGGTGGTGGTGATGACAGTGAGAATGGTGTTGTTGGTGGATGATGATGGTGATGAAGGTGTCACAGGGATAAAGATGCTGAAACTTGTGCCGGCCAGGTGGGAATTTCTTCCCGTGAACAGAGCAGCTCATGAAACTAGAAGCTTATCCTGGGGAGAACATTTTTTGCCTACCTTCTCTTGGCTCTTCTCTCTCATTGTGCAACTCCTGTTCCCTCCTGTAATTTTTCCTGAGCAACGAGGAATGATGATGATAATAATAATGGTTAACATTGACTAAACTCTTTGCTAGACACTTGTCTGTGGTGGTTATGTTTGTTTGTCAACTTGGCTAGGCCTGGTTGAGCGGCAGCTGGATGTAGTATTCCTCATGATGAGACTGGTAATCAACTCCATGTTGGAATCTACGATGAGCAGCTGAGTAGCTGCCTTTGAGTATGTGGTCTGCTTCCTGTATATAAGGAGAAGTTTTGAGAATGGTCTCTAGCCTATGGCACGCTTGGACCCTGCATGTAGCCGTGTCATTGCTCAACAGCCTGCTATGCTCTGCCGACGTTGGGACTTACAATGGACTTAAGTTAATGGCCTGCCGTGTGGTTTGGTAACATCGGGACTGTGCCTTTTGACTTGTCAACCTTGGGGTTTCTCAGCCTCAGCAGCCAGCAGTTGTCTGAGTGAAGAAACGCCTCTAGCTCCAGTGGGCTGGGAACAGGAGGCAGAGCTGGACCCCAAGGTTGAGGGGCTTTCACCCAGCCCCTGGAGCTTGGCACTTTGAACTTGGACTTAAAGCCTCCAAATTGTAAGAATAAACTCCTGTTTGTTAAGGCCATCCCATTTGTGGTATATTTCTCATCAGAGCGGCACTAGGGAACCAGAACACTTGTCTCAAGTTTTTTTTTTTTCTTTTTTTAATATATATTAACTCACAACAGCCTCTGTAGTGTACACTAGTATCAAATAAGGTGGCTGAGACATTGAGTCAGGAGCTCTGGTGGCACAGTGCCTAAGGCATTTGATGGCTAATCAGAAGGTTGGTGGTTCTAACCCACTAGCCACTCCGTGGAAGGAAGACTGGCCAATCTACTTCTGTAAAAGTTTACCTCCTTGGAAACCCAAGAGGAGTCATTATGAGTCAGAATTGACTCGATGACAGCGGGTTTAGTTTTTCTGGAGGCGTAGAGAGGTGAAGTAGCTTGCTGAACCCTTTCCTGAGGATAGCCTTTCCTGGGGGTGGGGAACAGAAGGAAACCAGAATGGGCAGAAATGAGGAGTGGCTGTAGGAAGCCTGCCCCGGCTGTCACCTCTTCAACTGCAGAGTTATTGAGTGCCATCAAATTGATTCTGACTCGTAGCGACCCCATGGGACAGAGTAGAACTGCCCCGTAGGGTTTTCTTGGCTGTTATCTTTATAGGAGCACATTACCAGGTCTTTCTCCCACTGACCTGCTGGATGGTTTCAAATCACCAACCTCTTGTTTACCAACCAAGTGCTTAACCATGGCACCACCAGGGCTCTAGCTGCAGAGTACAGGCTCCTTTAGTAGATGACCAGGGTGCCCCTGGGCCACTTTAACAGCCAGGAGTAGGGGCAGGGGCCTGGATCAATGACTGGTTCCCTCTGAATGACCCCCCATTAATACTTCATGTCAAAGGATTTTGAAGGGATCCGGGCAGCAGAAAAGGTGTGGATTGTGGGGGCGTGGAGTGTTGAAGGGCCAGGGAGGGACTTTCCCTTTGGATCTGGGCCTTTTACCTGAGAAGAAGATGTGTACTCAGGAGTAATTGGGGCTTCGCTTGAATTGAGGGGTGAAGGTCAACTGTAACCCACTATTCCATCTTCTAGAAGAAAAGTGTGTTTCTCTTTCCTCCTCTTCTTACACCCTCTCTTCCATAAAACCTCCATAAAGTAGAGATACTTTGGTTAAATGTAAAGGGTGAAAATTGAAGAGAATTACACAGCAAAGAACTCTAAAGTTCTTTTGAACTGCAAAATTGTATGCCAGGCAACAGAAAGAAATCAGTGAGTAGACAGATGGTTTGAAAGAACATCAATGTGCAGTACAATCTTGACAAGGAAATTTGTGAGCACTTCCACACAATTTCCACATGACCAGGGCCAGACGGGGCTTAAATTAGAGCAGGAGGGATTTGGGGTAGACTTTCAGAAGAACTTTTTCCTTTCTAATAATCATACAATGCACATGAGTGAGTTATCTAAAGAGATTAGGTCTCTGTTCCACCTCTGCCTTTAAGACTAACCTTTTGCTGTCAAGTCAGTTCTGACTCAATGGCGCCCCCATGTGTGTTGGAGTAGAACTGTGGTCCATAGGGTTCTCAATGGCTGATATTTTGGAAACAGATTTCCAGGCCTTTCTTCTGAGACATGTCTGGATGGACTTGAACCTCCAACCTTTTGGCTAGCAACATAGTGTGTTAACCTTTTGTACCAGGCAGGGGATCTGCATTTAAGACTTGCTTTTGTTGTTGGTTGCCATTGAATTGATTCCAACTTATAACAACCTGATTGGACAGAGCAGAACTGCTCCCATTGGGTCCCCAAGGCTGTAAATCTTTACAAAAGCAGACTGCCACATATCTGCATATCTGCTATGGAGAGGCTGGTGGGTTTAAACCGCTGGCCTTTCAGTTAGCAGCTGAGCACTTAACCACTGTGCCACCAGGGCTCTTTCCTTTAAGACTAGTGGAAGTTAATTTCTTGGTTTGCAGCATTGGCAGCCCCAGCATTCGTGGCCTCTGCTTTTTAAAAATTATGTCTGTATTCAAGGGAGCATAACGATTGCTGTGCAGAGCTGTGTCTTCAGTGCCACCTGCACTACCCTGAGGGGCTTGTCAGCATCATCATCTGGAATCAGTCAGCAGTGAAGCAATCAGGCAGCATTGAAGGTCGTATTGTATGTGCAGCACTGTGGGGAGAGCAGTAGGAATAAAGATAACGCATCTCTAAGATGATGAGGTCATTCAGTAGAAAAATAGTAATAGCAACCAAAGCAACATTACTTTTATTTACCTTGCACTTTATAGCTGTCAATATCATCACCCAGCCCAGGATTACTGTGTTCAGTTGTGCAGATTGCACATGGGAAATTGTGAATGGCATCATCTAGAATTGTGCAGTGCACAACCTGCCCCATCATTCATGGAGGGCCTGTCACCCATAGAATCTCATGTAAGGCTTTGTAAATACGGAGTTCTTTTTACATTGTAAGTTGATTTCACATCCACCTGGTCCACATGACAGTTTTGTGAAATTGTAGGACTAGTGTCATTCTCTCCATATTCTAGGTAAGAATTAAGTCCCAGAGAGGAGCTGGGACTGCCCTAGGAGACTAGCAGAATGAGGTTAAAACCCATAACTGGTGGCCCTAGGTTCAGTGCCATTCCTCCCAGCCACACTCTCTTCACTTAATCTTTCAGGGCACACTTAGTGTGCAAGGGACAGGCTGTTGGGGAGTCCTTGGGAGCAAAGAGAGGGACTGAGTAGGTCCCTTGCTTCTCCCCCAGATCTTGCCCCTGCCCTAGCCCAGCCCTTCACCACAGTCAGCCTCCCTCCTTCATACCTCCTTTGCACCTCAGGTTTGAGCGGGAGCAGAACGACACCTTCATCATGGAGATCCTGGACATTGCCCCCTTCACCAAGATGCGGATCCGAATCGACGGCCTGGGCAGCCGGCCTGAGTGGTTCCTAGAGAGGGTAAACACTTGGCCTTCCCCTGCCTGCCAGCTACTATCCACCACCCCTCCTCCCTGCTCCTCTGGGCTGAGTCAGTGGGCCTTAAAGTACAAATGTCATTCTAAAAGATTGGTAACATAAATCCAGTCTGTATAACCCAATATGCCCTTTGGCATGAATTAATCAGATAACTTAGTTTTATTTGTTTGTGTCCAATCAAAATTGAATCAACTGTCTGAGAATCCAGAATGAGCTGTCAGTGGGATATGGAGGGAGATGGAGTGAGAGGTGGCTTGAGGGAGGCTTCTTTGGGGAAGCGAGTCGGGGAAGAGAAGCAGTAAGAGCTGGGACAGAGAAGCTCAGGATGGGAACATCAGGCAGGACGGTCATGGAGCTTTGGGGGCCCCTCCAACAATGCATTTAGATGGCTGCTCCTTTGTCGATCTTAGCCCTCTGCCTTCTCCCAGGGGAGCGGTCTGAGCCTGCTCAGCAGAAACCTGGCTGGGGAGACCAGGTCCTTGGGCTCTCTATTTGGGCTGAAACCAGCCCTGCAGCTGGGTTGCATTCCCACATGGACCCCTGTCTTCCAGATCCTCCTGAAGAACATGAACACAGGAGATCTGACCATGTTCTACTATGGAGATTGGCTGTCCCAGCGGAAGGGCAAGAAGACCCTGGTGTGTGAGATATGTGCTGTCATTGATGGGGAGGAGATGATGGAGTGGACTTCCTACACTGTCACAGTGAAGACCAGCGACATCCTGGGTGGGTCCTGGACCTGCCCACCTCCTGCTACCCTTGCCTTCACCCTCATAGTCTGGCTCTTGTCTTAGGCTCCAGTCAGGGTGTTTTTCTTTGGAGCAATCACAGTGAGGTGAGGGTCTGATTGAGGTTGGCATAGTAGGCTGAGGAACATGATGAGGCCACCTTACCCAGCTGGGGACCAGGAGAGAGGGTCCTGAAAGCCTTCTCAGAGAAGGTGATGCCAAAGGCAAGTCTGAAAAGACGAACAGAGGCTGTTTATGCAGATGGATACCCCCCCCAAAAAAAGAACCTTCCAAGAAAAAGTACTAGTATATGAAAGATCTGAATCTGAGAGGGTGCATACTCTTGTCTAGCCATGGAAGCAATGCCTTCTACTGGCCCTATCTATGCATGCCTTCTCCTCAAGAGCTGCTGCAAGGAATCTGACAAATGCATTGGTTATAAATGGCTATTGAGGCATTAAGGAGCTTTGGTGGTGTAGTGGTTAAGGCATTTGGCTGCTAACCCAAATGTTGGTGGTTCAAACCCACCAGCCACTCCATGGAAGAATGATAAGGCAGTCTGCTTCCATAAATATTTACAGCCTTGGAAACCCAGTGAGGGTAGCTATGAGTTGGAATTGGCTTGATGGCAGTGAGGTTTTTGTTTTGTTTTTTTTAACTGAGGCATTAAAATCCTTGAGTGGTGCAAATGGTTAAGATACTTGGCTGCTAACTGAAAGCTTGGAAGTTGGAGTCCATGCATAGATAACCTTGGAAACAAAGCCTGGTGATCCACTTCTAAAAACTCATCAAAACTCTACTCTGACACACATGGGGTCACCATGAGTCAGAATCAACTCAACAGAAACTGGCTGTTGGTTGTGAGGTGTTAACTTGTTGGCCCTATCTGGATGAAGCTTGTATTTTCAACAGATGGAACCTTCCTTCTTTCTTTTCCCCTCTTGAGGGAGCCTTCACACATTTTGTAAATTCCAAGCATCCACATGTTTTCAAGCCCTCCACTCTCTCAAATGTGCTCTCAGAAAATAATTGGTAAGCTCATTGATAATAGCATGGTGTGCATCAGAAGAGCTTCAGTGGGTTACCTCTTCCAGAAGTACCTACTATTGGCTGATGTTAATGTTTTTGTTTGGCTTACGCAAATGATATGGAGTTTTAGTATAAAATGTTAATCAGAGGTAGATTTAGGGAGCAAGGAATGTCCCTCCTTCCTTCTGAACCTTCATTGTGCCAGAAGTGGCCTGTGCTTCTGAATCATAAAGCCACTCTACATGGCATGCCTTTTAAAGTTGGGTGTATTTCCCCCTAGTATAGAAGCATTTTTGCACTAAACCATTCATATTTGCTAACCATGACTCCAGATAGGCCAATAGTATTTGCAAGGCACAAAGATAAGGTGAAGGACAGAATTGTAGACTCAGGAACCGAGGACACAGGCCAGCCCTTTCAGACCTCACCCCTGGCCTCGTTAACTCTGACTTCTGCTCATCTACACCTCTGGGGAGCCCCAGAACACAGTGGTTAAGCACTCGGCTGCAGACTGCAAGGTCAGTGGTTTGAACCTACCAGCCACTCCACAGGAGACAGATGTGGCAGTCTGCTTGTATACAGATTACAGATTTGGAAACCCTATGAGGTTGATCTACTCTGTCCTATGGGATTATTATGAGTCAGAAATGACTCAATGGGTTTGATTTTAGTTGATCGCACCCCTGGCCCATCCAAGAAGTCCAAGAGCAAGGTCAGAGGGCTATGTGTCAGAGACCTTGGCACCTAAGCCCACATCTTGTGCCTTGTAGGAGCAGGCACTGATGCCAATGTGTTCATCATCATCTTTGGGGAGAACGGGGACAGTGGGACCCTGGCCCTGAAGCAGTCGGCTAACTGGAACAAGTTTGAGCGGAACAGCACCGACACATTCAACTTCTCTGACATGCTGAGCCTGGGCCACCTCTGCAAGCTGAGGGTCTGGCACGACAACAAAGGTAACTCTGTTCAAGGTCAGGTCAGTTCAAGGTCAGCCTGAGTCTTTACCCACTGCCTGGACAGCCTGTCGACCTTGCCTATCCTAGGGAGGCAGGCAACTAAAAATGACAGACTGTCACTATTTTGACAGTTAAAGAGAGCCAATATTTTTGGGTATGTTTAGAGGTGAAGTTCAGCTCCTCCTGCCTTCATGATTGTTGGTTCTTCAATTTTTGTGATGTAAAGCATTCTTTGTATGTAATTTAGGCATAAAAAGTGAAGAAAAAGGTTATACACCAAATTCACTTCCCATGGATTTTCTATAAAGAATTATATTTGTTTATTTATAGTAGCAGGCCTAAAATTAACAAAATTCACTTATAAACTATAAAACAGGATAGAAGCCAAGCAAGAAATTTATTTTTAACTTCCAAGTACCTAAAGAAATATTTTATCACATCTGTAACTGTGATGAAATTCGTGTTCTCAACATTTCTTGGGTTACCCTTTTCTTTGTCTTCAGGCCATGCTGACCTCCCTCCCCCCTCTTTTTCCTGGCTTTGAGGTTGCAGTGTATGTAATTAGAGTGGAGTTAGTTGTTCAATACTAAGTTTCACTTCCTTGATACATTCTGCTTTCTTAATTCCTGCTGCTCTAACTCATCTTTCCTGTCTTGCATAGAAACTGGCTTTAACAATGCCATCTGCTACAGGTCTTCTCCAGTCTTTCCTGAGTCTCCCAACCAGTGGCCGAGAGCTGTCCTGAATGTTGTGTTTGCTCACCGAGGACCAATGTGTTGTTGTGACTGATGAAACATGACTTGGCATTTTGCAACCTCTCTTCATAAAGGAACTTGACGATTTTCCTTTTTTAAAAAATATTTTATTGGCTGCTGTTGAAAATATACATAACTAAACATACACCAATTCAATAGCATTGACATGTTCAGAGACATTGGTGACATTCTTCAAGTTATTGTGCAACTGTTCTCACTCTCCTTTTCTGAGTTGTCCCTCCCTCATTAATATAGACTCACTATCTGGTAGCATAGTGGCTAAGGCACTTGACTGCTAACCAGAAGGCTGGCGGTTCAAACCCACCAGCCACTCCTCGAAAGGAAGGTTGGGCATTCCTACTTCCGTAGTGATACTGCC